ATGAGTAGCTCAAAGATTTCATCGGGTAACCTCCGTCGCCCGGATGAAAACTCGTCCGACGAATGCGAGCGAACAGAAGGGCGACACGTGGCAGTAACGGCCTTCTGTCCTTGCCTTCCCTCTCCGCCAGTTGATGTGACCGAGGAGACGGCTGTAAATGAGCTGAACGGTCGAACCACGGACGTCTGTGATTCGACATCAGCTGGTGTCTTTCCGAGGCCCGAATTGGAGGGGACAGCAGTTGACGCCGTCCACTCTCCCTCCAGGAACGAGGCAACGGCAGGCGAAGAGGCCTCCTCTGATCCAACCATTGATCGTATGATCAATGGTCAGAATCAGCCGGCTATAAAGGCCTCAGCAGCCGTTACCGAGGCACCGCCCTCAGACGGTGACGGGCACAACGGCCAACTTGATTCAACTATTGATCTTAAGATCAACGGAGGGGATCACGTGGCCATAAAGGCGCCACAACCTTTTTGCGGTTGCCGATGCCTTGGGACGCTACTGATGTCATCAACGTCAGACGCCGCCAATGTTGGCATCGCACGGAACCCTAAGCCCTAAACCCTAAACCCTAAACCCTAAACCCAACCCCCGTAAGTGGGAGAGTCATCACTAAATCCCATAGTACCCTTGCCACCACGCCAAGAGGGACATGTGGCAGCCATCTCACCAACGACGTGTCAAGAGGCACCCAGCTCTGAAAAACAACCTACCAAGAGGCACCCCTACGCCAACATGTCAAGAGGCACTAGTGGCATCTATCTCCGAAGAATGTGTTGAGAGGCACCAAAAGTGCTTGGGTGTGTGAAGTACCGGGATGGGTGACATCCCGATAAGTTCGGCCCAAGACAGTTATCCAAAAAAAAAAAAAACCCGAAATCTCTCTTATTTTGCAGGTCAACAGATGCGTGCACCAGAGATCATGAGACACATCACACAATGGCTGTGAAGTACCCATCCTTTGGTGTTGCCTTCAGCAACATGCTTGGCCTCAATCTGTGAGGCCTTTAGGACCTAGGGAGTCCAAGCCACGCCTACGCGTATAGAGATCTCCACTCGGGTCGTTCGATGGAGACTACCGCCAGTTGGACACCTGAAGTTGAACGTCGATGGAGCAGCCTGAGGGAACCCTGGACCTGTAGGAGGAGGAGGCATCCTACGAGATCATACGATGCTACGTGTAGGTTTTTATTCCCATTGGCAGCTTCAGAGTACTTGGACCGACATCATGCATTATAGAGCAAGGATCAGTGCCATTACACACCAGTTACGTGAAGGGAACCAAACAGCAGACGCGCTTGCTACACATGCAGTATGCACTCGTTTGTGCTCTGTATTCTCCTCTTGGCAAGAGATGTCGCCTGAAGCTCAAGGTCGACATTACTTGGAGCAGATCGGCATGCCAGCACTTCGTATACGGCGAACACGGAGACCGGTCGCCCCCCGACAGTGGCGAATCGCTTGCACCAACCCCCAGCCAGCACACGACCTAGCGTATGCAGCACCACCAACACAAAGCTATCCACGCACTATGGATGGGAGGATTTCGCAATAGTCTAAACCGAGATGATCAACCTCAGTCACATCTACCATTTCATCTTTCATTTACCACTTTCCAAAGAGAGCTATCTCTTGTCTCCCCTAGATCTCACGTATGAGACTCGGGAATAAATATTATCTCAACATCAATATAATCAAACCTTAAACCAAAAAAAAAAAAAAAAAAAAAAAACGCTAAACCTTAAACCCTAAACCCAACCCCCCTAAGTGGGAGAGTTGCCACCGGATCCCATAAGAACTCTGGAGTTAAACGTGCTCCAGTGGGAGCAGTCCCCAGATGGGAGACCTCCTTGGGAAGTCCCTTGGTACGTGTGCGTGCGTCGTGAGGCGCCTGCTCTACATGTGCTGAAAGGCACTGCTGCATTATCGTGCCGCCAGGCACGTGTTACGAATCCCTCCGTCACCATGTCAAGAGGCACCCAGCATCCGAAGAATGTGCCGAGAGGCACCGCTGCCACCATGCCAAGATACATGGCATCCATCTCACCAACAACGTGCCGACATGCACTCTTTGCCGAAGAACATGTTGAGAGGCACATTTGCCACCATGTCGAGAGGCACATGTGGTTGTCATCTCACCAACAACGTGCCGCTCTGAAAAACAACTTGCCAAGAGGCAGCCCTACACCACCATGTCGAGAGGCACTAGTGGCATCTATCTCCCATCAGCTAACTTGAACCCATGAGAAGGTAAAGAGTTAGAAAAAGAGACAAAGTCATTTCTCGTGAGGTGAAAGGTCCCCTACCTACTTAGAGGAAGTATGACATTTGATGGTGTTAGTAAGATCTTAGCTAGAGGGATTAGGCATGTGCAACACTAGGAAGGCAAGTTCATATTTGAGCTTATTATCATGTTCCAGTATAATTATGTCCTCTTCACTACTCTAATCACTTTTTTCTCATCACTTTATATCATTTTATTTATTTTTTAAAATCACTTACTGTAGCAAACTCTTGTCTTACAAGAACACCTCATGGCGCACAACATGGAAGTCTACACGTCCTACTACTATTGAACGGATCTTTCAACTTCATAAACTTAATGACTCTTCCAACCCAATGTAAATCAACCAACTTCTTCAAACATTATGAACACAATAGAGTCTATCTCCACTATTGGCACATATTTTCTTCAAAAGAAGTTCATAATCTTCCATCTCATCCTCGCCCTTTGTGCGAATGAGATCCCACTTATGTAACCTTAGAATGAGGTCAAACTTCTAACACTTAATTAAATTTTTTCAAAAAAAAAAAAAACCTCTAAACCTTAAACCCTAAACCCTAAAACCGTAAGCCCTAAACCGCCGCCATTTGTCCAACTTTTTTCACTCTCCTCGCGGGAGCTTCTCTCTCTTCACCTTCAACTGACCTACATCTCAGATGGCGGTATCTCTCTCGTGTGACTTCCGATCGTGCTGAAACCAGTTCCATTGGATTCGGAAGGCCAAAATCTATCAACTTCTGCTATTAAACGTCGAAAATAGTGGATTGAAGCCTTCGTTGTCAGAATTTCTTCATTGAGAGGTATTTTTCCGGACATTTCGTTCTAAAGGTAATATTTCTCTCGTTACTTGGCCAAAGTTTAATATTTTTAAATCATTTGAATCGTATTTCTGTGCTCTATATTTTTCTCTTATTCATCATCTTTATCTGATGCTTACTTGATGAGTAAATCAGAGATCTCATCGGCGGACTCATGTCCGCCGGATGAAAAAATGAGGGAAGCATGCGACCGAATAGGAAACCGCCACGTGGGGCTCTCCGTGGCGATAAAACGCCATCCGAGGGGCCTAGTGATGGCCCGAAAATCGGGGCAGTCAATTGGCGGAATGGCCGCCTTAAAAATGGCAGTGATCTGCCGTTGGCCGACGTCCCCTCGGTTTCCGCAAACGAGGGATGGCTCTTGACGCCATTCCCTCGCTCTGCGGGAAAGGGGAGAGGGCACGTGGTGCCGTCTCCTCTGACCTCATCGTTGATCGTGAGATCAACGGTGAGGATCGACGAAAGGAAAAGGCGGGAGATGTGGGGGCGGTGTCGGCTGACGTGGACTTGTCAGCTTTGGTCCTTGATCTGACCGTTGATCTTGCGATCAACGGACAGGAGGGAGCCGAGATAAAGGCGCCGCATTCTGCTGATACCGTTACCTCGGTCCTCGTACCCATGGCGTCCCCCCAGCGGAGGAGGTTGACGTGGACTCGTCAGCTTCCAGAAAAAAGGCGGCGGCATTTCCTCGGAATCGGCTCTTCATCATCTGACCGTTGATCTTGAGATCAACGGATAGGAGGGAGCCGAGATAAAGGCGCCGATTCTGCTGACGCCGTTACCTCGGTCCTGGCACCAACCCGCCCCCTCTAACGAGGGCGGCGCCACTATGGCCCGCTACTACCAAGGTAGGACCTACGTGGGCAGCGTTAGTCTAGATCCAAACTCAAGCCCCAATCATATTAGCCTAGCCCACACAAACTCCTAATCTGTCGGCTAGCCCACTCAAACCTCAGTCAAGACTTAGGCCCAGTGACTTACAAGAGCACAGCTTATTCCTACAACTCAGAACACACATCGAGCTCCATTACTTTCTGTCTACACTACGGATCTCTTACTACGAGGTTATATTGAGGAAAAAAGAATGAGAATAATCTCATTCTCTTCAAAAGAGGTCTCTCAACTAATTGAGATATTCTATTTGTATTGATTAGATATTTTACCATAAAACACCTCCACTAAGATGACATCCAAAAATTATATTTGCCTTCTGAACACTTTGAGGGAAATGTAACTATTGGCACTCATGATTATCAGAATGTCTTCATCCGATTATAGCTCGAGGTTGACTATCGAAAAGCTTAGAGTCAGACCACATGGGAAATTCAAAATGTTATTATGTACACTCATAGATAGACTCCATATATTGATGGTACCTCTCGAAGGAAACAACCTGACTCTACTCCAATTTGGATAAGTTTTCTGAGCTTGTCAGCATATCTATTCATGTCCAAGGCACTTGAGTCCTTGGCAAATGTAGTCGGAACACTTATACGCTTAGATCCAAACATTAAAATGTTCAATCGTCTAGGATATGCCCGCGTATGTGTAGAGGTAGACCTCTTAGCCCTCCTTCAACACATGATTATTGTGTAGAATAGGGATGAGAAAATCTACCAAACTATTATATATGAAAGATTACCTCATTTCTATACACTGCATGATTTTTTGACACACTATTCACACATGTCGACAGAAAAATACTTTATCATTATCGGGGTCTACTTCTCTTCATTTACCACCCCTTTCCTATGACGACTATATTATTGAGGTAAGAAAGATTACGTTTGATCGTCGTCCTACACCAACCTCACATATTTCATCTCAACCATTATCATTCCAAGTTAGTACCTCACCGACAAGTTCTCACAAGACACCTCCACCTACTCCGGTGACACATTCCATCCCTCGAGCGTCCACTTCCATCTGTAAAGGGAGGAAGACGGTAGTACAAACATCACCTCTTGTGTTAATAGACATAGGAAAGATAGCCTAGACGTCGAATGCTTTCGATGCTCTAAGCACTTTGATTGAGGCTGATAGTGTTCCCACTATAGGGAAAGACGATAGCCCACGAGTTTGACGATGCTCTCCTAAATGGGGAATTGCTACTACTACTACTTTACCCTCAACCAGCCTCTCTCCATCCACTAGACCTCCTAAACCTATTACTTCTATGACGTCAACTAGCTCCACTTTACTCATTACACTCGCTCTAGTCACTCGTCCTCCATCACCTATTCGTAACTCACTACCTAGCATCGCACCCTCCCACACCACACCTTGCACATCCTCTCAGCCCCCTCCATCACTTGATGCGGTCCTTGATATGACCCAACAGACACCTCCCCATCAGACCCCCCATGCCTTTCTCTTTCTGACCCTCCTTCTCTTCTACCCCACCCTCCGGATCCTCCTTTGACCACACCTCTAGAGACCTTGATAGAGAGCGATCCTAGACAAGGCTTGGAGACTGATGACACTTCAACGAGCCCTAGTAGGGGAGAATGCTCGACAAATCATCGAGTCATCTCCCTATCATTCTCTGGGGCGGACACAAGTGGGCGCTCTACATCTAGTGTTGAGGACTCTAGATCTAAGACATCATCTGACTATCCTACTGAAGGCTTTGACCCTAAGAGAAGGTACCAAACAGAGGCAATCGATATAGCCTCACGACAACATTCTCCCTACGTCACGAGGTTTAGGGCTCGTGGCAGTAGATAGTGCACATAATACCTAGCCTTATTTGGAACTGTCGAGGGTTGGGCAACCTCAAAACACAATCTCACATTGTTAAACTCATCAATAAGCGCCGACTATGCCTAGTCGGGCTTATTGAACCAATGATTTCATCAGATCATATTTATCCATTACTTAGACGCTTAGACATAGATCACTTTTACTTTAACCCTACAAATCACATTTGATTGTTTTAGAGGAGCTCTTACTCTCTACGGTTACTCATTGAGGGGCCACAATATGTCACGATGAGGGTACTTAGTTCTAACCAAAAGTTTACATTCTCTATTGTTTATGCTTCACATAGACACCAAGACCGTGAGACTCTTTGAGAAGACCTAGTACAATATACGCATGATTATCTCATACTAGTTGATTCTCCTTGGTTCATAGTTAGAGATTTCAACTGCATATGTAGAGTCACTGAACGTCAAGGAAGGCGGGTCCCTCAGGCCCATCATATGGAGATATTCAATGATTTTATTTTTCGTGCGGCCCTCATCGAGCCTCTTACTTTTGGCGAGGTCTAGACGTGGTGCAATGAGAGACAAGGAGGCGCAAGGATATATGAGCGCATCGATCGTTGCTTCACTAATAACATTGCATTAATGTAATGTCCCATATTAGTCACACTCTTACCCCGTTATAAGTCAGATCACACGCCGATTCTTATTCTCCCTGACTCGAGAGCTAGTTCCCCTAGACCTCCTTTTAGGTTTCAGAATATGTGGACTCGACACGAAGGCTTTCAGAGTTTCGTGCATAGTTATTGGCACGGATATATCTCTGACTCTCCTATGGAGAACCTCAGTTACAAACTGAGGAATCTCAAACTCCACCTTAAATGGTGGAACTGGCATGTATACAGAAACATACACACCCAAGTGGAAGATTTCAAGAAAGAGCTAGCAGAGGTCGAGAGGGAACTGCAAGTTCAATGGAGTGACACTACTTGGGAGAGAAGAGTTCGAGTGAACGAGTAATTAATGGAGGCCGCGCGACGACAGGAGATATACTATCTCCAAAAATCACGCATCCAATGGTTGCGTGAGGGTGATAGAAACACACGTTTCTTTCATGCCTTGATCACACATCGATATCAATCTGATTATACATCTCTTCTAAAGGTGTATGATCATGACACATCCCATATGCAAGAGGCAGAAATTGCGTACTTTCGTACCCTCCTTTCCTCTCAACCAATTGAAATCTCCGAGGATATTCTCTCATCGATTCCATCTTTAGTCACCCACCAGGAGATAGAGGACATCATGACCATACCTACTAGAGAAGTGATCCAAGATGTAGTCTTCTCGATGAGTAGGAACCGAACACCTAGACCCGATGGTTTCCCAACTGATTTTTATACATCATGTTGGGACATAGTTGGAACAAATATAGTACATGCCGTCAAGGAATTCTTCTGTTGCAAAGTCTTTCCACGGAGTTAGAAAGCCACCTTTATTACCCTCATCCCAAAGGTAACCAACCCAACTTCTTTTAGAGACTTTCGGCCCATCAGTCTTTGTAATGTATGTTATAAGGTTGTATCTAAGATCATTACAATACGACTGAGGACTTTCCTTGATCGGCTCATATCTCCAGAGCAATGCAGATTTGTCAAGGGATGTCACATTCACGATAACATCATGTTAGTTCATGAACTAACACAATCCTTTGATCAAGACATTCGTGGTTCTAATGTTATCATCAAACTAGACATGGAAAAGGCTTTTGATAGAATCGAGTGAAAAAATTTTACTAAAGTACTTTGATACTTCAGATTCACTAACGAGTTCATCGACTTAGTTGATGCATGCGTTAGGGAGAATCACTTCTGCCTACTAGTGAATGACACTTCCACCCTTTTCTTCACTCCCACACAAGGCTTACGGCAGGGTGATCCATTATCACCCACTCCTCTTCATATTAGTTGAAGAAGTCCTTAGTAGAACCCTCTCTCGAGCAGTATCACGTGGACTTATTCAATCATATCATTCGAAGCGGGGTTGCCCGATCATATCTCATTCCTTATTTGTTGATGATGCTATACTCTTCCTTAATGGATGTGAGGCATCCATTAAGGGACTTATGAGTATTATCTTGAGCTACGAGCGAGCCATAAGTCAACTCGTTAATGTCTCAAAGAGTAGTTTTATGGTGGCATCTTCTACCACTATTAGCACCATACGTCGTATACAAGATATAATAGGATTCTCACGCGGATGTTTACCTTTTGATTATCTTGGATGTCCTATCTTCCTTGGATGCACTCGGATTCATTATTTTGATGCCCTTCTGTGTAAGTTGAGGAAGAAACTTGCCGACTGGAAACTTCAACTTCTATCCCCAGGAGGTCACATCTAATTGATACGCCATGTCCTCATGAGTATGCCATTACATCTACTAGTAGTACATGAGGTACCAGATATCATCCTACGATCTATGAGGCGGATATGTACCTCTTTTTTGTGGGATGGCCAACTCGACGGACCTCATTGCCAACGACGAGTTTCTTGAGAGAAAGCATGCCGACTGATGGAAGAGAGTGGACTAGGGATTAGACATCCTGAAGACATACTCGACATGCTTAGAAGAAACTCGTATGGCAGAAGAGGACAACGAGATCAATCTTAGGGACCTTTGTGTCTGCCAAATATGACGAGTGGGCAAACCAACCGGCATACATAAAAAGAGGGAAGCGGTGGGCGGATTGGTAGAGACATTGGCTTCAAATGAAACCTTTAATCCGGTGGCACGTGGGACAAGGCACTATCAATGCCTGGTACGACACTTGGCTTGCGGATACCCTTTTGGCCTCTTTTACCTCTTTCACGCCATCTTGGCCCCGACTCACGGTGGCCCAACTTCTCGAGGGGGATACTAAATTGCTCATTGAGTGGCATGGACTCTTCCTAGATTTATTACTAGAGATCTCGTTGATAGAGCTGAGCCTTAGGGATGATGAGGCCATTTAGACTCTCACCCTTGATGGGAGTTTCTCTTGTAGTTCTTCTTGGAACTATTTTAGAAACCATTTCCTAAAATAGGTTTGGGGAAATCTTATTTGGCATCATACTATCCTACCTCAAGTCTCTTTCTTCATGTGAAAACTAATGCACCGAGGACTCTCAAATGATGACCGTATGGCCATCATTGGACACCACATATGTTCTAGGTGTCATTGCTGTCACACTACTCCAAGAAACAAAACTAGAGATCACTTATTTTTCCATAGTGTCGTTGCTACGAAATGTTGGAACCAACTCTTAAAAAATTGGTCACCCGTATTTCATCATCCTCCGTTTTTCACACCCCTAGAGATCTTTAGAATAGTCTTTGATTCACTGCAGAGCTCTAAGGGTAACCCCTACCTACGTATTTTCATAGCGTACATATTATAGGAGATATGGAAGGGGCGAAATCTCTCTCGTTTTGCAGGACAGTCGATGCGTGTCTTAGAGATTATGAGGCATGTCACACAATGGCTGCAGAGTGCCCATCCTCTAATGTCGCCTGTCGCAACACGTCCGGCCTCTATCTGTGAGGCACTCAATACTTGGGAAATTCTAGCCTTACGGACTTATACAAAGATCACTATGCAGACCGTCTATTAGAGACCATCGCCAATAGGACATCTGAAGCTCAATGTGGATGGGGCAGCACGTGAGAACCCTAGACCTGTAGGGGGAGGAGGCATCTTACGAGATCATATAGGAAGTATTATCTTTGCCTTTTCCCACTATTACGATGTTCAGACTAACACAGCAGTGGAGGCTATGGCGATCCACAATGATTTCCTCCTCTGTGAGGAATGCACTACACATTAGGCGAAAGCTTCTACCTGCCACACCTAGGTAGTGGCATATCGCTTGGAGCAATTCAACGTCGATATTAGCATAAGACGGACAACAAGGCACATCACAATCCACCCGGGTACATCACTTACAATCATTACTCTCCTCATAATCACCTCACATCTACTATCTATCACCCTCAAGCAATAAAGACACAAAACTATCAGCACATGTTGGCATCTGCCCACTTTTGAACTATAGGTCTATAGCACATCAGACTTGCCAAACTAGTTGTGAATCGCCAACCTAGCACCTCTCTCAAGATCTCATTAGTACCATTAGCCAGCTTGAACTCATGAGAAGGTAAGGATCTATATCCATAGGATTGACGCTCTCTCCTCTCTCTCTCTCTCGATTCTCTATTTCTTTCTCCCTCTCTTTCTCTCTCCTCAAAAAAGAAAAAAAAAAAGAGGCAGCCTACTTCTTTTCCTATAATCACTAGCCCATCATAGACAATTAGTGGAGGGTGAGGGAAAAGGCTGTCACAAACAAACAAACAAAAAAAAAAAGGGGGCAACCTACTTCCCTTCCCATAATCACTAGCCTAATACTCCAAAGGGAATTACCCTTGTACACCAAATCATGGGCATTAGTAGAGGGTGAAAGAAGAGGCCCTCAAAAAAAAAAAAAAAAAAAAAGAGATAGAGAAAGAAGAGAGAGAGAATAAAAGAAAAGAAAAGAGTTAGAAAAAGAGACCAAGTCATTTCTCGTGGGGTGAAAGGTCCCCTACCTACTTAGAGGAAGTACGGCAACTAATGATACTAGCAAGATTCTATTCGATTCAGAAGGCCAAAAACTATCAGTTTCAAGTTATTAAGCATCAAAAATAGTGGATTAAAACCTTTGTTTCGCAATTTCTTCATTGCGAAGGTAAACTTCTAGAGTTTTCACTCCAAAGGTAATATCTCTCTATTGACTGGGTTAAGTTTCATTATTTTTAGCTCAATAGAATTGTATTTGCCTCATTTACCATTTTCTCTTGTATACAATTTTGATTTGATGCTTAGCTGATGAATAGCTCAAAGATTTCATCGGTTGGCCTCCGTCGCCTAGATGAAAACTTGCCCGACGAATGCAAGCGAAAATAAGGCCGACACGTGGTAGTAACGGCCTTATGTCCTTGCCTTCCCTCCTCGCCGGTTGATGTGACCAAGGAGATGGCTGAGCCCGTCTCATCGGACGATCATCATAACCCACCGGAGGAACCTTGGGACGGCCAAATGAGCTAGGCCGTAAATGAGCTGAATGGTCAAACCACGGACGTCTGTGATTCGACAACAGTTGGCGTCTTCCCAAGGCCCGAATCGGAGGGGGCAGTAGTTGACGTTGTCCACTCTACCTCCGAGAACGAGGCGACGGTGGGCGAAGAGGCCCCCTTTGATCCAACCATTGATTGTATGATCAATGGTCGGAATCAACAGGCCTAATGCTATCGCCTTTACCTCGGTTACTGTGCCTAAGGCACCACCCTCAAATGGTGATGGGCACAACAGCCAAATTGATCCAACCGTTGATCTTGAGATCAACGGAGGGGATCACGTGGCCGTAAAGGCGCCGCAACCTTTTGCGGTCGCCGATGCCTCGACTGTGATGCTACTGACGTCATCAACGTCAGACGCTGCGGACGTTGGCATTGCATGAAACCCTGCACCATCATGTGCCCCCAACTCAGTTGGCACCGTACAAGCGCGGCCCGTGCGAGCTTCCAGCAAGGTGGCTAGGGCTGAGCCGGCCCAAGTAGCGCCATTTGAGGTCGCTCTAGCCCAGGCCATGCCAGCCCAAGCCAGACAGACTGAGAGTGAGAAGACCCAAGTCGAGCCGACCCAGCCCATTGAGGCTGCGCCGGTTCAAGACGCACCGGCCTAGGCCCAAGTGGCCCAAGCCGAGCCTGAGCAGCCACCTCAGGCTGCATCGGGCCAAGCTCTTGCCCAGGTCGGCCCAAACCCTGGGTCTACCCAAGCCAGCTCATTTGGGTTGACTGAGGGAGGCCCAAAGGGGCCTAAGCGGAGTGGCCCAAAGGGGCCCACCCATAGCACCCTTGGGCCTACCCAAGGCAACCTATTTGGGCTCACTGAGGGAAGCCCAAAGGGGCCTGAGTTGGGTGGCCCAAATGAGCCCACCCAAGGCACACTTGGGCCTACTCAAGGTACGCCACCTGCACCTACCAAGGGAGGCCCAAAGGAGCCTGAACTGGGTGGCCCAAAGGAGCCAAATGGGCCTACCGAAGGAGGCCCAGATAGGCTCACCCAAGATAGTCTTGGACCGATCCATGGTAAACCCAATAGACTTATCTTGGAGAAGTCTAGGGGCAAGCGTCTGCAGCCCAAAAAGAGGATAGGACGCTTACCTTTACGCCTACTCTTGACCATGTCCTCTGGGCCTGCCTAGAGTCAACAGCTCGGGTTGATTTTACCCCTACCTATAGGGCCCCTTAGGCTCTCTTAGACTGAGCCCCTCGAACCAGCTAGGATCCCAGCACTGATTGAGACCTCTGTACTGGCCCCGAACACATCCCTTGGGCACACCATATCCACACCTAGTGGGTTGGACACTAATGTGCCCCATAGGCAAAACTCGACTATGCCCACTAGACACCTATCATGAGCGCAACGAGTGTCTGGACCCTCTGTCCCCTCCACAGAGACTGTCACGCCACAAAGACCGTTGTATCAAATACTATTCCCATACTATGATACCATTGTACTAGTGCGAGGCTATAGCGAAGATGACAGGATGAGGACTATAGCTTTTACTCATGAGGTCTCACAGATGACAGCTGCATTCTAACATACCTTGGTTGGTCGTTTCGCATTCTAACATACCTTGGTTGGTCGTTTCACTACGAAACGACCAACCATAGATGACATAGAAAAGATTTACTTGGCACTTGGAAATTTTCAGGGCCGAGTTTCCATCGGAGCTCGAGACTATCGTAGTGTATTACATCCGCTTTGAGCTAGAAGCGAACTATTGCCGAGCATGGAGCTGACCCACTTGGACAGTGGGAGAGTCTACCCTCCATACCCATCGATGGACATCACAGATTGACATAGGGCACCGACCACATCAGCCCCATGCGATTCCATTATGGGTGGGCTTCTCTGGCCTACTTGCCCATTTATTTACGCCAAAGGCACTTGAGTCTTTGGCAAATGCGGTGGGAACATTTATATATCTTAACTTAGGCGTAAAAATGTTCAACCGGCCAGGATACGCATAAGTTTGTATAAAGGTGGACCTAATGGCCTCTCTACAGAGGACACTCGTTATACGTTGTGGAGATGATGAGCTCTACCAACCTATCATTTACGAGAGATTACCATATTTCTACACACATTGTGCTATCTTGGGTCACACTATCAGCACTTACTGCCAGAAGGCGGGTACACCACAGGTGACCACACGAGCCTTTTTAGTACCGATCTCATATGACGATTACCTCGTCGAAATGAGAAAAGATGCTCAGAGTGTTCGTCATCCTCGGAGGTCGATTGCCCCTATGGCGGCTCCACCTTCCCTACCTCAGAAGGCACAAGAGAAACCTAGTTCAGTGATTGAGACATAGTATGCACGACGAAAGCCGGCAGCTAGATTGACCTCTGACCTTGAAGGTGTTCGAGGTCAGAGGTTTCTTCCCCTTGCCTAAAGGGGAAGGTATAGTCTCTCGTGTTCTTTTCTTCTCCTCTGTGAGGGTGGAAGAAGGGCATCCAATTGCCGATTTTCGCCGTGCATACTGTCTCAATCATTGAACTAGGTTTCTTCTGTGCCTTCTGAGGTAGGGAAGGTGGAGCCGCCGTAGGGGCAATCGACCTCCGAGGATGACGAGCACTCTATGTATCCTTTCTCATTTCGACGAGGTAATCGTCATATGAGATCGGTACTAAAAAGGCTCGTGTGGTCACCTGTGGTGTACCCGCCTTCTGACAGCAAGTGCTGATAGTGTGACCCAAGATAGCACAATGTGTGCAGAAATATGGTAATCTCTCGTAAATGATAGGTTGGTAGAGCTCATCATCTCCACAACGTATAACGAGTGTCCTCTGTAGAGAGGCCATTAGGTCCACCTTTATACAAACTTGTGCGTATCCTGGCCGATTGAACATTTTTACGCCTAAGTTAAGACATATAAATGTTCCCACCGCATTTGCCAAAGACTCAAGTGCCTTTGGCGTAAATAAATGGGCAAGTAGGCCAGAGAAGCCCACCCATAATGGAATCGCATGGGGCTGATGTGGTCGGTGCCCTATGTCAATCTGTGATGTCCATCGATGGGTATAGAGGGTAGACTCTCCCACTGTCCAAGTGGGTCAGCTCCATGCTCGGCAATAGTTCGCTTCTAGCTCAAAGCGGATGTAATACACTACGATAGTCTCGAGCTCCGATGGAAACTCGGCCCTGAAAATTTCCAAGTGCCAAGTAAATCTTTTCTATGTCATCTATGGTTGGTCGTTTCGTAGTGAAACGACTAACCAAGGTATGTTAGAATGCAGCTGTCATCTGTGAGACCTCATGAGTAAAAGCTATAGTCCTCATCCCGTCATCTTCGCTATAGCCTCGCACTAGTACAATGGTATCATAGTATGGGAATAGTATTTGATACAACGGTCTTTGTGGCGTGACAGTCTCTGTGGAGGGGACAGAGGGTCCAGACACTCGTTGCGCTCATGATAGGTGTCTAGTGGGCATAGTCGAGTTTTGCCTATGGGGCACATTAGTGTCCAACCCACTAGGTGTGGATATGGTGTGCCCAAGGGATGTGTTCGGGGCCAGTACAGAGGTCTCAATCAGTGCTGGGATCCTAGCTGGTTCGAGGGGCTCAGTCTAAGAGAGCCTAAGGGGCCCTATAGGTAGGGGTAAAATCAACCCGAGCTGTTGACTCTAGGCAGGCCCAGAGGACATGGTCAAGAGTAGGCGTAAAGGTAAGCGTCCTATCCTCTTTTTGGGCTGCAGACGCTTGCCCCTAGACTTCTCCAAGATAAGTCTATTGGGTTTACCATGGATCAGTCCAAGACTATCTTGGGTGAGCCTATCTGGGCCTCCTTCGGTAGGCCCATTTGGCTCCTTTGGGCCACCCAGTTCAGGCTCCTTTGGGCCTCCCTTGGTAGGTGCAGGTGGCGTACCTTGAGTAGGCCCAAGTGTGCCTTGGGTGGGCTCATTTGGGCCACCCAACTCAGGCCCCTTTGGGCTTCCCTCAGTGAGCCCAAATAGGTTGCCTTGGGTAGGCCCAAGGGTGCTATGGGTGGGCCCCTTTGGGCCACTCCGCTTAGGCCCCTTTGGGCCTCCCTCAGTCAGCCCAAATGAGCTGGCTTGGGTAGACCCAGGGTTTGGGCCGACCTGGGCAAGAGCTTGGCCCGATGCAGCCTGAGGTGGCTGCTCAGGCTCGGCTTGGGCCACTTGGGCCTAGGCCGGTGCGTCTTGAACCGGCGCAGCCTCAATGGGCTGGGTCGGCTCGACTTGGGTCTTCTCACTCTCAGTCTGTCTGGCTTGGGCTGGCATGGCCTGGGCCAGAGCGGCCTCAGATGGCGCTACTTGGGCCGGCTCAGCCCTAGCCACCTTGCCGGAGGCTCACACGGGCCGTGCTTGTACGGTGCCAACTAAGTTGGGGGCACGTGATGGTGCAGGGTTTCGTGCGATGCCAACGTCTATGGCGTCTGACCTTGATGACGTTAGTAGCATCACAACCAAGGCATTGGCAACCGCAAAAGGTTGTAGTGCCTTTACGGCCACGTGATCCCCTCCGTTGATCTCAAGATCAACGGTGGGATCAATTTGGCCATTGTGTCCATCACCGTCTGAGGGCGGTGCCCCCAGCATAGTAACCGAGGTAAATGCGATAACGTTAGGCCTATTGATTCTGACCATTGATCATACGATTAATGGTTGGATCAGAGGGGGCCTCTTCGCCCACCATCGCCTCGTTCCCAAAGGTAGAGTGGACAACGTCAACTACTGTCCCCTCCGATTCAAGCCTCGGGAAGACGCCAACTATTGTCGAATCACAAACGTCCATGGTTCAACCATTCAGCTCATTTACAGCCCAGCTCATTTGGCCGTCCCGAGGTTCCTCTAGTGGGTTGTGATGACCGTCTGATGAGACGGGCTCAGCCGTCTCCTCAGTCACATCAACTGGCAGGGAGGGAAGGCAAGGACATAAGGCCGTTACTACCACGTGTCGGCCTTTTGTTCGTTCGCATTCATTGGGCAAGTTTTCATCTGGGCGATGGAGGTCACCCGATGAAATCTTTGAGCTATTCATCAGCTAAGCATCAAATCAAAATTGTATACAAGAGAAAATGGTAAATGAGGCAAATACAATTCTATTGAGTTAAAAATAATGAAACTTAACCCAGTCAATAAAGAGATATTACCTTTGGAGTGAAAACTCTAGAAGTTTACCTTCACGATGAAGAAATTGCAAAACAAAGGCTTTAATCTACCATTTTCGATGCTTAATAACTTAAAACTAATAGTTTTTGGCCTTTCGAATCGAATGGAAAAAGTTTCAGCGCAATCTGAGGTCACACGAAGAAGATCTCGTCATTTGTGCTGATTGTGAGGAGAGAGAAACTCTCACGAGGAAAGAAAAAAAGGTTGAGCAAATGAAATGTGTGCTATAAAGTTGTATCCAAGATCATTACAGCACGACTGAGTGTTTTTCTTGATAAACTCATATTTTCAGAGTAATACGGATTTGTTAAGGGATAGCACATTCATGATAACATCATGCTAGTTCACAAACTAGCACAATTCCTTGACCAAGACATCCGTGGTTCCAATGTCATCATCAAACTAGACATGGAAAAGGCTTTTGATATGATCGAGTGGAATTTCCTTACCGAAGTGCTTCGACGCTTCAGATTGACCAACAAGTTTATTGACCTAGTCAATGCATACATTAAGGAGAACCATTTCTCTCTATTGTTGAATGGCACTTTCACACCTTTCTTCACGGCCACGCGAGGATTATGGCAGGGTGATCTCCTATCACCCACTCTCTTCATATTGGTTGAAAAAGTCTTTAGTCGAACCCTCTCTCGAGCAGTGACACCTGGGTTTATCCAACCATATCATTCAAAGAAGAGTTACCCGATCATATCACATTCCTTGTTTACTAATGATGTGATACTTTTCTTTAATGGATGCGAAGCGTCCATCAAGGGACTCATGACTATCATCTCGAGCTACAAGTGGGCCGCAGATCAACTCATCAATGTCTTGAAGAGCAGCTTCATGGTGGCATCTTCTATCACCATTAGCACCATACGACGTATATAGAACCTAACAGGATTTTTGTGTGGTCATCTACCCTTTAATTACCTTGGATGCCCCATCTTCCTCGGACGCACTCAGGTTCATTACTTTAATTCCCTTTTGTGCAAGTTGAGGAAGAAATTTGACGGATGAAAGCTTCAAGCTTCTATCTTCAGGGGGTCGCATTCAATTGATACGCCATGTCCTCATGAGTATGCCCTTGCACCTACTTACTGTACATGGGGTACCGGACACCGTCTTACGATCTGTGAGGTAGATTTGTAACTCCTTATGAGATGGTCAACTCGATGGGCCTCATCATTAACGTCAAGTTTCTTGGGAGAAAGCATGTCAACTGATGGATGAGGGTGGCCTAGGGATTAGACGCCTTGAGGATATCCTCGACATGTTTCAAAAAAAACTCGTATGGCGGATGAGGACGACGAGATCACCCCTAGAGATCTTTGTGCTAGTCAAATACGGCGATTGGGTTAGCCAACTGACCGACATAAAAGGAGAGAAGTGATGGACAGATTGGCAAAGACATTAGTTGTAGATGAGGCCTTTAATTCGATGACGAGTGGGAAGAGGCACTATCAATGCTTAGTATGACACTTGACTTGCGGACATTCCCTTGGCCTCCTTTGCCTCCTTTATGCCATATTGGCCTCGTCTCACGGTGGCTCAGTTTCTCGATGGAGATACTAGTGTATTTCTCGAGAGGTACAAACTCTCATTAGATTTACTACTAGAGATTTCGTTGATAGAGTTGGGTCCTAGTAATGATCATCCCATCTAGGCTCTTACCTTAGATGGGAGTTTTTCTTGTAGTTTTTCTTGGAATTACTTTAGAAATCGTTCCTCAAAGCAGTTTTGAGGAGATCTCATTTGGCACCCTGCTATCATACCTCAAGTCTCTTTCTTTATGTGGAAATTGATGCACCGCGGACTTCCTACGGATGATCGTATGTCCATCACAGGACATAACATCTGTTTTAAGTGTTATTGTTGTCCCATCACTTCGAGTAGTGAAACTATGAGCCACTTATTTTTTCATAGTGTTATTGCTACAGAATGTTGGAACCAACTCTTACTGAATTGGTCCCCAACATTTCATCTTTCTCCATCTCTTACACCCCTACAGATTTTCAGGAGAGTCTTTAATTCGTCGCAAAGCTCTAGGGGCAGCCCCTACCTACATATTTCCATAGCATACATGTTATGGGAGATATGGAAGGGACGAAATCTCTCTTGTTTTGTAGGTCAGCAGATGCGCGCACCAGAGATCATGAGACACGTCACACAATGGCTGCAAAGTACCCATCCTTTGGTGTCGCCTTCAGTGACATGCTCGGCCTCAATCTATGAGGCCCTTAGGACCTGGGGAGTCCAAGTCACGCCTATGCACATAGAGATCTCCACTCGGGTCGTCGAATGGAGAGGGAACCCTGGACCTATAGGAGGAGGCATCTTACGGGATCACACGGGGAGTATTATCTTTGCCTTCTCTTATTTTTATAACATTCAAACTAACACTGTAGTAGAGGCTATGACAATACATGATGGTTTGCTCCTCTGTAAGGAACACAATCTTCATGATATCATCGTAAAATTTGACTCATGAGTGTTTGTTCAGATGCTACGTGTAAGTTCATATTCCCATTGGCAGCTTCCGAGTACTTAAACCGACATCATGTGTTGTAGAGTTAGGATCAGTGCCATTACACACCAATTACGTGAAGAGAACCAAACAGTAGACGCGCTCGCTACACATGCAGTATGCACCCATCTATGCTCTGTTTTCTCCTCTTGGCAAGAGATGTTGGCCGAAGCTCGAGGTCAACATTGCTTGGAGCAGATCGGCATGCTAGCACTTCGTATATGGCGAACACAGAGACCTGTCGCCCCCTGACAGTGGCGGATCACCTGGGCCAACCTCCAGCCAGCACACAACCTAGCGTACGCAGCATCACCAACACAAAGCTATCCTCGCACTATGGATAGGAGGATTTCACAATAGTCTCAACCGAGATGATCAACTTTGGTCGTGTCTACCACTTCATCTTTCATTTACCACTTTCCAAAGAGAGTTATCTCATGTCTCCCTTAGCTCTCACGTATGAGGCTAGGGGATAAACATTTTTCAACATCAATATAATCAAACCATTCAATAAATAAATAAATAAATAAACAAACCCTAAACCCTAAACCCTAAAACCCTAAATCCTAAAACCCTAAACCCTAAACCTTGAACCTTAAACCTTGAACCTTAAACCTTAAAATCCTAAACCCTAAACCCTAAAACCCTAAACCCTAAACCCTAAACCCTAAAACCCTAAATCCTAAACCCTAAACCATCTTACTTGCTCAACTTTTTTCTCTCTCCTCACAAGAGCTTCTCTCTCATCAGCATCACATTCAAACAACAAGATCTCTCTCGTCTAACCTGCAATCGTGCTGAAACTTGTTTCATTTGATTTGTAAGGTCAGAAATCATCAACATTGAGTGCTCAAATGTGGAAAATGGTTGATTGAAGCTCTCATTCTAGTTCAAACCAAAGTAGTACAATTGGGTAAAATTACTAGTACAACCTCCACGCGAAGTAGTGCCACAGGTTACTCCCCCTTCAAGCTAGCCACAGCCCACCAACCATTGATGCCCCTCCAACTGCTAGACACCCCCAAGAAGTGTCATGTAGTCACCAAACTAGCGACGGAGCATATGGACATACTGAAGACAGTGAAGGATAATCTCCAACAAGTAGTGAATAGAATGAAAAATTAGGTAGACACACATTGACAGAAAGTCGAGTTTCAGCCAAGTGACAAGGTGCTACTTCAGATGAACCCTAAAATTCATCGATACATAAAAGACACTACGAAGAGCCGAAGCTTACTTTTATAGTTTGAAGGGGCCTTCATTGTCTTGGAGTGAATCGGGTCAATGATATACATAGTACAATTGCCCTCGAGGTTACCCATTCACCTAGTCCTTCACATATCATTATTGAAGAGATACAAGGCCGACTAGAAGAACCTGAAAATGAACAAAATCATACATCAACCTCCATCAGCTAAAACAACCTTGACATGACTTAGTCATTGTATAGTAAATCACGTAAATTTAAAATTTGTAAAACTAGAAAATATAAATTTTTGAATATTTAGAAGTATTTTAGAACAAATATATCAATTATAATTCAATAAAACTTTCAAAAATAACAATAATTTTTCAAGTCGAACACAAGAATGTAATATAATATCAGGTAATTATTCAGAATTTTCCTCAAAGTATACTATTTTCTATGAATTTGATACTAGGAATTGAAAATAAAATATATTTAAAATTCATGAAAAAGGAAAATAAGGGTGTTGACGTCAAGATGATGTCAATGCCCAGCGAATGCAAATCAAGTAGAAATAGAGTTCCGTCGGCAACTCTTATGTAAGCGATTACAGATGATTTAATTGATCAAATTAAGATATGTAAAAGTCGGAAGAATCGTAATTACATGAAGTATATCTTGATAAATTTAAAATCAACAAATTATCACTAAATGAAAAGGAAATTAAGTTGAAAGCAAGAAAACAGAGTTCCGACGTCACAGCGGCGATGCGTCGGCGATGCACCGAAATCTTGAGCATTCGGGAGGATCGTCGTGTAGTGTCCACGACCTCGAAGGCTCTCTTTGAACAAGGACAATGTGGGCAATCTCTAGATCTCCTTACAAAGTTTAGAGATCAATGAAATGGGTCGTCAAATCGTCTCTGGCAGCTGTCACCCGACGGAGAAGAGTTGGATGGAGGTGGGGCACATGTCAGAGAGCTTCATCCTCAGGTCCACGTAGTAAGAGGAAGCTCTTCATTGCATCTGGTATGCTCTCAGGAGGTGGCAACTCATCTTCCTGCTGATCGTCCTCTTCGCGACGACGACTTGTTCATCGATCAATTGGAGATGCTTTACTCGATGGATTTGCGATCTTTTTATCACGAATCATTCAGTAATTTTAGTAACAATGCTCTGCGAATCGCGTTGACAAGATTTTCACTAATGATTCAGCAATTCTAGTTACTTAATCCTTTACTGGCGATCTGCAAGAAAGTCGCGATAATCAGATAAAAAATATGAGTTTTGGCTCTAAGAGGATTCAAACTCACGCCAATTGCCCGCCCTTTCTAGGGAAGGTGACGCGAGTTTAGTTCCACATCGCTTGTGCGCTGAATTTTTGGGCAAATATACAGTAATATTACATTTGCAAGCAACTCCCTTTCTCGCGTGTGTACGACCACTCCTTGCCCCACAGTCGGCTGGCCACTTGTGACATAGAAGGGGGGTGGTGCACACATGCCCCTATCAATCCAAGCCACTCGAGCCCTTGCTCACGGCTACTCCCCGACTGTGCTTCTGACCCGCTTGCGGGCCTGGTTGGCTAGCAAATGCCTCCCATTTTGTTTTATTTTTATTTTTATTTCTTTTTCTTTATTTATCTCAAAAGTAAGACTATAAAAATCATATAAATTTGTATAAAATCACATAATTACCTAAAAATTCACGTTAATCAACTGAAACTATTTTTCACACTTTAACGTAAATATAAGTCTATTTATCATGAGTTAAGGCTAAAACTAAATTATTTACTAATTATTAACTCATGATAATGAAGACTTATCAAACCCTCTTTAGGAAAATTGATAATATCCTGACCCACAGGTTCACCGACGAAGGTGACCACCATAATGTGCACAAGCACACCGACTTCCTCATATGATGGGAAGATGACTCACAAGAAGCAACAACATAGCACCACAAGGACCTATGACAGTTTGAGAAACAACTTGTCAAGTAGCTTGCAACTCACCCGATGAGGACATCAGATTCTTCAAGGGTGGGAGAATGTCACAGAAGAAGTAGCAGCATAGTAGACCTACAAGGGGCAATGATAAGTCTTCATTATCATGAGTTAATAATTAGTAAATAATATAGTTTTAGCCTTAACTCATGATAAATAGACTTATATTTGTGTTAAAGTATGATTTGTGGTTTTCAGTTGATTAACGTGAATTTTTGGGTAATTATGTGATTTTATATGATTTTTACAGTCTTACTTTTGAGATAAATGAAGAACAAGAAATAAAAATAAAAATATTGCAAAATGGGGGGACCCGCCGGCCAGCCGGGCCCACAAGCAGGTCGGAAGCCTAGTCGGGGAGTAGCTGCGAGTAGGGGCTCGAGCGGCTTAGCTTGGACCGATAGGGGCACGTGTGCGCCACTCCCCTTCCACGTCACCGGTGGCCAGCCGGCTGTGGGGCAAGGAGTGGTCATACACACAAGAGAAGGGACTTTGCTTACAAAGCTAACATTACTATATATTCGCCCGAAAAATCGGCGCACAACTGATGTGGGACTAAACTCGCGTCACACCTTCCTCAGAGGCGGGCGACCGGCGCGGGTTCGAATCCTCCCAGAGTCAAAATTCATATATTTTTATCTGATTATCGCGACTTTCCTGCAGATCACCGGTGAAGGATTAAGCAACGAGAATCGCTAGATCATCGGCGAAAATCTTGTCAACGCGATTCGCGGAGCATTGCTACTAAAATTGCTGAACGATTCGCGATAAAAGGATCGCGAATACATCGAGTAAATCATCTCCGATTGATCGATGAACAAGTCATCGTCGGGAAGAAGACGATCCGCCGGGAGACGAGTCGTCACCTCCTGAGAGCATACCAGATGCGATGAAGAGCCTCCTCTTGCTGCGCGGACTTGAAGATGAAGCTCCCTGACATGCGCCCCACCTCCATCCAACTCCTCTCCGTCGGGTGACAGCCGCCGGAGAGCCGCAAAGTCGTTGTTTTTCTGCTCCGCCGAGTGATAGCCGCCAAAGACGACTCGGCGACCCATTTCATTAATTTCTAGACTTCGCGAGAAGATCTAGAGATTGCCCACGTCGTCTTTGTCCAAGGAGAGCCTTTGAGGCCGTGGACACTGCACGACGATCCTCCCGAACGCTCAGGATTCTGGTGCATTGCCGACGCATCGCCGTCACGACGCTGGAACTCTGTTTTCCTACTTTCAACTTACTTTACGCTTTATTTAGTGATAGTTTTTGTGATTTTAATTTACCAAAATATACTTTGTTCTATTACGATTCTTCTGACTTTTACAGATCTTAATTTGATTAATTAAATCATCTGTAATCGCTTACGTAAGAATCGTCGGGCAGAACTCTATTTCCGCCCGATTCGCGTTCGCCGGGCGATGACATCATCCTGACGTCCGCACCCTTATTTCCTTTTTTTTGAATTTTAAATATATTTTCTTTTCATTTCTTAGTATACAATTCATAGAAAATCGTATTCATTGAGAAAAATTCTGAATAATTACCATATATTATATTACATCCCTGTGATCGACCTGGGAAATTATCGCTATTTTTGGAAGTTTTATTGAATTATAATTGATATATTTATTTAGAAATACTTCTAAATATTTGAAAATTTGTATTTTCTAGTTTTATAAATTTTAAATTTTCGTGATTTAATATACAACGACTAAGTCACGTCAGGCAACAAGCACCTACAACAAGGCAGGCTCACACGGTGAGACAAGCACGTGGGGTGCGTTAGGCATGGCAAGTGCACGCGGCAAGGCAAACACAGGAGGGAGGCATGAACAGCACAACAAGCGCGCGTGACACGACGAGCACAGCAGACATGCGTGGCATGGCGAGCGCGCATGACACAATGAGCACAACAGACATGCATGGCACGGTGAGCACGCATGACACGACGAACCTGCACAGTATGACAACAAGACGTGGCATCACAAGACCCAAGATAAAATGGGTCCCCAGACACACGGAACCCCCGCAAGAGCCAGGAAGACTAATACACCCATGCGATGGTGAGAACATAGTCTCAGGGGACACAGTGGATGCTAACAAGCGGGATGACACCCGAGCAGGCGAAATGGTCAATGGGGCGTCCAAGGTGCCCCAACGGCTAGCAAGCGAGATGACCATTACGCCCCAACAGCTAACTATAGCTCAAGTGTAATAGCTACTTCGAACACCCTGTAATGGTTAGTCTACTTCCCTCCCCCTTTATAATTGAGGAAAGTGGGGAGTAGACAGAGAAAAAAAGAACCCTTTTGAGCTTTGTTGAATATTTAGAGGGCTAACTAGATAACAGATCTTAGCTATCTAATGTCACATCTCACTTGAGGTGTAACAACTAGCAAATGTACTTATCTTATGCAAGCAGCTAGGTTTATATAGGTACATGTAGAGATAGATTCACATGTAATGGTCTAGATGATAAAGCAACAAAAATGCAAGCAATGGAGACTTAGAAATTGTGGAGTCAGATCATGGAGCATCTACAAATAATTCAATAGATATGGCTTCAACATCATAAAGGGAATATTGGACAATGAAGGAGCTACCAAGGGAAGCATGAGGCATATACAAAATCAAAAAGGAAGGTTATTTTATGTGAGGTGGAGTAGCATCTAGCACCAATAGTGGGCATTTTCAGATAGATTTATCATATGTGAGTAACCTAATTCCCCAAAGGAATGTTGGAACATAAAAGAATTTCAAACATAAGCTCAGGGCATCCCCAAACTCGCAAAAAGAGTACACTCAAATGGAGTAATCTTAAGCCATAGTAGTGGCATGAAAAATATGCTCTTGGAGCCCACCATATGCTGTCCTATGAAAACATGCTCATGACGAACTAAATTTTATAAATTACAATAAGCATGAATTTTAATAACCGACCCCAAATTTACCTGGAAAAGTAGAATTATGTACATTTTGTGAAAGCTCTACTCATGAACAGGACCAAGGACACAAGATTAAATCCAAAAAAGACCTTAAACCCTTGTCCTCAAATTAAGTAATTTATTTTACAAGAAATGAGGTCATACTTTAATTTGTCTATCCTAAATTGAAGTTTCTAAAGAACCTTATCCAACCCCTCAATTAAAGCATTTTACTTCTCTTTTATAAACCCAAATTCTATATTCATACATTATGTTTCAAATTGAGTATTGATAAATGTTAGGTTGTCAAACCATCGATGCAATACCTTAAGATATATGGAGTCATATACATTGAACATTTAACCATAATAGCTGATCAAGAGAGATTTTTGACCTTCAAATCCTAAAAGTAGATTTACTGAACCCTAAATTTGACAAAATCCAGAATCAGAGGTGACCAGCATAAACTTGAAATGTTTTACCTAAGACCCCTTGCTAGAAGTGTTGAACGTAATAGCATGGAATTCACTTTTAGAATGTTATTTAGGAGGATACATGTCTGATAATAGAAATTTGCCTATTCACTGAAGTTTATAATTCAAGAGCTCTAACAAGAGACAAATGGAAAACTCAAGACTGATATTGTTGATTCCTTCTACAATCAACCCTCAGAAGGATCGTATCAGACTACACGCAAGCAGCTTCAACAGCAAGGCTTTTGGCGAGTCCTTTACAGGGATCTCCAAATGATTCGGACGAGACACTGACGAAACAGCTCTTCATGCCCACGCAAGCCTATTTGTCAGTGTGAGAACCGATGAAAAATCATCAAATAAGAAAATGAACTGAAATTCAACTGCTAGAAAGCGCAAGGAAAATTTGCATACTTTTTGCACCACAGAGAGCGCATTTTCGCTGCGGCAACGGCCATGCTTGAAAGACCCACAAGTGCCAACCGGTGTTCCAAAGCTAGCAAACTTAATCGATGCAATGACTTGACTTGGGTAAGGACACTCCAAACGAAGCACTGCCCCTGATTTGATCCCTACTGGTCCGTCCGAACTCCATGCATCTACTGGGGGCGGGTGCAGCTCGGATACATGACCACATAAGCTTCTCAGCTGTCTCTTGGCAAAAGAGATATGCGTTGGATCACCACCAGCCTCCTCAAAGAGAACCAGAGTGTTTCCACTTCGTTGGAGAAACGAGCGAGGAACATGGTACCTGTTACGAGCCATATTGAAGATCGAAGATTGTAAGGAGAGGAATATTGGAAGTCAAAATTTTGGGAGTTCTTACAGCGTTTGGGATGCTTTTCCGCAGTTCCTTGCGCATTTATCTGCCCTGTAAGCTCCACGATAATTGCACGAATCGGCGCACCCACTCTGTGGTGCCAAGTAGCTCGGCCAGTATCGCCCAATACTCTGTCCATTGACCCATGCCTCACCCTTGCCCATTCCAGTAAGGTCTAAGGCAATTGGAGCATTGCCATCGGGACAGTCGAATGTTGTCTACAGAAAAAAGATTCATATGACTCATCTCAGATGGGAAAGTAGACAACCATTCGGAAATGTACATTAAGAAAACTAGTGCCGTCAAGTTTGTGATACAAAAACAATGATGGTCAAAAACTAAGCATCCGCATCTACAGCCTGAAAGTGAGAACGCCAGAAGGATTTCGCTTTTACCTTGTACCAGATCAGGGGCTTATTTATTGCCAAGGGAGAGTGTGAAGACCAAAGCAAAGGACTTTTGTTGAAGCCTTTGTATAAACCTAGTTCTTCGCCTTTTAGCCCAATCTGTGCGTCAGGAATTAACATGAGAAGAAGAAAAATAAATAACAGTCTACATGTGGATCGTAAAATACTGAAAATGAGGGAAACAAGTTAGGATACGATGCAACTAGACAACGAACTATGAAATCGGAAAGTTCCCTGCCACAATATCTTTACCTCCCGGATCATTCTAACTGAAAATTCGCTCCCTTAGATGATTAGCATGCGACCATCTCTTTTGCCTCCAAAATACCAAGAGTGAATAAAAGGAACATTTTTGAAGTACGACACTAAGCCAGTAAAAATTATTTGCTTGCTGTTAAACATGGTACCGTCGTCCTATACAAGTTTCTCTGCTAGTTACACCAAGTAAAAACCAACCAAAGAAAACAACCCGTGCGACCACAACAACTCAACCATAAAGGAAATAGAACCACCTGGTATATCCAACTTCTTGAGGATAAGTCTGCCGTCCCGTTGCTACCCTTGAGTTTAACAGGTCCGGTAACACCAGCACCCCATTCGTCAAAGAATGCCCCATAATTCTAAAAAGAGAAGAAATTGAGAGTAAGTGAATAGACGAAGGATATCAACAACTTTGCTAAAACTTAACCATCCAGTGTTAATAAGAAATTCCCTCCAGTCTGATGCTGTGAGTTGTTTACCGGTAATTTAATCATCTGAAAAGATTATAAATCCACGTATGATGGATGAACGTAAAAAGAACTTCCAAAAAGGCCCACAGAATAAAGAAACCGATCCTTTCAAGAAGCTGTTCACAATGTATTCAATTCATCTGTACAAAGATTTATCAGATTATGGCAGTTTCATACTTCGATCTGTCTCGCAACAGCTAAAAGCCCAGAAAGGAATAACAAGAGAACACCTGAAGGCCAACAGTTGCACTTAGAAGATCAATGGTATTCCTCCCTTGAATAAGTGTTATTGTCTTCTCAAGTATAATCTTTGCGTTGCTTGCACTCCCAGATCCACGGCCTGTGATAGAATGCATATGTAAATATAGAAAACAATTTTCATTTGAAATCGACATTTTTAATCATTTGAATCATACAACATTCCCAAAGACGGGATTCCCTAAATATGTTTATTTTTATCACCTGCCATTCCCCCGTTCACAAAGGCGTGGAGAACATGACCCAGTGACTCTACGTGTAGGACAGCTTGGTTTTTATTCATGAGGAATGGCTCATCGCCAGTTATTTCTATGCTGCAGAAATATATAGGAAAGAAACATCAATTCGGTACCCAATAACTATTAAGTTTTAAGTTTCGAAACACAACCTCTACCATACCTAATTGAATACCACAAATAGTCACTGGAGTCGGCAGTAGTGTTTATTTGTTCCAATAGTCCATCTCTTGCAAATGCACTACTTTTAGAGACACCCACAGGTTCATCAATCGAGCTCCAGGCTTCACTTGAAGTCTGAACCAGGGATGTCATGTATCTCGCCTCCAATTTCAACACTTGTGAGTTAATCTACAAAATAATGAAAGCCTTCTCCATAAATGACAAGGACACCAACAGAGATGGAACCATGTAACTGCCTTTTTGATAGTGCAGCAGTGACATTAGAAAAAGCGGGTACAGTGGCTTTTAGAAATCATATTCATGATTATTCGTCTACACAGTAAAGCAAAATACATAAAATGAAAACATAAATGCATATAACCATGCATGCATGCAATTATTAATACATCCCTGCATGGGAACATGTGTATATATATACAACTCGTATCAAAGATTAGTACCTTTAAAAATTCAATCATTAAGACTGAGACATGTAATCGGACAAGCATGCCACAGAAAAACTGGTGAGAGAATCATTTTAGTTGGCCAAGTCACCGTCGGGATTTTCCACAGGAAAGAATGATGAAAATCAGGTCAAAACATGTAACACTCTCAATTTCGGTTGTCAATCTGGAGACCGATTCCGTCAGTTTTTAAAGCACAGCAAAGAATCCCATGATCAATATGAGTCATTCCAAAACTCTTGATACTACATGCTCTTACTGTGCAGAGAACAATCGTTAATATTTTACATCTCTAAAGATAAATGACCACGGGCCTTACAATTGGTTACCATAGTTCTGGGAATGGCATCCCTTTGGTATCCAAAACATAAGAGACATGTGCTAGCCACCTAATCGAATCATTCTATAATCCTCCTAGCAAGTGCGGCTTATTGAATCCTTTCTGTTTTTTACTATCCCATTCTAGACACCAAATTGAATTAGTAGGGGAACCATAGGAATAGAGTAAAACCCTTTGCGAACATAATTTTCGAGTCATAAAAGAAATATCAACAATGGCCCCATGTTTAGTCATAAAGAAGTGAACCTGAGCCGAATTGAAGACCACTGTTTTGCAGTCCGGTAGGATGCTCACAGACCAGGCAGGCAGATGATATGAATTCCCATTGAAAGTAACAACAGCATCAGACACAGCATCAATATTCGCAAGAAAAGCGACACATGAACCTGTTTCTGTTTTATATACATGAGCCTATCATATAAAGAGGAAAGCAATGTTATGATCAAAATCAGCATTACATCAGAATTAATAATGAACATATACCATATCCTTTTAAAGCATTTATGAAAAAAAAATCAAAATCATGTGTAGCTATCCGTCTAATGATAACTTCCTATTATTTCGCCCGACATTGGGAAAAAATGCAACTCACGACCAACAAATTTTATCCAGAATCTGCGTCAGCTTCTTTTACCCAAAAGATGATCCCCCAAGGAGACAATAATTCTACAAAAAATTACGCCGTTCCTTAAACCCAAAATATCCTAGAAAGAAGAAACAAATATTGTTTACATCAAGCTGAAACAATATGTTGAAGGCCTTAGTAATCAGACAGGCTATTTGATTAAATACCTTTTCATATGGAATTTGAATCTTTTTCCAGTTAAAAGTCTATTTTTACCCCGATTCCTATTTTGTCGGAAAATTTACATCGAAAAAATTAAGGTTCACGTTTCCCAAAAATCCGAATTACTCATCATGTGTTCAAATATCACGACCATCTAACTGTAATGCGCAACCTTCCAAATCCCCAAGTTATTCCCAAAATTTAGTATAAAAACTCATCATCTTGATTAAGTTTATTTGTTTATCTACAGATTTTAGAGATGATAACTGATATCTTTGGAGAAAGCTTTCGTTTTTGTTGCCAAGCATAATTCCAGGACTGCAAAGGAAGAGTAGCTCACCAGCAAACTAAGTCTAACAAATATAGCCCTGAAATAGTTACAACAACTTATCAACCCGAGGAAGGCACCGTCATCAACCACTCAGGATGCGGGAAATTATTTTCAGGACGCGCTAGTGAGATAAAACACCGATATTTAAGATGTATGGCTAAGATGCCGAAAATGTGTAGTATGTCTATAACCATCATAATTCGTCCATAGTCTGTTGAGCTGAAAACTTACAGGAAAAAAAAAATGTTACGAAGACCTAATGTAGCCCACAAATTCATGGAGTCACAAGATTGATGACTCTTTTTTCATGTCATGAACAATTGGACAAATTCAGCGCTCAGTTTTACAACAACTTAATATTTAAAAAATACAGCATACGAAGAAAAAATAATCACTCGAAATAATTGTACCTCTAAATTTGGGCCGAGAGAGCTGTATGATGGATCAGTGGCAATCAATGATCCTTCACAAAGCTTTATGGTTTTATGTAGATCTCTCAGGTGACCCCACTTTGGCTGCCTAATAATCCCTGTGATGCAAATTCAATGATACCTTGAATAAAATTATAAATAATTATGCCAGATTCTGTCATGTTATTCTCCATACAACCATCATAGATAGAGGATCAAAAAAATTAAGTTTACTGAACAAAAAATGTTTTGATGACCTTACAATTCATATTCAATAAGGGAATTTTTCATGGTTTTAACTATGTCCAACTATTGCCATGCTTCAGGAGTTCCACTAGCTAGGCTTTCTACCAAGTATACAGACCACAGAATCACGAATAAGTGACAGTTGATTGGGTTCTCCTCGTGTCCCTTGGGCCTCCACACAAATGAATTTATCTGTCAAGGAGAAAACTAGTCCCCATCTCCTAAAATGATAAAAAAATGTACAGGAACTATAACTATTTCTTCAGCTTTCTATGGATAAGAAAGTTATGCTTTAAGAAATTAGAGCCCCAGAAATTACAAAATCCAATCTGAACCTTTTACCGTGGCATTTCAAAAGAAGGTGAATACCAAAGAACTAAGAAAGTTTTCCAGGGGTAAACTTGTTGTCCAACCCGGACGCTAAGACAGTCAATCCTTCAGTAAAACGCCATGCACTGCACACTGGCTCATTTGCTCTGCAACTTATTTTTCTCATACCGTACAGGCTTGCTATGTTTCAAAGATCAAGGAATAGAAGACGTAAGTTACACCCATGTGTTATGCGTACCATCAAGGAGACGGAGAATTACAAATAGAAAGTGATAAGACCAAGAAAGAACACGTCAATTCCCTTAGAAAAATGAACATTGCAGGAAACGAGCTGTTGTCAAGCTTTGAAGATACAAGTCATGTTTTCATTGCAGAACGATTAGTCTTAAAATGTTTCATAATCACACCCCCAGTAGAAGTTATGGAATGACTTATTCAAAGCTCACAATGGAGGGGGAGCCCAAATCGAAGCAAGTCACATCCAGTTTTTTTTTCTTCAATATCACAATTTAATTATCCAAGATGTCATGGAGAATAAGGCGAAGCTAGGCAAAATTAAATGATAGTGCCACAGGTGTTATATTCTTGAGCTTACCATATTCATCAATAGGAGCATCATAGTCATAACTTGTGGCAATAAAGGGTCCTCCTGAACTGCGACCGAAGTTTGTTCCACCATGATACTGCGAGAGAGAAGACGGAATGCACGGCAGAAAACACTTACTTTCCTGAAGAAAACTTTTTATTTACATGTTTGAAGATTAGCGATCAGAACTGAGCGGGCTCTGGTACCCCATGACGTACCATGTAGTAATTCTGAAAAGTCCCCCCTCTCTGGAAAAAACGTGCAACAGCAAATGCGAGATCCTCAACAGGTCTATAAGGCACTCCACCTCCGAAAGAAAGAAACCTGAAAACCAGCAGAAAGGTAGACCGTGAGAAATCACGAGCAACCAGAAGTAACGTACGCCTATCAAGCCACCGGACAGTTCTCCACACTTTCAAGACCACGGAAAAAATCGGTATTAGACCAGAAATCTCACCATCCACTCCAATTCTCGGTCCACATCTTGGGCTTCTTGGCGGAGTTCGGACTGAACTGGTCGCAGTAGAATCCGTTGCATGTGTTGATCTGCACAAAGAACCCAATGGGAATAGTAAAATAATAATCAGAGCCCCTGGACTGCTCACACCTGTAAACAGCTCTGAAGCAACAATTTTAACTCACGATTGGGTCGGGAGCGTCGGATTGTTGGCACATCACCCAGGGAACCCCCGTATCCAGAGAGATGGCCATCGACGCGGCCCAATCGACGTACGATTTTGCTGCAGAGCCATAATGTGATTGAACGTTTCCATACTCATTTTCGATCTGTACGATACACAACTATCAGCCTAGCGAGGTCAAGTGGGAATCTTCGTCGTGGGTGGGACGACGGAAGAGCATTAAACCGAAATGTGAGCGCTCTCAGTAGGTACAGAAGCGGTGAGCTGTTTTTTCTTGATCTTCCCGCCCAGCTGGAAACAAACCTGCGCTAGGATGATGGGCCCCCCCTGAGACGCGAAGAGCATCTCTTGCTTCATCATATCGACAATTTTTGCCGTGAACCTCCGCATCTCCCTCTGAAATAAGGTACGAGAAAAACAGCGAGAGACTCATAACCGCAGGCTTCTGGGAGGGATGCGTGAGAGAGAGGCGTAGACAGGATGTCGGACAGACCTTGAAAGGCTCGTTGTCAGTGCGGAACTTAATCCCTGGAATGAAATGCAACCAGAGAGGGAAGCCTCTGGCGTGCAGCACCGAATGCGGAAGAGAAGGAGATCAGAAGGGAACTGTGATGTCGGTTAAGACAGAGAAAACAGAGAAGGAACAGAGGAAATTGTTCCTGCCTACCCATAGTTCCACTCCGCGCAGACATATGGCCCAATGCGGAGATGAACAAAAAGGCCAGTCTTGGCGACCGTCTTCACGAACCTCACCAGATCCTTCCTTCCGCCGAAGTCATACTGGTGAGGAAGGAAAATCAAACAAAGTTCTCGTCAAAACAATATAAGTTGAGACCAAGAGCCGATGATCGGTATTTTGAGAAGATCTGATGTCCACCAACGCAGACACTGACCTGACCCTGAACAGGTTCGTGCAGGTTCCAGAAAACGTATGTCTCGATCACGTCCAGACCCCCATCCTTGGACTTTTCAATCAGGTCCGGCCACATCTGCGGCGAGGGGGAGAACACAGGTGACGAATGTTTCTCAGCAGTTCAGTGAGGGAAGGGTGATGAGGAGAAACGGAACAGAGGAGGGGAGAGAGAGAGAAGCAGAAGCAATGGTAGACAGCGTTCGAGGACTTGTGCCACCTCAGGAGTGCTGCGGGGGTAGTGGATGGAGCCGGAGATGAGCAGCCTACGCGCCCCATCGATGACCAGCGCTCTGTGGTCGTACGTGACATTTACGCTCTCGCTGAGCAGTACGAAAGAGAGAACAAAAGAGAGAAAGACCCTGAAAGGACCGCCGCAGAAAGGTTGAACACGGTAGAACAAGGACGACGACACGGCGCTGCAGAAGGTCTCTCCCATTCGCGCAGGACCAATGATGGGTGAAACTTCAAGTTGTACAGAAAGAACCGAACCGGTAGGTACCCTCCGATCAGGGTCAGTTCCTTCCTCTGCTCTGTGAGTGCTCTCGTTCAAATGTACACTTTGCTTGATTGTTCTACCTACGGCGTCACCTTTGCTTCCCCACTTCTCCTCCCCGGTAACATCGTGCGAGTACAAGGTCACGGTGAACGAGAGGGACAGTAGAAATGCGGAGAAGGGAACGCAAGAAACAGAACGGGATGAAAATGAACAGAAGAGACGTATTCAGGGCAGAGAGGAAGATACGGGTGCCGTCGATAATGGAGCGGATAATGGGGCGTTGGTTCAGGTCAGGCAGCCACCACGCGTGTTCCACCTTCTTCCACCTTCTCCATTCTCCTCTCGGGTCGTCCGGCGCTTTTTTCACATTGTCTTACTGGATGGCAGGAGGTGGAGGACCACCGCTTCTTCTGCCGCTGGGAACGGCAGTGGGAACGGCGAGAAGGAGAGGAAAAGCGGGGACTGTTGAAGGGAATAGCCCACGTAACACAGAAGCAGGGACAGAAATATATGCCGCAAATGGTGGCTGCCAGATGCGTATTTTTTATAATGGTCTACCCCTCACGCTCGACGGGATTTGAAAGAAAGCAGCAGAGAGAGGGGCAAGCGCAACGACCGAGGATGTCGGCGAGGAGCAGCGCCACCCGCACGGTTGGCAGTGGTGCAGTTTTAAAGAAGAAACAAAGAGTGTGCTGTGTCGGTGGTAATGAGAGAACACAAATGCTTTCCGCTGTTTCAGACATTTACTCTTCCGCCCACCTGCCGCCCTTACCGTGGAAAGAAGGGAGAGAAGGAAAGGTCATCTTTATGGAGTGGAAACTTAACCAGCGGTCCTCCTCTGCGCCGGCCCGCGTGTCACCGACCAACGCAATCTTGTACCAACGATAGCAATGTACTGCCGCCCCGTGCTTACTCTCTTAATCTCTCTCCTCTCTCCCCTCCCTTGCGGCAGGGACGCTGACGACGATGAGGTTCAGAAGTGGTCAGGATGAGGGGGAACCTCCCTGACTCTCTTACTCTCCTCTGCGCGCGCCCCCCCCCGCCCCCCCCTCCACCCCCCAACACGTGGTCAGGATGAGGGGGGCCGTCACCGGATACAAGGTAAGAGAGGAGTATCACTTAGGACGCAGCAGGGTAAAAGGAAGAGAGCTGTGTTCGGGCAGTCATATGTTCATTCCGCTCATCTTCCTCCGCCACCACAGCAGTCACTCACCACTACGCTGACACGTGAGCCCGTACGATCTTCTGCCAATGGTCCTCATTCCTTCATAGCATGAGTGTGCCACACTAATCTCCAGAGCCATGTCGCATCCAGGCTTGTACTACATATAGATCAGAACCATGTCAGCCAAGCTGTTGGTGTCATGATCGACTTCATTTAGGAGACCATAAGCAGTCACATCCAGATCTCTGAAGACTGAGAACGGTGCGAGTCAAACATCCAGCGAGCCGAGCTTCTCTGAGTGAATCAAGCGGCACTCACCTAGATCGTTTTAACATCTATACATCTGTCCTCGACTCCGCACGCGATCCCCGTCTTATTGTTTATCAGCATTCTTACTTCACCTTGTGGTATGCAGCTAGTAGGCCCTTTCTGGGACTTGCAACATCATTAGTTCATCAGAAGCCAGCTTACTGACCACACGCACGGAGAGATGAACAGTCGAGGGCTAGTCACATTACTGCGTTAAGCTTGCGCTGGAGATCAATCGTATCCGGGAAATCTGGGCTCTTTATACCTCTTCTCTGGAGCAGAATCGAGATCGAGAGGTAGAGAGAAACCGGAATGCTCGGCGCTTGAGCTCTGAAGCGCCCTCCAATCTATGCGGTAGCTGGAATCCCGATGGATTGATCCAGTGCCTGCCCCCCTCGCCATCAGCAAGCATGAAGATGGCTAACAGACTATATCTATTAGACTGGGCTACCCAGGCGGAACAAAGGGAGAAGCCAACAAAAAGACATGTAGACCGGATCCTGATACAAGCTGACATGAATGGATACAACCTAGAGACGGGAGCTGCAAACCTTGAGCCTTAGCGCCGCACTGACTTCCCCGGAACACAGATTTCAGTCCCTATAAGACGGGCAAAGAGGTTTAAGTTCCGACGTGATGCCTCAGACATTATCTACACCATCCCCACGCGACGTTCCGCCCACTGAATCCGCAGCAGACAATTTTTCAGCAGCCAGCCTCTGCTCCAATGCTCTTGCTCCTCGCTCTCTGGGTTATATGACACAAAAGGGAATGCTAATGAGCCTTCTGGCCATTCAGTGAAACAATAAAAGTGTGTGCGGTTGCATAGTTTCTCCAATTAAGTCTCAACATTTTCAAGATACTTTCTCTCTTCTTCGTTTACCCACAAATCCTTTCGTCTAAATGGAACACCGAATCGAGAAACAAACTCCATTCTCCACCAGTGTATGACCAGGATTTTGATGGCCAATGAAACAATAAATGAGGTCATAAAAGTCCTAAAACATAATGTATAACCGTGTGTCCTTCTAAAGGGCAAAAAATTGGCATTTACAACAACGGACGAAAAAAATCCATGTGGACCTCTTATCATAAATATTTCAACAAACATATGGGCGCACTTTAGTCAGGTTGTGATAGATTAGTGAGGCATCAACATGACCCAACCTGTGTCTGTGTCACAGTCATCATCATTTATCATGGCACTCAGAACATTCCTAATTTCCACTGTACGTCTTGTTCAATTCAGAACCAAGTATTAATGCATAACGAAATAAATTAAAACCTTATACAAAATGGAAGATAACAACTATACCTCCTCCTCGACGCCTCAATGGGATCAGAACCAGGCAGAGGGGACCCTCCTTCTCGAGAACCTTTATCCTGATCAGAAATTTCAATTCTTCCGCACAGAAGCCTATGAAAAACTGATGCAATGGGACCCACGATTGGCCTGAAAATTACAAAGCAATAAAAATCCATAAGAAAATGGCGAATGTCGAACAAACTAAAGCAAATAAAAAAGACATACAAAAATATACCGCAAAAATTCTGGGAAGAAGGCAGAGAAGGCAAAATCATCACTTGGATCCCCCCTTAGATTTGTTTCTGGCTTCTTCTGGAGGTATCGCAGATAAATCCAGCTTGTATAGATCCCAAATATTAGAGTCGGAAGGTAGGACAAAGCCTCCTCAGTAAACAAGCTTACAGCGATTGACAACAGTACAAGTAGAGAGGGCAGCCACTGTAAAAGTAGAAGAAAACAGAACCGCAGCACCATGAGTTAATTAAAACATCCACTCAACAGCTAATTGTTTTCGCAATACCTTAGCATTGATCCTTAAGACAGAAATCAAACCAACTTCCTGGTCTGGCATGATTTGCTTAATGCCAACAAGAAACCCCGAAACAACTCCATGGAAACCAGAAACTTGCACATACCTGAGAAGGGCAACGGATAAAATAAAGGATATACAGAACTAATTAAAAAGGATACGAGGTTGCCAACTGACTCAACTCCACATTGAAGAATGGATAAAGAGGCAAGTTTCCAAGAGGAGCAAAGAGATCATTATATGTAAGCGAATGAGAAGCTCTTGCAACTAAAGCTTTAAAATAAACAACTCTGGGTTATGAAACTCACAGGTAACTTTCTTGTCTTGTTATGTAGTAAAGTGCAATCGCAGTAACAAACACACAGACTGAAGTCAGGAAGTTAACTACCAAAATGAATTTCATAAACTCCTTTGGTCCCCATATAGGTTCCAGAAGCTTCCCAATGAATAGGAGCCCAAGTGTGCTGATTATTACCTGGAAAAATATTTGCACAATGCAGTTATGCTTAGCAATGGTACATATAGAATTAAGATAAATAAACGTTATGGTTTCAGGCCACATAAAAAGATGGGCGTTCCAACATCAAATTCCAAAAAAACTTAAAATGCACAATAGCTAGGTAGAATCAATCACAGGAATGTGATCAGTATACAAAATCGCTAACCAGTTACAAGTTCTCGATCAGGATTGCATCAACCATGGCAGACTGTGAAAGTGTAAGCTCGCAAATATTCTTAATGAAAAAGAGCAAGACTTCAACAGAACCTTAAAGCCAAATTTATTTTAAAAATGACATTAATTTCACCTCAGAAGCTAAAAAGACCGGACAGACTCTCATTTTTTAAGAAAACAACAGCAAGGATGAGAATTTATTTCTTGAATATTATTTCTTCTACCACATCTGAACCCAATATCCAGTTGTCTCCATCTCTGGGAAGGAAAGTGGGCAGCACCAGTCAGACACGGTCGGACCTGGAATAGGTTGAGTGGTACCAATTTATCTCGCTCCCTTATAACTGCCACTTCTATCATCTTCTCTTTCCTCCACACGCACTTGCTGCATTTCCACTCCCTTCTTCCCCTGGGCCAGATCAGCCATATACTGACACGAATGATTCGGATCACCCTCTTAAAATTAAATTGACGACACCCAATTACCAACCGAAACCAATGATCCAGTCAGAACTACCACAGAAAGTGCCGTGAGAAAAAAATCATCGTAAAAAAATAAGAAATACATACTCTCAGGACTACGGCATCAGTTTTCCACTCCTTATGTTTCACATTCTCTTAAGAAGCTCTAAAAATATCAGTAAAAGTGGGCAGGCTCAATACATTAATTTGTCCTACAGCTGAGGCAAATTTTATCTCCACAATCACCTCCACTGCCAAAGATCTCTCTACAGATGCCTCCTTGTTTCTGCAACTCAAGAGGTACAAACCATAGCGCGCATAAGAATCCTCCCAACTTCTTCAGAGTCAAATCGAAAGTTGAATTGTTTCCCAAATTTCCATCATTTCTCTTACATCATTTCCTTAGGTGAAGTGCCCCCCATGCTTAACTGACGTAGGACTGTGGCTATTAAATCTATTTTAGCTCTAAGATGTTCTCCATTTATTTACAATGTGGACGAAATAAAACACCTGACTGAGTTTCTTTTGCAAGAAACGCCAAACATTTCAAAGAATGCGTCGAAGGAAATAAAGTACACTAAAAATTATGTCAAGTTGAAGGGCAAGTAACAGAAGTGAACATTAAGAAAAAACACTAAAATTGAATCCTTTATAGAATCAAAAGACGTAGGATTAGGGCAAAGCATGCATAGCATTAGACGAAGAGAATAACTTTAAATAATAGAAAAATATTCAGATAAATTGAGATACTTAAAAAATACGCACTGCTGATAACATGTAAAATACGCACCCTTGGCAGTGATTGCTCAATATAACCGGCCGTTATAAGGTTCCATACAAAAGGGATAGTCCTAAAAAATGAAATCAGGAAAATAAACTATTAATCGGCCACATTCTGAAGCAGATTCATGCATACATAAAGATTAATGTCGATTCTTGAAATATTAGTGTAAGCAGATGGAGAAAATGCAATAGATGTCGTAAATGCAAAATAGAAAGGCTCGTAGGATACCAACCAACAGGTACAAAGCTACTTACGGTGGGAGGAAGATCCAGAGTCAACATCTGGTTAAAAAACTATGCCGACATAGCACCAGGGGCAAATGACAGCCAAAACGATAAAAGGCCATAAAAAGTAGAAAAATACAGTAAAAGCCAGAATTCATCTAATGCAAAAGCTCCATGGTTACGCAAATTGGAGATTTCCATGTTGACTCAAGCCAAGGAGTCTAAAAAATTGGCAGAGAAAACACATCATTGTCCTCATTAGCTTCGATTTTTTAAAAATACCCGGACACATGTGAGCCACATTTAAGTTCATTATGAAGCGTACCTTGCAGGAATAAGGGTGAGATAGGCGACTGCTGTAGGGAAAATCTGAACTAGAGCATATCCACCAGCAAGTACCAGAGCAAGACCCTTGCATAGACGGGTAAATCCAGAAAAGAAGTTGGGTCCCTACAATTAAAAAATCATAATTGCTTCAGGTAACCCAGACAGACTATATATCATTGTCGCAGAAAATAACATAGTTTCGACGACAAAACTTTCTTCTTCTTGCATAACCGGCAGGGCGGCAAGTCTAATGAGAGAGAACATCGAAAAATGGCAAATATAGAATAGAGTAAGGCACAGGGAGATGTTATGCACGATGCCTTCGATGCGCAACGCAATTGAAACATTATTATGGACCTTGGGGGATAATATGGAGACAGTATAGATATGGCCAAGAATTAAACCTGATAAGTAATTGTAGCCGAAGTTGAACCAACAAGAGCCAGAATCCTCGTAAATATTTGCTAATTTTGAAACAGTAAAGCTTTAAGAGATGTTGAAAGAAATCTCTGAGACGGAAAACGGACAAAGATTAAGCACCAAGAAAAAAGAAAAATGGGACTCCGGAGTCAATTGCCAACGTAACGGCCCTGCTATCTTGTCATACTCCAGGATTAGCACCCCCACACTCATGACAATATTCTGGAGGCGGGATCGCCTTATCACAAAATATTCCCAATGTCCAACCGGGGGAGTTTGGGAAATAGAAACTTTGACCTCACAGAGAAGCCAGTTCGAAAATGCCCCAGGAATGGTAGCTGATAGTGAAGGAATGATGTGATCTGATTCATCTTCCAACTCTCGAAGTCCAAGAAGTTGTCCTCACCGACAAATATTGGCAGCGGCCCCTTTCCCGATCTCCGATCCGGTGCAGGAAGAAAGAGGGAGAGGCGGATCTGATGCAGGATGACAACAGGGAGAGCTTGTTCGTGAGATCTTACCATCGAAGAAGACGCAGATGACGAGGTAACCACGGTTCCACCAGGCCAAAAGCTACTCGCGTCCTCCCAACGGCTTCTTCCCGCTTCACTGCCTACTCTCTCTCTCTCGCTCTCTCTCTCTCTGTTTCTCTCGCGGGAGTCGCCGCGGCGAGATGACACGTCACTCTTGCTCTTGGCCCACTAATTTCAACCTCGCGAGGAGATCTGACGGCAGAAGAACACAAAATGGGCCAGTTCAAGTAGAGCCGAGGGCAGGCGTAATGGGCCGGTCTCAGCTGCAGCGGTACCTGGAAACATCGTCAGTAGGCCCAGAAAAGAACGGAGAAATTGCGTTATCAGCCCAACGATTAAGAGGTATGCCACGGGGTGGTCAATCAGACCTTCTCTCCCTCGCGGAATCGCTCGTTTCCTCAAATGGGGACACGCGTACTCCTCTCTCTCTCTCTCTCTCTCTCTCTCTCTCTCTCCCCCCCCCCCAACCTCTTTCAGTGTGCAACATTTGTGGGCGGGAGCACCCTCATATGGTTGCCGTCGAATGTCCCCCAGATTTGCAGTACATGTGGAGTTCCATTTAGCGAATATACACATATACGTACACATAAACAGAGAGAGAAAGAGAGAGGGAAGGACGTGCAGAAACCAGCGAAGGAGACGGGATAATGCGATCAATATCATCCGTTCAGATTTCGAAGCCCACTAGCACGGCTAGGGAGAAGATTGGCAGCAGTAGCAGTAGCATATTAGTGGTAGTAGTAACAAGGGTAGCTGCAAGTGGTACGAGCACCACACAGCTCTCCGGTCCAAACCCACATTCGTCACACTCTCGTCCCTGCGCAAGCAATGCCACTAGCCGGTGTGGGCAGCCAGAGACGAGCCGCAAGATCCGTCATCGCCAAGTCAGAGTGGGAGTGACTCCAAAATACGTCATGGGTCTGTCGCACGCCGCTTCGGAATTCACTGGTCCCACTCCAAGTCCGGGCTGAGCTGCCGCGTCGCCGCCTTCCGACCCTCGCCCCCGATCTGGGCAGGCTGTGACGCTCCCGTTACGAGGCGGTCCCAGCCCATAATATAAGGCAAGATGAACTGCAAAAGAACACGAGTCAGGCCGATGGTTATTTATCCACGGTGTGCCCCTTCCGTCTTCACTTTCCGACCAATTCGTTAATCTCCCGCTGCAGTTGACTGATAATGCAGCCTTTGGCAACTAGGCAACGGTTGACTAATACGCAATGGAAATGAGAGGTCGACTGACTAGATACCGGAAACCAGATCCCCTCAGAATGATGGATTCGTGAACAGACGGCACTGCGTTGTCCTTCGAAGGGACCTCTCTGTGGAAAAACGGATAACAACCCCCGTACGAATATACAACAAGCTAGTTCTAGCGATCAATTAAAATAACATCTAATCTTCTTCCCCCAAGTAAAATAACACTTACGCTAAACGATGTCCGCAGCACAGAGAACTCAGCCTTCGTGATCGGCAGGGTAAAGCGTTCTACAGACTTCTGAGCGGTACGAGAAACATCTGCACCAAGATTTTAACGGGAACGCAGCTGAGAAAACTTGCAGAGAAACAAGTCATGACGAAGCGTTATTCTCCCGTACGCTTTGCACTTGATATGGTGTAATAAAATGAACGGGCAAGTGTAGCGGTGAACATGCATGTAGAACACACGATTCAAAAGCACTCTAGAATATCGAGCATTGGTTCCAACACGTAGAGGCCCCCCTCGGTCTTAACGCACCTTTAATAAACCACTCTGCATTTGTCTCGTTCTAGTCCCAACCTCTCACTTGTATAAAGAATAAAACCCGCCATTTTAATCCACGCATGTGCGTCCCACAACCTCTCTCCTTTTGGGGTCTGTTCAGATCACATCCACTAATGTTGTTCATCTTCAAAGGTCTGGCCCACGAAGAAGGTCGGTGCACCGAGAGTCGTTAGTCCTCTCCAGCTATTCGGCATACTAATTCGCAAACCATCCATAATTAGCCACACTATACAATGTGGGACATGCCGCCTTTTAAAAAGTCCATTGCAGCACCACTTCATCGATCGTTGCACTTTTTATCCGTCTGTTTCTTTCCCCCACTTCTCTGCAGTACATTTGTGAATACCTCTCCACACAATCTATGGCAATGGAACCAATCTCCAGAACATTTGCACCTGTGGATCCTCCCAGGAATTGGTTATCGACCCACAGCATACCCTTTTTGTGAGGTATTTGATTGCCAAAAGTAAATTTCTCAGAATGCAGTCACGCATTACAGAGGTGATTAAAATACAATGGACAGCGTGTAGACTAAACTCTCTCTGCATAAAAAGGAAATGATCACACCGAAATGTGGGCGCGTAAGCACTGATGGCGATGCTTTGAAAATACTTTCAAAGTAAAGAAAAAGAATTTAAAATGTAATAGACGACTTTCAGATATAGGGATGCTTACTCAAAGTGAAGAAATAACCACCATCATTGGATGTGGGGCTTACAGTGAGTGACTTTTTTACTTCGCCTTCTTGACTGTACTTATTTCAGACATTTGTCAGCACAATGATTTTCCAATCATTTTAATGTAACAACAAAACAGGTGCTACAAGAAGGCTGACAAATGCTACTAAATGTCATAAACACCTTTGGCGTATCGTGTGAAAGAAGTTAACAAACCTTGATTTCATGGAAGGATCGTGGAAAAATTCACAAGATTCTTCAGGACCTAAGCTAATCAAGCATCCGACTTCTGTAGGTGATAAAGCAAAGAGCTAAAAAAATGACAGGTGAGTCGGAAGTCAGCAAATGAAACATAAAACAAAAAACGTCAAATAATAAAAGGTGAAAACATCATTACAGTTGTGATATCACCTAGTAAAACAAAAAATATCTATGTTTAATAAGCCATTTCTACATGGCAAGCGTCGAAGTCAAAGCGGAACTCTGTATTTGAGACTCACCTGTCTTTTTTCAGGGTCATACTTCCGTGTACCAACAGCAGGCATGAACTTTAACATGATTGAACCTTTTTTTTTAATGACGGAATTCCCCGACTATTCAAGAGAAGAAGCATGCATCAGATGATATACGGACAATAAAACACATGCACTACAGGGAATTAGCAATCAGTGAAGCAAACACATACATCCATCATGCTAAACCTTGGTAGCACGGGGGACACAATGAGCGCAGCTTTACCCTTGAAAATAGAAAAATCAGCGAATGTCCTGCTGATGGAAGTATCTATGGGCACAAGAGTCAGTCCAGCTGGCTAAATAGTATCACACGATAGCCAACAATAAGGCGAAATTGCGAACTAGACTGTACCTTCATCACCAGGATTGTGCCTAGAAGTTGAAAACCCATTCCGAAACCTAAACCAAGAAAGCTGTGATGTTCCCTCTAATGAAACTGTCCCAGGCACTGAGTGCCTGCTGAGCCTGTTGATCAGTTAGTAGCTTTCAGAGATACAGATCAAAACTTCATGCAGAAAGCAAGGAATGAACTATCACCAAAATCCTACGAGGATTACATTCGATAGGCACTATATGGAAAGAGGCATTTGACACAGCCAAAGAAACGAGTTGGCACAATATAATTCAGAATCTTAATCCAAAAGACTTTCGATGCAACTTTCACTAGCACTTGGTAAAACTGCAGAAAAAAAAAATAATCTGGCAGTCGAACATAGTTCAGCTCATTAAAACGTACAGCTCTTTTAAATAGAAAATCAGCCGCCCTGTTTTCAAGGGTTTAACCTAAACAAAACAACCGCCTCAAAGGCCTTGCCTGTTTTCCTTTGAGTCAAAATTAATAGTTCGAGTGTGACAATCAGATAATGGATCTATCTTGTCTGGAAGAAAGTTTATCTCCGAAGAGAATAGGAGGCAGATAAAGATTAAGAGAGAGATTTACATATATGAAGATAAAAAGGTATAACACATGCAGAGTTTCTCACCGAGATAGAAAGTTACAGGAAGACTTGATCATCTTTTCAGCTGAAACTGGTGGATGCACTGGTAAGAAAGAGAAGCAGCAATACCCAAGCTTAACCCTGGAATGCAAGTCGTGACGAGAACCTTGATGTATCGATGTGGGGGAACTGAGAAGAAAAATGCCAATGATTTGTCAGGAAGATATCCAGGCTGCTAGGCGAGCGCCGCCTGTCTTGGCGTCGACTGTGAGCTGCTCCCTGGGCATCGCCCGCTTGATTCGCTGGCACGGCGGAGACTAGGGATTCTATTTTTAGGGTCACGCGAGCCGAGTGGCTTCTCACTTTTCCCCCCGCCTACTCCAGCTTCGGAGCATCCTCTCTCTCTCTCTCTCTGTTGTTCTGTAACCCGAGAATGGTCGTGGCATCACTTGGCGCTTTTCCCATCAATTTCAATTTGGCGTCGGAACAGGCGAGTAGAGTTCGAGCCGAGATGACGGCAAGGCGTTAATGGGCCGATCCAAGCGGGAATGCCGACAGGGCAGAAAACGGGCCGGGCACATAAATTATGCGTAAGATGAAATGGGCTGCAGCCCAGATATGGCCATTTTGTGTGTGTGTGCGTGTGAGTGAAAGAGAGAGAGAGAGAAGCATACTACTATTAAAATATGTTTTAAAATTCCTCTTTTTCATTTCTGTCTCCTTTTCACTATTGCCCGCATCACTGCACCGGCTAGAGAACCATTTTCTCAGCCTAGCTTTTCATCCAAAGTAGCTAAATTGACCTTGAGACGCCATACATAGAGTAATGCTTATTGCTTTACTCTCTAACCAACCTATTCCTTAACTTGGGATAACCATTTTTGCATCAAGCTCTCAAACCCATCGTCAACCAAATGATTCACGTCCATTAACCTTCAAGCCCTTTCTCCCCATCGTCAGCAGAGCAGCCCATTCCTGCCTCGTCCCCACTGTCTTGGCTAAAGAGGAGAGACAAAAGTGGGGAGCCATCCTCCTTTTCTTTGGGGCCCATGGACTCTCTTTTCTGCTCGGCGCCATTCTCTGCAAAAAAGAATTCTGACGACCAGCAGTAACATGGTGGGGCTCTTCAAATCATTTGCCACCTACAATACTTTGACGTCAAAGAAATGAGAAATATGTCCCCCAATCAGTACCACACTTACCGCCTATACAAAAAACCTCCTAGTACCCTTCTTGCGTGTGATGGTATGAAGAACCATGTCCCGATTGAAAGTAGATCATGCCTGGATAATCAAATCTTTCATGGTTAAATACCAGAATGGCATGCATATTATGGGGTTGACAAAAGAGAGGGTCTACAGATTCTCTTGTTTCGTCCCAAGCTCCTTGTGTGTGAAAAACATATCTACAGTCAAATCCATTAAATCTCATTAATCGTTCAAGTGATGAGCGACATGATATCTATATCAAGAATTTCGTCCAATTCTCGAAAAATTTTCAATCCACTACATAGTAGTTTTGGCTGCCAAGATTTATGACAAGTATCCATGCTTACAAAATATTGCATTTGGTAAAACTTATTAAGAGCAAAAGCCCAATATAGATCAAATAGAAAACTGTAAATCAAAGTTCAACACCCCCTTAAAGGGAGGAGAGTTGACACCAATAAATCATGATAAATAGTGAAAGGGAGAAGAGCTTACACAAAAGATCACTAAAGGTACCGAAATATAAGATCCCCATGTACAACAAGTTATACAGCCTGAAGTAGTGCCAAAATATGTTGACCGTCAAATACTTTTTATCTAATACAAGGAAAAAAAACACCCCGGGAATAGGACCCTGAAGACTTTATAGTCCTCAAGCTTTCTCCTAAGCCTAACAAATTTACCCTCAAGTTTTATATCATAACAAACAAGCATCACGTTCCCTCAAATTCAAATTTCAGGTTTATCTCAGAACCTTTGTTGTATGTATTTAAATAGATATATATATATATAGGCTTTCTAAATAACTTGTCCTTGCATTTAAATGCGTTATTATCAATTATTTTCAAAAAAACTGTATATGAAGGAAAATGCTAAATTTCGTTGTAGACATTTGATACACGCCATTGAAAAGACAATTCACACTAAGGGTAGTATAATAAGGTGCACTCACACAATGGAGTAAGTGAGCATTGGCCAAACTTCTGTGGGTAGTTGATGCACTCGTGTAATACTTTTAACTACTTTAGTACCCACAACTTTCCAGACCTATCTACAACCATTTTTTTTTTTTGGCTCAACTCCTGGTACAACTCTCACAGTGGCTTTTTGACACAATCTTGATCAATTCATTGCATGATATATATCTTCCAAGTTAGACATGTATTGGTTCATGGACGATAATAACTATAAATCAGAATTAAAGGATAAGTCTACAAATTTTAGGGAGAGTCCTTCTCTCAATAAACTCCCAATCAAGACCCAATTGGATTCTCTCATAAACATCCAAAATGGTTTATTTCAACAGAGGTGGAACCATAAGAAGAGCATCCCAGCGCTGCTATTTTAAAATCCAGCATCCAACGCCAAACTCCGAAAATGAGTTTCGTCTCTTATGCATATCATATCATCACACGGTTTTGGTGTCATGAGATGAAAGTTCCAGCCTTGCATAGTGAAAACGGATGCAGACGCAAGAGATCGAGAGATTAAATGGAAGCACACACCGAATTTACATGGTTCATAGAATCTTCCTACGTCCACCATGCCACGAACCCTTGTTCTTCCTTTGGAGAGAGAGTCGTTTCACACTCTTTACAAGAGACATCGGTCCGCCCATTTATATCATAGGGTTAAGGCAACCATATAGGAACAAATTTAAGTAATATTCTTAATATAGAACTTTATCATTCTCCACATGCCTCCAACATTGAGTTAATTATATTTTATTATGTTGTTGGCCCATGTACTCCATCATGACCATGATCGTCATTAGCATCATCATCATGGAGATCTCTTCATGGTTGGGATGCTTGAAGCGCCGACCTAGAATTTCATTCTATCTTTTTTTGTTCTCATGTCTCTCTTTGACCATGTTGAATGAATATCGCACTCTCTACTTTTCCTGTTCTTTTTTGATTTTTTTTGAGACGCCTGGGAGGGGTCAGAGTGGTCGAAGTCTTCCGGCTGCCATTATGAGTTGTTGTCGTCAGTTCTAAGGAGAAAAATCAGAGTCGATGGATGGTCTTTAATCGGATTCCTTTGAATGGCTCTAGCACCTGGGGGCGATTCTTGATCACTCTCAATCCCCTGACCGGCTCTCAGTTCTCGGGCGAGCTCCTACACTGGGCAGGGCGCTACTTGATGAAGAAAACGAACTTTGGGAAAGTAGTTCCGGTAGCACTGCTGGTCAGAGCAAAGAACTGAGAATCCGATTTCAGTTCTAACTCAGCCGAGAGCGAGCCGGGTATTCAAATGAGAGTGAATAGAGGCAGATTTAAAAAACGCGGGGGTTCTCGCGTCCCCTCTTCAAAACTACAGAGCGCCTCGCGCACTCTGGCTTTTTAGGCTCCGTTTGCAGGGCGAGACACGGAGTAGCGGGTGCTCTCCGTGGGAAATATTCACGTATCGATCTATCCCTCTATATACGTATATCTATGTGCGTATCTATCTATATCTATAGAGAGAGAGAGAGAGAGAGAGGGTGGCATGTGGGTGACTTTGGGCTATCCAGGTGGATGGAAGTACGAAATCGGCTCGCGAGGGCAAGTCCTTTCCATCGTGGATTTGGTTGCGATATTGACCGGGGTTTGGAGGGAGAGGGCGGACTTGGAATTCGGAATAGGAGGGAGGGGCCCAAAACGGAGCGCGCGTCGAAAAGGTGGAAGAGTAGACAGAGCAAGCGGGAGGCGTGTTTTTTTCTCGAGGGTCGGGTCGGGTCGGGTCTCACAGCCTTTTGGGGAGAGGGACACGCACCACGCGTGCATGCCGACGCCAGTGGTCGGATGGATGGCTTCCGTCCCTTAACTTCCGAGTCGCGACGTTCGGTCGAGAAACAGGATTGAAATCGGAGCGGGAAGTAATTTCGACGAACGGCGGCGGCCACCGTCTCCCAGATGGCATGTTTGTTGTTCGCGGCCGGCTGGACGGATCATTCATTGCCCACAGGAGACGAAAGCCAGGAAAGGTGACGCCGGTGGCAAGAGGAGAGGGTGGGAGAGTGACGGCTGGAATGGATTCCCGGGTGGGGGCAGCTCGACTTGGCACCCATCATCATACCTCTCTCTCTCTCACTTTATTCAGGGGAGGAAAATAAATACAGGATGCTGATGCCGACCCAGGAGGTTAAAGCAGCTCTGCCACCACCTCTCTCCCCTCACCTTTCTCTCCCTCTCTCGCTGTGTCGTCATCCTCTGGCTACGAAGCCTTCCCTTCCTCTAGCCGTGCCGGGGGAGTACGGGTTTCTTCTCTTCCGTGCCATCTTCGCGTTTCCTCTTTGCGTTATGTGCCGCCGAGGTGTCTCCTTCTCCTCCACGTCCCCCCCCCTCCCTCCCCACATCTTCCGGATCGAGAGCAAACCTGCGCACAACCCCCCCACCCCCCCCTCTCCACCGGCTACCCATCTCTCTCTCTTTCGCTGGCTCGCTCTCTCCTCTGTAGACGAGAAGCGTCACCACCTTGGGTAAAGGAGCTCTTTTTCCTTCATCTCGTAAATTCGATTCTGGCGCCACCCCCTCTCTTCCTAGTTCTAACGCATTTCCGAGTTCCACTTACCCCACGCGGTCGGCCACCTCCCGGGTTCTTTCCGAGGGTGAGAGCGGAGAGAGAGAGAGAGAGAGGAGCAAGTAGGAGCGACCTTCAGAACCGCCGCCACCTGTGAGAATGGGAAACATTGGTAGCAGCGGTGGTACCAACGGCGACCGGCGGCGGAGGGGCTCCGGGCATCATAGCTCCCATGGCCCCGTCCCACCGCACCCTCCTACTCACCCACAGTTCTCAGCCTCTCCTAACCCCTCCCCACCGGAGATCTCAGGCAACCGTTATGTCTTCGCCGCTGCGGTCCCTTACCCTCCTCAGTACCCCAACCCCAACGCCCCTCTGTACTATCAGTATCCGGGCTACCACCCGCCCCCACTGCCTGCCTTTTCCGTCCCGCTTCCAGCTCCCTTCGATCACCACCACCGCGGGGGCAGCAGCGGCCCCCCGCAGCCCCACGGCCACCACGCCCCCCACCTGAATTGGGTCGGCCCATACATGCCGCCGCCACCTCCTCATCACGCCTTTCCCTTCGTTAAGCACCAGAAGGCCATAACGATACGCAACGATGTTAACCTAAAGAAGGAGACCCTGAGGATGGAACCGGACGAACACAACCCTGGCAGCTTCCTCGTCGCGTTTACGTTCGACGCCACGGTCACTGGAAGGTACAATTTTCTCTCTATTTTTCTTCTTCCACTGAGCATGCATCTGCATAATTCTGGCCTTCCACACAAAGGGGGAACCACTTGTGACTCGCACTACCGAGCGCCTTTGACATGGATATGACGGTGGCTCTAATCCTCGACCCGTCACACTGCACATGACTGCGTAAAAATCATGGCTTTTGATACGTTCACGGCATCGTTGAAATGTCTCTTGGGATTCTGGATTGTTGCAATGCCCGACTAGTGATCATAGTGCCAGCCCAGCATCGTGCTCGCCGTAGCTGAAGCCTATCTGCTCCTCCAGGCGCTTTTCCCGTACATACAGAGTGAGGGAGAGTATCTGGTTTCTTCCTTCTAGGGTGTCCTGCCATCGCCAATACGCATCATGCATCGTTCCCTGCTTGAAAAAGTACTTTTCTTTTGCTAATTTCCATGCCAGGAGCTGAGCTTAGATGCCCGCACTTGCAGGTTTAGATATTTCCACCTGCGCTGTGTGTTATCCCTCATCCGTGAACTTACTTGGCTTGATGATCATGCTTAAATTCGAAACACGTTTACCCAATGCCCTTACTTTGCTAGAAGGCACCTTGATTAGTCCAGCGCAGGCCTCACACCCGGAAATGGCACTCTACTTGCGCATCTAAAATTTGTTGTGTCCGCGTCCAATTGTGAGGGGTGGTCATGCTGATTCAATTCCTACAGGCTTTAGTGCTCGTAAGCCATCCTCTCAGACAGCCTAGATCGAGGTCATTCCCCAGGTCCGTACAAGATGTAGTCAATTTTTCATCAATAGCTCGTTGCTTCGCCCATAAATATATACCCATGACTGTGTTTCTTCAGCAGTAGGTCTTGTTCTTTACAGAGAGAAAGCCCGCGTAATACTTCATTATTTCCTGTGGAATTGTAGGGTCTCTGTGATAATGCCATATCATCCGGTCCTGTGACTGATGGGGTTTTGAATTCCTGTGATCCGGAGAAATTAGGACTTTGTCCAAAGCCTGCCGATTCGGGTTGAAGAGGTGGATCAGTCTCTAAGAATCCCAAACCAGCGCGTGCAATTTGATAGTCTCATACCTTGAACTCGTCCACCAGCTGTGTTGGTGGGGAAAACATGAAAACTGGAGCTGGCTGGGCTTCTGATCGGGGGACTGGGCGTCTGGAGGGGGGGAGGGAAGGGGGGATGTTTGAGGTTTAGAGTGTGGTCAAGTCGGAGAGACTGGCGGCTCTTGCCATTTCCGGTTTGAGTGTTAGATGTTGAGAGTAAAAAGTAAGTGGGGGAGGGGATAAGCATGAAAACCGTCACTGAGGTCTCATCCGCATTCTTCCTGTGGGTATCGGTGCCAGTTAGTATGGAGGAGACCTTGGATGCTGCTGTGCGGCGGCACTTCAACCGTACATTGTGTTCCTGCCCCATGAAAAAAACCCTGTGCTTGTATATACGCGCACCCCACATTAGGGGATGTTCATCGTTTGGTTTTTCCTTTTGCATCGTGTAACGCCTAAAACGTAATGCCGACTGAGGCCTTGACGACGCTACTCACGAGCGCCTTCTCCTTCTGTGTTAATGGATGGGGCAGCATTACTATCTTTTTCTTCGCAAGAGAAGGGTTCGACTGTAGCCCGACGTCAACGAACGCAGCAGGCTTGCCCAGGCCATTCACGGTTACTTTCAAGGAGGGCTTGGGACAGAAGTTCAGGCAGCCGTCCGGCAGCGGAATCAACTTCTCAATGTTCGAGGAGGCAAAGCTGCTGCTGAAAGCGGGGGAGACGGAGGTGTATCCCCTTGCGGTGAAAGCGGAGGCGTCTCCATCTGGGGAGCAGCACCATCAGGGCCGAAAGGCCATCGTCCGGAATTCGCTGATCACGCAGGCGGCATTTGAAAAGAAGGACAATGGAGGATACCAGGTGAGGGTCATCAAGCAGATTTTGTGGGTCGATAGCGCCAGGTACGAGCTGCAGGAGATATATGGGATTGGTAATTCGGTCGACGGCGATTTCGATGGGAACGATCCGGGGAAGGAATGCGTGATATGTCTTTCGGAGCCAAGAGACACGACCGTCCTGCCTTGCCGGCACATGGTAAACCACTCTACCTTGCCCGCGACGGTTCTGACTTCGCCTCTACCTACCCTTCGTTCGTTCTTGCGTCGCGGCTGCCAAGTTCGGCCGTTCGGCCTTGGTTACTACGATTTTCGTTCGGGGATGATCTCTGTTCTTCCAGCAAATGGGTGTGGCGTGGGGCTAACTAAATCTGGCTTTGTGGTGGTTGCAGTGCATGTGCAGCGAGTGCGCCAAGGTTCTGGGGTTCCAGACGGACCGCTGCCCAATATGCCGGCAACCTATAGAGCGGCTTCTCGAGATCAAGATAAACAGCAGCAGCCAGACGCCTCCCGACGAGCAGCCGCAGAAACAGGGCTCTCCGCCGCACCTTCCCTGCTGAGCCTTCTCCCCCGCTACGCAACACGTCCTATGATGTGTATCAATCATACTGCATCCCAGCGTGGGGTGGCGCGCCCTTGGGGTGGATGTGGGGAAAGGACGACTAAAGGGGAAGACTTCTTGTCTTGCTTCGGTCGGCGACGGACGGGCTATCGACGGCGGGGGGTGGGTTCTCGACGGTCCCTGATTCACCGCATTGCTTGTTAGGGGGAGGGGTAGGGGGGACAATGTGATCGTTCCCTATGTGTCTGTCTCCTCCGTATGAACATAGCCTCCGAAATCTCCCCTCACACACCAACCAGAAAACTTGTGCCTCTCCGTACTCGGAGACCGATCATATTCTGAGACTCAACGGCGTTCTACCTCGGGGCTTCCCTACTTCCGGTGCCTATCCCCGGCATTGTCACTCGGCGGTCCTATCAAGGTCCGTTCCGTAGAACTTCGGCTACTGCGTATGGCGCACAGATCAGAGTTTAGTCGCACGCGGACAGCAGTAATTGTTATCGGGAGGCCCAGCGGAGATGAGGGGTGCGTGCCGCTTCCCCTCCCTCTTCTATATTATTTTTTATGCCAGATGAACGAACACGGAAACGAAATCGGCAACTTTTACACAGTCCAAGCGTCTGTCTGTCTTGAGAGTTGTACAGAAGACTCTTTCTTGTCCTTCCCCTCGACAACATTTCGAATCTGCTGCAAAGAGAACAGGCGGGTCCGCCACGGGAGATGCGTGCGACGCGTCGAGTCAGATTCGCCGCATTCATCGATCGAGATCTTCCACCACCGGGCCAAGTCCCATCGGTGACCGACGTCAAATAATGCCGCGTTAGGACAAAGCTTGTTCCCATCCATCTACACGGATGCCATCAATCAAAGAAGAACCATGCAGACCGCCCGCTAGCTCGCCAGCTTCAATGAAGGAGTGGACTTGAAAAGAGGAGATCGGCCACGGGCAGCGGCTCCCTCGCAGTCTAACAGGCCCCTTTTTCCCATCTGTCTTTCGCCCGGGAGGAGAGACCTAACCAGTGAGAACAGGAAGAAGATAAGAATTTACATGGTCTGGCAGACGACTGATAAATGGAATCATTTAACTATTTCCGTTGCAATGGATAACGCCATTGCTCAGCGTGTCCTTGTGCCTAACGTTAGCCCCCCTCTGTAATCCCCATATCCGAATCGTTCGGTCGTCACTGCCGGATGCGAGCATATGTGGGTTTACTGGGTTCCAGCTGACACAATTAACCGCACCAGAATGGCCAGCCAACGCATCTATGAACTCCCCTGTGCTTCTGTGCCACAAATACACCTGCAGATTTACGGTACGAGCTAATAAGGTTAAATGCCCACTAAACTTGGCAAAAGAAACTGGAAGCCAGGTTGACTTCGGAGCAGTGGGGTTGAGGTCCAAAACTACGTGCAAAACCCGGGCCAACGCCATTCTTACACACACAGACAAACAAACCAAATAAAATAAAATAAAATAGCACAAGGTTTTAGCAGAAGCCCAGCAACATTCTTGCCAGAGCCATACGGAAACGCTTGCAATACTCGACGAGACAATCGGAACACATGCACGCTTTTCTGACAGGAACGAGACCTTTGCGTTGCCGAGAAAAACTCCAAATAAAATATTTCATCATGCAAACGATGTAAAGTGTATAACCGAGATCTGAGATCAAAAGCAGCAAAATTCCCAATATGCGATTGTAAACTTGAGTGAATTACAAGGATTCTTCATTCCATTTTTCTCAGTGGTCCTCATGTTGTTGGATCAGCACATGTACTCACCCCGGCAGGCAGAATTCATGAATTTAGCAGACGGTTTCGACTGCTGGATTCTCAAACTCTTCTTTACAGTCCACACGTTTCAGCAAACCGAATCAGACGAAATCGACGGAAAAACAATTATTTCGGTGAACTAAAAACCGCAGAAAGATTCGTATTGAAATTATTCATCAAATAAAGCTTAAATATCTTGGGTAGTCAACATGGAGGAGAACATTCATACCTGTGAATCCTCACTTCCACTTGCTATGAAAGCCTGCTCGAAACCTCCAAAACAGGATCTTATTACAAACCTTGTTCTTTTGTGACCTCTGTACTTGGCAACGAGTTTTAGATCGCCTAAGCTCCACAAATGAATCTCCTCGTTTACAAGATTAAGCAGTAGAAATTTGTCATCTCTCGACAATGAAAATGATGTGATTACATGTTCCTCCTCAATGAACTTTTCCAGCTTTGTTTCTCTATCAAGCAAAAGAATAGCACTTTCCTTACAAATGCTAACAACATATTTGCCATCAGATGTGACAGCCATGTCTGCAATCTTTATTGTCCGTTGTCCTCTCCAACATTCCATTTCTTTGCCATCCAAGTCCCACATGCAGATACTCTGGTCAGTGAGACCAGAAAAAACCCATTTTCCGTCAGGAAACCAGCCACAAGAGATTAAGTTCAGACCATTTTTCTCATACACATGGATGCAATAGCCGGTGCTGACATCCCAACACTTTACAACCTCTTCCATTCCACACGTCAGAAGCAGACTGTCATCAGGGCTCCAAGCAACCATTAATACGGGTTTCTGGTGGCCACTCAACCTGTGCTTAAGTGATACTTCACCATCCTCATGAACCTATATAGAACACGGGGAAGTTTCATCCATATTGTTTCCCCCAGAAATTAAAAAGGACAAATGATTAGTGTGGCAAGAAGAGAAACTACCTCTGCCAGCAAAAAACTGAAGAGGTGAGTAAAGAGTCATCGCTATGGTTAACCAACTAATATTTATATCTGAACTAAAAGCTATTCAAACACCAAGACCTCATTAAATAAAGAAACATTACGGATGATATTAGATTAAAGTACTTATATCTGACAAACCTAGATACACCAAACTAGATCTCTATCATTATCCACCACATTCCACAAAAAAGAAAACCAAACACTCAGGAAGGCCATATTCATTAAACTCATGAAAACTCATGAAAACTCATGAAAACTGAGGAAAACATGTTTCAGCAGTCACATTGAACTTTCAGAAAACACAGAAGATCAGAGGTTCCACACGTCAAAATTTTCCTCTCCGCTCTTCACCAGAAGTCTACAGGAATAATTAATAGGCCCCTCTGTTGTACGAACTTATTGCTGCAAGTTAGCCAAAATCAAATCCATCTGATTCTGCATACCATGCAACTCAGGATTTGACTCGAAAATGCCCAAAACTGAGTTTGGTTGCATCGATTTTTCCTGACTGGCATGATTTGAACAGGTTAGCTTATTACCAATATTTTGAATTTAGTAGTTTTTTAGGCGTTTCCTAAGTGAAGAAAATAGAAATGTAAGAAACTTGAAAATACAAAATTTACTCTAACTGAATCCATTTAGGAAATAATACCTATCATACTGTGCCCAATTCCCTTGATAACAATGTAGTGAAAGAAGAAAAGCCGATAGGGGAGGCAAAAGCTGGAAACACCAGAGGATGAAGTGGTGGGTAAAGACGAAGGAAGGTGAATAGGAGGAGAAAAACAGAGTTTCTGTTCTTTTCATCTTCCTCCTCTGAAGCCCACAGGTTCACTTGTGTTCTCTTCTACTTCTGATAAGATACAAACCAATGGCACCAACAAGGCAGGGAAACAGCAAACCGTTTAGACGACAGTTTTGCGTAGGACTCACCCACTAAACGTATGACGTGTTAGTCAATGCTGTTGTCCACAAGTAGAGGTTCCTGGATCAAAATGATCTGAACCACCAGTTTTTCGAAGTTTTGGACTTCTTCCCTTAGTCTTCCATCTTCTTCCACTTTCTTACTCAGTCGCCATCTCATGCCGTTCTTCCTCTACTATTTCTTCCCCTGACAAGTGTTTACGTCCCACACCTACACAGGTGGCATTAACAAAATTCCAGCTGGCTATATTTATTTTCTTATACCTTTTCATTTTCAAACAGGAAAAATATTTCCACTTGATCTAGGATACGGCATGGCCACTTCTGGTACAGATCATCCGATTTGGCTTCGAATCGGACGATTTTAAATAATGTGGTGCTCAGCCTCTTAAAGTCCCTTGAATAGTGGCCCCGCAGTACTTGAGAAATCAACTAATTTAATACATAATTTTAAATAACTGATCCTATTTCAAGGAAATCCAATGCCCCTTGCAAATTCAAAAAAATTGGTAGTAGCTGTTGACCTGTTGTTCTTTAGGTGGAGGAAGACTGAAACAGAGAAAGGATGAACAAGAAACTAGTACGAAAAAAAGGACATCGCCACCAACTATGCTGGCAAATACCTATTGCACAAGCAACTAGCAGCATTTATTTCCCTCTTTTGTTTCTTCTAATATTACTACCAGTACCGATGAAAGGACAGGATGACTGGGAGAAAGGGTAGGAATGGGAAAGAGCAAATTACATCATTGGTGTTCGCAAATATCACGTTTCCATTCAATGCCATAGATAATTTACGCACCAATTATTCATTCTCGTATATGTTTACTGACCGTTTTTTGTGTACCTCATTCGACAACTAAGATAGACTATCGAGCTAAGGTCACAACTACAATAAAGATAGTTTCGTCAAGATGCCTACTCGCTGATTTAGGATATCCTATCTTTACCCATGCCCCCACATACTATGACAATAAAAGTGCCCTTTTCAAATTTTTTTCCTATAACTAAGCCGCTGATGAGCATAGTAAGCAAATTAATAGTGATTCCCACTAGGAGAGACCGGTTCCAATCCAGCACCATTTTCTTATGATTCTTATTCTTATCATGCAACTGATTGATATCTTCAGAAAATATTATATTTCCGAATGCTTTAAATTTATATATGACAAACTCCAGATATCTCTTACCGGCACATCATGAGTTTGAGAGATCAAGTTAGAATATTGTAATAGTGGTATGAAGGTAATTTCTCTTTTCGACAAGGGTTTGATAGTCTTTCATACTTAGCCACTGAAAACCGGCAAAATGATTCCCACCTGTAAGTTAGGATCTTTTTGGTTCCTCTCTATTTACTCTCCTTTTATCTAGCAATATTTTTCTGCATTTTTCAATAGCAGTGATCCAAAGTCTACAGTGTTCTAGATGATCTAGTGGGTAGTATCCATAATCGAAATCGCACGAAGGATAAAGAAAGCCGTTCATCGATAAAGAGAGGATTTTACCCAAAGAATTCGATAAGGGCCATTAAATAGCAATATGCATATGGATTTAATGACAGAAAGCTATGGTATTTCATGCCCATAATAAGATAAAAGAGGAAAGAAAATGACATCTTTCTTAGCATCTTTTCTATTTACCTCCCATATAATCGCCGATCTGTCACTAGATGATGACGCTAAATATTTGCCATTATTTGAAAATTGCACAAACCATACTTCATCTTGGTGAGCATGCAAAATCTGCATTAAAAGAGAATTGAATAATCAGATGACTTACGAAATGCATAACAGTACTAATGTGCATAGCACAGATATTTTGAAGGTGACATGCCCCTATTAAAAAAAAAAGCGCGTAGCAAAACAGAAGCCATGGAGAGGGAGAAAAAAATATAAATACCATGGTAAGGTAGAAAGACCGAAAATTTAATATTCCCATCTACCAAGGGAAAAGCTGAATTCAAAAAGCTATTCCCATTCCTAATCACCTCCAATAAGTGCATTTGAAGATGTCATCCGTTTCCATTTGTCCTGTCTACATGGATACCTACGACTACAGCATATTCCATATTTCATATCTATTTTGGATGTCCTATTATTTCTTAACCTCCATTCAACAAATACGATTCCCAGTAAGAGTACTTTCTGTCTATCAAGAGAAGAGCCATTGGCCAAAGAAAGCTAATTTTCCAGGAATTAGTTAGTAAGCCAATACCGACCCACCTACAATCTAAAAATGACTTTCAAAGGGCATACGCAACAGTAAATATTTCTTATCATGTTAGATGTGGATGCTTTGTAACAAGCTGAGGAATACAAATCTACGAAGATCATGGGAGCGTTCAAGGAACTTTATCCACAAGGAGAGAAAGTTCAGTTACACCCTGTCACAATAATCTCAGTTATGATTTATTTTATTTTTTTCAAAAGCTGCATGTTTTCATATTTCTATTGTAAAAACAAATTGCTGACCACGACACTTAATGAACTAATGTCAAGACTATAAACCTCCATAATGACACCCAGATCTGACTTCTCTGAGAAAAATGCACTGAATTCAGGATTAATTTCTTTATTTACCAGGAGCACCTCTAATCAAACATTAATACGATTGGCATTCATGCAAATAAAAATAATAGAGATAATCAGTCTAATTGCGAGGTCTGAGAGTACAGATAAACTAAAACGTAAATATTTCCTTCTGTGAAAAAGACAATTGACCTGGTCAAGTTATTTTAAAGCTCCCTTTCTTCAAAGGTATGCAAAGCCCAGCCACAAGAACCATGAAGGCATAAATAGAATGATTAATGGGAAAATAAAGATAAACTTTTTAAGACAGACTGACTGAATTTAAGGTAAGATTTGACGAGGCAATGACGTTGTCATTATACGGAAAGCAACATTTCTTCCTAGTTAGATTTCAAATTTATTCTCATTTATTATTCAGTTGAGATTTTTATATACTCTTTTAAGACTTGATTTTTTTAGTATTGATCATGATTAAATATTTTCAAATCATGGGATTAGGTATATAATTAAAAATATTTGCTCACAAAAATTGTAAGCAAACGATGAAATAGCTCAAAATGTCATCAATGTTGTTCCATAAACTGGTGTTTAGCCTCTCAAAATTAAACTTTTCAGCACCATGCAGCAAAGAAGATCTGATTAAGAGTTACAGAAGACAATCCAAAAACAGTGATGAATTGATGAGCAACAGTAACCCAAACGAAAAGAAAGTATAGACTGTCATCAAAATCAATGATGAGATTACATTATGACCTGTGTTGTTCGCGAAGGAATCTGATCTCGTCCGCATTGGTGATCAGAATATAATGATAGGCAACTATCCAATGAATTGTGAAAAAAACATGCTTCTCGCTGCACATTAAGTGCCTGCTCAACTAAATGTTCCAACCTCCTTTCTGGTATCATAATAGTAGGGGGGAGCAACTTCTGTAGGTCTTCAAGGAGTTTCAAACGTGAATTGGCCACATCAAGGCCCTGAGTTTCCAGAGTACGTAGTGCAAATTTAGATGGAGAAACAATGCAACCTGCAAGCTCATGGATTTGCTTTTCACTGATGTGAAGGGGAGTGATTTCACTTCTCAGAGTCTTCAATGCATCCATGAATCTACCATTCTCCAAATGTTCAAAAAGTTTCTGCTCTAATATCAAAAAAGATGCAGATTTCAGGATCTTTTCATCCGTTAATCCAATTTTATTCAGTGTGGAGATACTTTCATTCCAACTTCCCGCCAGAATATGCTTCCTAAACTCGTTGACAATAGATGAGTGAAGATATATCCCAGATTCTTCTTCTAAAAGGGCTCCGCTTCTCTCATAACCAAGAGAATAAAGAGCCTTTGTTATAATCCGAACAAATTCCACTCTTCTAATGATACCTTTAGAACCAACCATATCCTCTTTCCCTTCAGAAGGAAGAGGCTTGGCCATTGAACCTTCCAAAGGGTTGCTGGGCTTGTTGACTTTGCAAGGTAAACAATTTGAAAGACTTGCCAATCCTTCTGAAGCAACTTTTACACGCTTTGAGGGTGGTTCATCATCTTCTACCCCTCCCATGAAATGCCAGAATCAGCCCATAAGTATCTAAAAATAAAAGGCCGCTTTAGATGAACAGAAGTTCAATTTTTTCAGGCTGGCTGAAAAACGAATATACAATTAAACACAGATACCTGAAAAAATTAAAGTGAGACAGTTATAAGTCCTTAAAAGATACGGATAATAGGAAAATAATTCTCTTTCGTAAATAAAAGAACCAAAAGAATACAATTCACATGATGATCAGTTAGAACATCCTGACATTACTCTTAATTCTTCTGCGTCAAGTGACAAGTTCTTGAAGCACAACATAGATTGCTCGATCTTTGCTTGTCAGGAATACTAAAAAGCCTGACAATGATACATCCAAAGCCTAACAAAGCTACTTGAGGACCAGTTACAATGAAAAACAAAACCCAAACACTATGGAACATGAAAAAGTAAAGATAAATAGAAAGTAAAATCAAAACTATGCCCACACACCACTCATAAAAGTATTACTATATATCTATATATATATATATATATATATATATGTTGACCTTCAAAAACATTTAGGAAAAAAAGAAAAATGCAGGTGCGCTTTTTTTGATAGTTTTTATCACTAGAGAACTGTAATCAGCATGAGTGATCTGACTTGTAAAAAAAAGCATCGAAACACCAGAAACAAATATGTATATAACTTTTAAATAGCGATGAGGCAACATTATTAGTTAAATGATTTGATGCGTGCAGAAATAGAGAGCGAGACAATATATTTCTTTGATAAAAAACAAATGAAAAGATTCGAAAGAAGATCAGCAAGGACTCTTTTATTTTCATTATGCTCCATCTTCGAACGAACAACACAAAGTATAGGCTTTCTGTGACCACCACGTGACAGTTTCCCATTGTTAGATCCTAATGGAGCGCTCACCACCTACTTGTAGGCATTTCCTGTCCAGAAACAAGTTTCCCGGAAAAGGGTCAGGAGAGCTAAGTTATTTGCACTATTTTTGCTCCCCTGATGAATGCTATCAGCTTACGCTGTTCCTAATGGAGCGCTTACACCACCTACTTGCAGTGCTCATCTCATGGCAAATGAATGGACGAAACAGATAAAAATATATCTCAAATATGGGGTAGCTGACATTAGACAGGCGTGCAAACTCAAAATCAGTTTCTAGTTGGAGAAGGATACTGAGACGCATAGCTGAATATCTCAGTCAGTTGACCTCATACAAATTCTGAACAGCCTGTTTGAGTAATATCTGGTTAGTGTTGGTGTCCACGACTTAAGCGTGCAATAATGCATCATTTTAATGCATTCTTATCGTGAAAGGGTCCTTCTGAAGCAACGAGTCTTCATAAGCAGAAAGCATAATGTCAACAGGATAGTGAAGAAAAAAACTATTTAGAAATTAAAAATAACTTTTAGTAGAGTATTCACGAAGACGTGGCCAACATACGTGAGATGTAAATGCGGGAAAAATACCAATTCGAAAGAAAAAGTTTCCGATATGTTCTTGATTTCCCAAAAGGGAGCTGCCGTCGTTAAAGTCTACAACCGATGGGATTTTAAAGACGCGAATACAACTATCAAATTACACGAGAAAGAAATGGGATCGAGAACCACTGAGGGGAATGCCCCGGAGCTCCAGGAAGAGGGCATCCCAAATCTGTGTGCCCATCAACCTACGGGATGGAAGTAAATGCCTCAGGCTTGACAGAAACCCGCCCACAAACAAACACGAGGAAATATACCCATGACGGCGGGTTTGGATGGTGAGAATTGAGCACCTGGACCGTAACCGACATCAGAATCTAAACCGCGCCTTGTGAATCACAGGACTCCCTTCGGTGCATGAGAAACCCGGCGGAGAAGGTAAGTGAGGATCTGCCGAAATGGCATAGCTGTGTGTCACCCGGGAAGAGGGGGGGAAGCAGGAAAGAAATAAGAGGAGGGAAAGGCGGGGGGGGAGAGAAGAGAGGAAGGAGGGCCTTTCCCCGAGAGGAACAGAGGAATTGCTAAGCCTGCCCTAAGAGTGGAGGGGGTGATGAAATCGCCGCCGAGAGCTCGACGGAGCCACGAAACGATTTCTTGCGGCGTCCGGAGGGGGAAGGGAAGGGGATCACGCAGAAGGGAAGGGAATGAGGGAGGATGCGTCCTCTGTGGGAAAGCGGCTACATAAAATGTCCGCGTAGTTACTAACGTATGTGTCCTTTTTTACGATTAATCTCAGCCGTCAGATGGGGAATCGCCTATCTAGGACGGTGGAGGCGTGCTAGGGCGCACAATCATCAAGGAGGGCGTGGCGTCATTTTTCGTAATCCACCGCGCGACGCGTTGCCTCTGCACCGTGGCGGTAAAAGTCGACGGCGGGGGCGGAGGAGCGAGAGAACCCCCTCCTCCCTCCCTCTCTTCCGCGGCACGACCGAATGGAGTGAATGCCGCTTTGCTGTTGGTGGTGCTGCTGCATCCACCGCCGGGGAATAAAGAAGAAAAAAAATAAAAATCTCTCGGACGCGCAGAGCAGAACAGAGCAGAATCCCTTGTCGTGTCCGAGCGGTCCAAGCGCCGGGCCGCCCCGGCACGTCACGGAGAAGTGGCACGGCACACAGGGAAGGAACCTCAGATATTCATTCCGACTCAGCGACAAGAAGATTGACCGATCGATCGATGGAACCCCCCTTCCTTCCAGGGGAACCGCGAATGAATGGACGGATGGCTCAAAGGTGTAAAACTAAGCGTCCGGGAGTTTAAGCCTCTAAGAAAAGAACGAATGCTCTTCTTCAGATGCAGAAAGGAGGCGAAAACTCGGGCTTCATGCTCTGCCGCAGCTGCTGCTCTCCGTGTTCTTCGACCTCAGACACGGGCCGAACCGCAGCAAACGCCGACTCTTTCGCGACCCCTCGAGGGCCATCTGCGCCGTCACCTGGTGCTGGGGAATTCGCAGATGAGAGCTCTCAAACCCGTTGAGCAAAAAATAGAAATAATCGCCAGAACCAAGCTCCCCTACCTTTCCAGTCTTCCAGCAAAGAAGGCCACTGCAGCCCGATCCCGATCCTCGCTCTCTGCCCACACATTTTAAAAACGTTTTAACCGCTGAGGGTGAGTTAGAGTATCAAAGAATACGATCATTTTTCCATTCTGGTTCGAGCAACTAGCGGCCTGCGCACCAAAAAGGTTAATGATAAAATGCACGATCCTCACTATTTGAAGACTCTGCACCCCACATTCTGCCACCATCATTTGCAAAGAGACGAGAGGAAGAAAGAATAACTCACCGGCTTTCTCTGTCAACGCCTCCTGGGAAACCGACCTTGTGAAATACGCTTGGAGAAATGGCGCCAGCCCTACCACTCAGCGGTTCCTTGAGGTGATGGTGCGCATCACTGATTTTCAGGGCTTTAATTTCCTGGTTCAACTCGTCCTCCCAATGCTTGGATGATATGGGCAGCGCCAGCATTGACTCACCCCAATGCTGGCGGCTTCTGACATTCTGTGGTAGAATCTGGTTCCTCACAGGTTTCTCTGAACCAGGAGTAGTCTTCTCCATGGTTTGAGCCCACACACTCTCCAACCTTTGTTCATCAAAACCTGATTTTTGCCTCGTTCTCAACGCCATCTCCTCCTTCGTCTCTTCTTTGCATGAGCGTTTACCGTTTTCTCTGGAAGAAAAGAGCAGTAAACCTGCAGCGTTTACGGTCGCATTTGGCACTTCATAGCCTTCACAGATGTCTGGTGTTCTTCTTCGCAACCTAGTCTCAGCATTGTCGGCGCTTTTCCTGGGTGCGCAGATAAATTCCTCACGCAAATCTTTTGCTGCATAAACATCCGAGTCATCCGTTGACCTTCTTTCTTCAGCCCGCAAGCCAGTTTTCGATTGCTCCCCAGTTGAGTCTGCAAAAAGAGGGACGCTGCCCATAAAATTACCAGGAACACATCGTATTCCCACTCTGACATGTTGCCTGAGGACCATCTCCATCGAATTTGTGATACTGCTCAGATATCCTTCAGCTCTGTTTTTTATACCCTCATCGTCAAAGGCTAAAGAAACAACCATAACACCTGCAGCAAGTTTCAAACTGGATTCTTAGGGCCAAGTAGTACCACCACCAATCCATCGCATGTAAACATCCAAAATTAATCTTTGGCAGAAAAATGGCCCGAGCAACGAGTTTTTACCGCTCATTCATCTCTATAAGAAAAATCAAACCCACAGAACAGTCGCAATTTGTCAATAAATCAAGAAAATTAAACGTCCTTTGAGAAAAGTTCAGAAGCCACTTCATGCACCCACAAAATCTTCTAGAATTGTCAGGTTGAAAGGAATGAGTCTAAATACAAAATTAAGGAGTCGACTATGTTGATCACAGACGAGGTATTGATTAGCCCCACAAATAGATGCACCGTACAATCATACAATATCTTCATGGAAAAGATGTGCGAGTTAGATCAAGCTGTTGTCACTCAAAGTCACAGTGAACATGACAACTTTATAAGGGTTTCGCATTTATCATTTGTCAGATGTCATATTGATTATGGTGCAAAAAGGAGAACGAAGGGAGCCATTGCACTATCATATCAAACCGTCAATGAAATTAAACCTTAAATGGTCAGGAAGACTGGTAACGAGTATAAACACCTCGAACGAACATACCTTCTGCTTCAGAAATAGATAAAAGCTGTCCATGAGCAGAGAGCAATTGCCGCAACGTCTTTGAATGGCATTTCTCAATGCACACTCGCCAAATCTCATCCAACTTCTCAGGGCAAATCTTAGTGAAGAAACTCTCACCATTATCCTTATCTTTGCAGGTTGTCCGCACAAATCTACCATCACCCGAATTACTGCAAGTAGGCAGTAAATCACGAATTTTCTCACCTACAGGCCTGCTACATGATGGATTGGGATAGGGACTACAATGGGCGTTCATCATGCTTGGAGTATAAACCGAACAAGACGGTTTATCTTGCTGTAGAACATCAGACGTCTTAACGGCTGGAGTGCCTCTCACCCTCTCACTACTGCTTGCTTTTGTTTTTGGTAGACTGTGTCTGCTACTGCCACTTGTATGATCAACTTCAGGGGAATGGCCACATCCAAGTTGTAAAAGTGCTGCTGTGAACCATGTTGAACGTTCACTTGACAATCTCAGTTGCTTCTCAGCGTCTGACAGAATCCTGAGTGCTTGTTGCAGTCTATTTACTTCAGCATTAGTCACTGAAGAAAGAGCAATTGCAGCAAATCAGGTGGCAAGATCACAAGCATAAGGCTATAACTATGATTGCAGAGAATCAATGATGTGATTCTCTGACAATAAAATAGCTCTAAAATTAATCATCGAATAAGCATATTTCTGACATTTTTCGCAGAGTATATATCTCCAGTTGGGCAATAACACTGACACTCAGAGTTCAACAAATTGGAGTGCAGAGAATGAGGAAAAAAGTAATACTAGAAGGAAAAAGACAGAAATATCTATAATTGTTACCAGACATTAAATGATTAAAGACGAAGTGTCAAAATACGAGTTCCTGAAATTAAATTACCATTTATTGGACTTGGCAGGTTAAAGCAAGCAGATAAAGTAGACAAAAGTTTCAGCTCTATAAGTAATGTGTCTTGAAAAGTGACAATGATCAGTCTGACGTCCTCAAATTCATCTATTTATCTTCGACCCTCCAGGAAATTTAATCATGTGACAGATACTGATGTCAATACGGTGTCTTATTTCTAAATCTTAACCATAAATTCTGCAAAAAAGTAGGGCGTAGCAATGTGCAGATAGAAGGGTTTCACTCAATGGCCAGTATGAGACATTTATGAACAAACAGGACAAAAGAGCATATTAGCGACTGGAATACACCACCGCCCAAGATGAGGGTTTAAACCATGCACCCTAGGCGCGATTGCTACAAAAACGTTAATCTTATTTTCATTGTCTGCGGACGTAGAAACATTGGTGCAATCTATCAATGAAAAACATTGGCGCAATCAGTATGAGCTTGCTCTCACAAACATTACTTTCCAAAAACTCAACTTGAATAAAACAAAAAGCATTCCAAGAAATTCTAGCCACAACATTTCTACTACTGCCAAAATACGCGGGGAGTTCACAAAAGAGAAAAAGGTCAACAAATAAAGGTAGTCATGAACTCATGCCTACTTTTTTTCAAGGATTTTACGGTGATTATCAGCAACAAGATAGAAGGTTCTTACAGCTTCGTCCACGGAGAACTGTTTCATTAGACTTTGTGCCAGGCCTCCTATATATTCCTGCAATAATATCCATAATGACCCCTGCTAACTGAGACATCAAAGCCATTGGATCAACACCAGAATCCAATAACTCTCTGCAACTTTTCACTGTTTCAGCTGTGTCTGATGACATGGCTATCTCAAGGAGATCCAGTAACTTCTCATTTGAGACAAGTCCAACCTAAATAAATAGAAACATTAATCATGAGAAAAGTGAACGTTAACTATAACTTACGACGAAGCAGAAAAGGAAAAGGAGAGATTCAGTGATTAGAGAAGAAAAATAATTAAGACTCACCAGATCATTTACTAGGGACGCAGTGATCCTCCTCCCCAGCAAGCTTAATTGGTCTAAAATTGTTTCTGCATCCCTTAGCGATCCATCAGAATTTAGTGCAATCAAACCCAGTGCATCCAATTCAACATCAAGACCTTCTTCAGATGACAACATTCCCAAACGCCTCACTATGTCAGCATCTTTGATCTTTGGAAATAGGTATTTCTGGCATCTCGACAAAATGGCACGAGGCAATTTGTCTGGATTAATCGTTACGAGCAAAAAAACAGAATGCAGCGGGGGTTCTTCAAGGAACTTTATTAAGGTTGACCAAACCTTGGAGGGTAGAACATGGCATTCGTCAATGATAAAGACTTTGTAACGGGATGAAGATGCCACTTTGTGAATGTTTTTCAATAGATTTCTAATTCTGTCAATGCCTTTCTTATCTGCAGCATCTAATTCTCTAATGTTTAATCCATTTCCAGATGCAAAATCTGCACATTCCCTGCAAGCACCACATGGCTTGTTTTCTGCAGTACCTAAACAATTTAATGCTGCTGCGAAAATCCTTGCAGTTGACGTTTTTCCTGTGCCACGTGGACCATTGAAAAGATATGCCGGGGCAATCCTTCCCTTCAAAATAGCATTATGAAGAGATTGAACAACGATATTCTGGCCAATTATTTCATCAAAAGACCTGGGCCTATACTTCTGACTCAGACTCCTATGACTGGGCATCTCCCCATCACCTCCAGAAGGTAACCGGATCCCCAAATCTTCTTGACTTTTGCAGTTTGACCATCTCCTTCCGTCCAGCCGACTCAGGGCCTCTAGGTCAAGTTCCCCCAAATTAGTTGACAGATCATCACTTGCTGTATCCATCAAGGACTGGTCCTCGTCAACACCATTTGTCAGCAGAGGTAAACCATGAGATGCCCTTGAGAGAAACTTTTTTCTGCGAACTCCAGGTGACTTCCTCTTCTGATATAGTGTTTGACTTCCACAGAGAATGCTAGTTCCCTTTCTTTTTAATGTATCAGAAAGTGATGGAGAGTACCAACCTCCACATCCTCTATCTTTCACTCTTTTTGATGATGAACGAGGGATCCTGCTTCCTCGGCGTTTTAAGAGTTCCGCCGGCTTCACCTCCTCCCCGTCATAGGAAACTGAGGTAACATCCCAGGAAACCACAGAACTAGGGTTCTTGCGCCTATTTCTATCTATGGAGCTAGTAGAAACCGGGGTCACAGAATTGGACGATTCATCTTTTCCAGCAGTTCTCAAAACTCTGGATGAAATTGACCAATTTCCACAACCAGACCCTGAAATCAAAGGTGAAGCTGGGCTGGAAACATACCCATTTTTTCGAATCAACTCCTGCGTTGATCGCCGCATGTCTCCAGAATTGCAATATTCGGCATCCTCAGAGTGGTCTGAAGAGTTTAGAGTTCGGTAAGTGCTTGATGGGGGATCGAGCAGCTTTGTTCTGGCAGAACACCTCAGATTTCGATGCTTCAAAAGAGGAGATCTTCTCAATTTTCTAACACTCTTTCTCATAGGTATTTCATGCCTTGTCCTCTTGACAGTAGAATCTGGCAAAGGCTCTTCAAGGAGTGTATTATCCTTGTCCTCAACCTTCCGAGGATTGACCGGGCTGTCCCCAGGAGTATCCCAAGCAGAACCCTCCTTATTCTCCCCGTCCATTTTTATACCACTATCACTGGATTTTCTGGAGTGGTGAACCCAATTATAAAGGTACACCTTTTTTGCACTGCTTCCGATTCTTGAAGTTAAAACACAGTTGGGTTCAAGATCGATGTCATCTGCATTTCTCAAACCAGAAAAAGCACTTATGGACCTTGATGCCAAAGGGGACCTCCATGACGAACAGGTTTCAGGGTCACGTAGAAATCGCGCTTTCCGGACGGCGCTGAGTTCTTTTTTCAGATGAAGTTCACTTGGACAAACGAAAGTCTCCGCCATTCCTTCTATGGCGCCAAAACAGCGACTCGGAATTCGAATGAAGGAAACAAGATCATCAATAAACAGAGCAGGGATTCATCCGTGTTGCCTGCAAAAACGTAACAAGCCAAAGAGTTACATAGCAAAGAAAGAGTCTCACAGCGAACTTAGCGCGTATCACTAAAACTAAAGATAATATGAACATAGGGCAATCTGCCAAGCTATATTCGTAGAATCCTCGTCTACCAGGTGGGAAATATTAACTAGATTTCTCTTGGAAAAACTAATAGTATCACAAGCACGAAAGTAGGTTTCTGCCACATTTTCAAATGAAAACAAGCTACTGACCTCGGGTTTGTCAGTCGGATCTACGGCAGAACTACGGGTCCAAGGGCCTTTTTGCCTACTCGTCGGATAGCGAGGGTTGCAATGCCTACTCCATTGACGACTTCGACTGCGAAGGAAATAGTAGGAGACCGCACATATTGTTTGAATGATCGGATCTTGGAAAAGCGAGCCGAAGAGGCTATCCGCGGGACGCAAAGAGAATGCAGGGTACTAGGATACCGGATCACAATTTTTTGATCCAGGAAAAAAATTAAAACAGGAAAAGACAAAGAGGAATGACCGAGGAGGGAGGGGAGTGGCGCCCGGACGGAGGATTCCCCTCCCTTCTAGAGACCGAATGGCTGAGGGTAGGACGAGTCTCCTCTTGGGACGAGGTTAATCTTTCCAGATCCGAGTCCCCTTACTTCGCAGGGGGGGGCTGGGGAAGTAGTGATGGGGAGCGCCTGTTGTCGCCCACCGTGATACATAGGACGGGGGGGTTGGCGGGGGAAGATTTCCTGGTAGACGAACACCAGCAGCAGCACCGCATCATTGAGACCACTGCGCAACCACGGAACTACTACTCCACTGCACTCCGAACCGTCCGTCCGCCGGCCAGGGAAGAAGGGGGGAGGCCCCGGCGGCTACTCTAGAATGATGACCCCCTCCAAATCCGCCGCCATTTGTGGTTTCAGTGGCGTACTTACCGCGGAATGATTCATTTGCCCTCGTCCTTGAGGACGACCGCGTGAGCCAACCGCGCTACACTTTTGCCTTTCTTTTTCCCCACCTCTTCCGCTTGCTTCCTTGGAAGGCATGACGCAGGCAGGCGGGAACCGCGGGATTACACCTACAAAATAATAAAATTGAAAAAACTCCCCTCGGCCGAGACAATTCGAGACGACGATCAATGAATGTGGGGACAGACCGGGCTTCCCGCCCGTGATAGGAAGCTCGTCGATACAATCTTCGGCACTTGAATTGCGCCTGTCCAAATCGCGCCCCGATGTATTCGAGCTCTAGCTCGAATATAATGTCGAGTTATTTAGATTCGACAGCGCCGTCGCACCGAATCGACCGACGGTCATCGGAAGACATGAACATACGGGAGAGGACAGCGAAGGCACGTGGTTCACGTCCCCACCCTGCGGAAGGCCCGCAGTGAGGGAAAGAGTGGAGTGAGCAGCGAGCTAAGAGCATCTGTAGATCCTTGGAGTTCCGAGGAGCCGCCGCTGTGACTCCTGTAGAGAATCAGGAAGTTGCGACGAATCCCCGACGTGATGTCCGGAGATCCGAGGAGCGCGCTCAGAATTTCAAATCGAAGGCATTGGTTCCCAGATGTATAGGAGCAGGAATGCCGCTTCATACGTATACTTGAGAATCGTGCCGCCTTCGATTAGTTCTTAATTGACGTCGTCTTTGAATGCCATTCTGGCGGCTCCTTCTACGGTCTCAAAGTGGAGCGTCTGGCCCAGCCCAAAATGAAAGTCTGGCTCAGCCCAAAACCAGCCCTTAATGGGTCTCTCTCTCTCTCTCTCTCTCTCTCTCTCGCTTCTGAGGCCCGCCGTCCTTGCGCTCGGCGGAGAAACAGACGCAGGAGTCAGTGTTTCAGAGGGCTGGAGGAACATGGCGGAGGGGCAGGATGTCCGAGCGCCCGAAGCGGCGGCCTCGGCGGTGATCACTGTGGGGTCTGGAGGTGACACGCAAGTGGAGGTTCTCTCTGCAGCTCGGTCCCCAGATGCCCCGCAGCCCGACTTGGGGGACTCGCCAGGGAAGCGGAAGAGAGTAGAAACGGAAGAGGAGGGAGGGAAGGATGTCCCTCCTGCCCGTCCAGAGGCCAACGTGTCGCCATCAGCAGGCGAAGGGGAGAAGGTCGAGGCGCCCGTGGAACAGACGCCGAGGCATCCGTTGTGGAAGACGAGCCTCTGTACTTACTTCCAACGTAATACGGGGCCCTGCGTGCACGGGAGTGCCTGCCGGTATGCTCACGGCGATGAAGAGCTCCGCCCCAGGCCGGACAACTCTTGGGATCCAAATTCCCAGAGGGCCAAGAAGCTCAAGAGCGAAGAGAAGTTGAATGGTATCGCTGGTGGTGGGGAGCATCAGGGCGGTAGCCGTGAAATCGGGGAACTGGAGGACACCCTAGGGTGCTCCGAAGAAGGCGCCACAGCACTCGATAAGTGCCTTATTGGACTTCCAATGAGGTGGACTAGTGATAACTTGAAGAGTTTTCTGGAAAACCAGGCAAGGGATCTAAGTGCAGTATTCTTTCCTCCCCGATCGAGTGATCTCTTATTATGTCATACTTATATGGAGCAAGTAATGTTCTTCTACAGCCAAAATCCTCCCTTCAAGAAGACTACTCTGAAATCCAACATACATGGTGTAGCTTTATCTGTGAAAGAACAGCTTGAATGGATTACGCTGCACTGTTTGACACCTGTCATTGAATCAATGCTTATCTTTCTTTCGATGCCCTTTATTTTCCCTCCAACTACAATATAACACCACCCATTCAAAAGAGAATGATGTCGACTCATGACTTTAACCCTGTTACGACGACCACTTCAAAGCCACTAAATAGGTTGAAAAATAAGTGTTGGTCTCCTAGCTGACGGTTACAAAAGGAGGAGATTCTGATCCAGAAAACTTATCATTTATTCAACATAACAGTTTGTTATAGTTGGTGTGATACAGGAGAATTCCGATGTTTGACTGCACTGCACCCTTAAAATATAGCATGATTTCCTCAACCTTGACGTCAACATATCAGAAAATTCACTCAAATGTCACCCTCACAATAATCGTCTTTCTCTGCGTTTCTAGCCACATACTTGTCTCATGTATCTTCATTCATAAAGCTCGATTCGGAAAGACAAGGCAACTCTAATCAATTTTAAAAGTATATTTTCATTAAACTAGTTCTTCGTTAGAACCTCAAAAACTTTCAGAGTTGTATGGTTGGCTGTCAGCCTTTTGCCAAACTTTCATTTGTCGTACCAAATCGCAACAAAGAGAAGGTAGTCAATGAAGACTGCTTTCACATAGTGTCAGATATTCTTAGTTGATGAGACACTGATTATTAACATGATATGACCATTATCTGTATATAACTATCCGAAATATGTCTAGATTGAACTAAAATTTAAAAAATATATATCATGGACAAGAATTAGCATTGTACTACTTGTCCGAAGGCAGAGAAAGTTGGAACATACAAAGTGCCTCATTATCATTTTTTTATCCACTCGGACACTATTGTATGGGGGGCTTTTCTTCAGAGCCCTTGTTTTATGAGTGAGCCTCAACCAGCATGGTATACTCTAGTGCTCTTTTATAGGTTTTTTTTTCTCCAATGCTCATTGTTGCATAAACTTGAATACCCACTATTTATTTTTTACCTCGGGTACCACCTGTTTTCAAAGCATCTTTTTAAAAAACGATATATCTGAGCATAGCTTGTCATTCCTCCTTTTCATGTGTCTGTGATCATTAATACTCTTGTTGGCTGATAATGATTTGTGAAATAATATATGTTTCTAAGCTCATTACTTTGTTTTAATTGGTAGGGAGTTTCCTATAAAACAGCAAAAAAGAAGAAAGGAATGACTGTGGGATTTGTCAGCTTTTCAGATCTGGAGCAGGTCAAATCTGCTATTCAGGTATCATTTTTGTTACTGAAGTCTATTTTTTACTTCAGTTTGCTAACGAGTCATCACCTTTTCGTCCTTTGAATGGTAGGAGTTGAATGAAAAATCTATTGGCGGAAAACAAGTGAAGATTGCTGAAGTTAATTGCAGAGTTAATGAGAAACAGTCTTCAGCAGTACCTGATGATAAAATATGTTTTCCATTTGCTGAATGTCAGCTTAACCAAGGTGTTTCAGTCCCATCCGATGTGCTTGGTCATGTTGTTGACGATGGCAACTCTGTATCAGAAAACTCATTCACAAAAACAAAAAGTGCTCGTGATGTAGTCACTCCACTTGCTAACATGCTCTACAGTGATCAACTGGAGCACAAGAAGAATTCATTGCTACAGACTCTTAAAAGACTAGTGAGGGCTACTTTCTGTTTCAATCAGATTATTGGAATTAAGCTATTTGAGTTACTTCCACCATGACAATGAAATACCCTTTGGAATTTTAGTCATTTTGGAATACTCATCAGCTCGATTGCTCTCAAGATATTAAACTGATGAACTTTTTTCTGCTTTAGACTCGTAATGCACGTAAGGCTTGTCCCAATGAAATTTCTCTTCCGGATTGGATTCTTAAAGCCAGAGAAATTGGTATGTTCTTTTAGTTATGGTTTATTTTTCACAGTCTAGATTTTTTTGCATGTTTCTGTTCTAGAATTAACTAATTTGGTTTTGGAATATTAGGAATTCAACTTCTGGTTCTTTATTTGGTTTCAAGTTTGAGAAAATGTAGTAGTTAGGAACAAACTTCACACTCTAGGTTTAGTTGGAGGAAGGAAAAATGAGAAAACAAACAAATAGGGAATGACTTAATCTCTCAACACTGTAAATCCTCACCTCAATGTCTGAAATATATAAAGCTTCATCACTATCCCTCTACTCCGTTGGGCTCCTGAGGTGATCAGTGGATGCTAGATCCACTGCAAGCCTTCTAATTTACTCTCAGAACCGTGTGTGCTGAACTTTTGACATCCCTTCCTCAGAGAATGTTGTGGCCAACTGACCTATTATTGCACTCTTGAAAATTATTGGCATTCATGTTTTCTCCTTTCCTTTATTGACTGATATGGCTAACCATGAGGAGGCTTTCAGTGTACTCGGTAATACCACTTTCATTGATGTGGCTTCTTCCTTCTTTGACTGGAATTTGGACTTGGTTTCTCTTCTATTGATTGGGGTTGAAGTTTGGTACGCATATGTTTCTGCCAATTTAATAGAAGTTTCACCCGGAATGCATCTTTGTTGCAGTCTTCATGGGTTATTTCATACAGTGTAGTGTCAGGAATGACTACACATGCCCACTTAATGTTTGCCGTTGCTTTTGAACTCAAGCAAAAGTTTCGTTGTAATATTTATATTTGATGTGACACTCCTCTACGGCACTGATGGACTAGAAGCAGAGGCCTAATTGGCTCAATTTTTTTTATTTATGGGGGCTTGAATAGATACAAGGCTGGCCTGGTATATGAACACAGTGGAAAGCAGGCACGAGCTCACCCTCTGCAGTCTCCCTATACCTGATTGCTCCATGCTGTAAGACATTGTGGCATGAGCCATGTCCACTTGTGGCGGCCTCTCTAACCCCATTGCATACCTGTGACAAGTTCCACCGCAGTCTTGCAATACAGCTGGGTGTGGGCTTGAGGAAAAATGGCCAGGGTCAGGGTTGAACCCTCACATTGGGAATTACCTGCCCTTATAAGAAATGGTGCGCCCAGGCAAGTTACCCAGCCTGAGCCTGGCCTGCCTGACCCATCGATACCCCTTGTCCTCCTTGATTCCGTTTTAGCTTGTGATTTACAATAGACAAAAAATCTGATAGTTGAGATTTAACCAAAAACGAAAGAGGAGTAATGCTGATCTGCTTTAGGGGATAGGTTGCAAATTGTTTTCGGAATTGTATCTATTGGAGATTGGAGGAAAAGCATCATAACTTTATTGTTTTTCATCTTATGAATGAAGTTCTCTTGTAACTTGTGGATGTTGCAATCTCTAACTTAGTGCTGTCTTCCCCAGAAAGAAAAACATTGTTACCTCCATTTTAAACAATATCTTATTAATGTTTTACTTTGTCATCGTTTTTGGAAACACAGTATCGGTATTTTAAAAAAATAATTTATCATTTTTTTTCTTTTTAAATTTAGGTGGACTGCCCTGCACATTGGAAGGAATAATATCATCGCCAATTACGCAGGGTTACCGCAACAAGTGTGAGTTCTCTGTTGGGTATTCACCTCAGGGCAAAAAGACAGTAGGGTTTATGCTTGGAAATTTCAGGTCAGTTACAGTTTTACCTCATACATAAAACAGTTTTTGCATCTATTAAAAATTCATTGTGGAATTTCAGGGAGGGTATCACAGCAGTTATGGAGCCCGTTGATTGTCCAAATGTTTCTGATATTTCCTGCAAATATGCTTTGCTGTTTCAAGAATTTCTGCAGTCTTCAGATTTACCAGTGTGGAACAGAATTGATAACACTGGCTTTTGGCGTCAGTTAACTGTGAGCTTTTCTTCATCTAAAGCTTTTTCATTCTATCATAATTATCTTGGGAATTTATTATTATTATTTTTTATTAGTTGTCATCGTCTTGAACATTTTTCGGAGGTTTGCTAAAGACCTTTTCCCGATGTTCTACAGTGGTCATGATGTAGTTACCGCTTGTTTGATATTTGTTAGTTTTTCTAGAAGATTCTTGAGGTTCTTTTAGGATTGCTGCATAAAGTAAGCATCAGGTGATCATATTTCATTGTTAATAACACAAGGGGGATAATACTTGAAAGATCTTATGTTAGGTTCGGGAAGGAAGGAATCCTCATTCTGCCGCTCTTGATGAAAGTGGGAAGCCGAATATTGCAGAGGTCATGCTTATTGTTCAGGTTCGTCTATCGTATGGAAGGACTAAATCTTACGGCAGATCTCTTATTTCCTGGTGCAAGTTGTATCCTTAAACCTAACGACACCTCCAATTGAACTGATGCTCCAAAGAAGCACAGAAAATTACTGGAAATATTGATGTTAAAGTATCCAGAATCAAGATTCCTTTTATTTATCGTCTTTGAAAAGTGATCATATTAACATTTTTCCGTTTAATTTTTAAGTATTATTGCAGAACCATGTACCTATGTCATTCTCCATATGCTTTTCTTTATTATGTTTTACATTTGGTAAAAAGGGCATTATCTGATTATAGGTGATGTAGTCTGAATTCCTTTTCAGCCTTAGGAATTTCTATTAAAATGGGTCCCAATCAACATAATCTCCAGAGGCTCAATGACAGTTCCAAATGACAAAAGAAGACTTGCCATTTTAACCATCCGATTTTTGAAAAGGGGAGAGACCTTTTTCATCTTTTTTCTCTCTTTTTCAAAAGTGGGATGTGGATCTGTTTGGGGAAATTTTAATACTTTCATTTCCTTAACTCCCTTTTTTAGAAAAAAATCCTTACAATATATAATACACTTCTCTCTTTCCTAGATCTTTTCCGCTACAATGCTGGCTCTGGCTCCTTCTACTATCCTTGTCGTTCTCCCCCTCATTCTAAAGGCAATGAGACGTAGCCTGGGAAGAATCACAGGCTTCGCTTCTTCCTCATTGCCGTTGTTTGCTGGTTTAGTGAGGAAAGAGACAAGCACAATGTTGAATCATCTCTCCCTTCATGGCCTCATGAGAATCTAGTCTGTTGGGACATCTTTCCTCCTGGTCCCTCCCTTCATTATCTCAATTGTTGATTTTGTAATTTTTTTACTTTATTTCAATTGTGTTCCCATTTCTGCTTTAATATATCTAATCTTGCTTTTGAACAGAAATAAATAGTTTACTGTTTGATTGCAAGTTCCAATAATATTTCCCGTATTTACAAAAATAATGCCTTGAAATAAGAGTGAGTATATTTGAATGAGGCTTTTCTACAACTGTCGAGGATTTTCGTAAGGCTTCCCCTAACCTAAAGATTGAAGAGAAATTTATTTCTTTATGCATATTTTCCTTTTTGAATATTTATCTTTCTACTAATAACTAGGAGTGCTGTTGTCTTTTTGTTTCTGAACTGTAGTTTTGGCTCCAAAGAGCCTACGCTTATAGTGTAAATTCATCTTGGTACAACTTGGTTCAATCTGTACAGGTTTGCACATTAGGTATCGATGATGGAATAATAAATGGTGAGTTTGAGAAGCTGAGTGAGGCACTTGTCCAAGGAGCATCAGAATGTTCACCTCCACTACCTCTGACGTCATTGGTTGTTCAGGTGGATTCTTGTTATTTATCTACGCTCAGTCCGTGTATCTCTTGTTAATATGTGCTGTTCCATTCATAGGAATGTTTCTCTTTTTTTTGTCACAAGTAGAGATCCGTTTCCCAGTCTTTAGGCTAAAAGATCAACTTAGTGGAACATTCTTGACTTGGTTCAAAATAAATTCTTCTTTGGGATGGAACACAGTTTTCTTTGACATGACCCTGTAGTATGACAAATGGCTGAGATTCCTTAAAATAACTTTTTTCATTTAATTACGGCACAGATGATGTGGGAACCCAATTCTTTATAATCATCTTCATCTTCTCCCCAATATAGCATGAAATTCTTGCATCATTACTGATCACATTTTCTCCCATAAATCATGGGGATGAGGATGATAACCAATGTCTAGGATAAATATTAGGAAACAAGAGAATCAGCAATTAGCAGACTTCTTCAATTGCTTTCAGAGTGGTAACTAATAAGATCAGAGGTAGATATATGGCATTAGAGATGAGAGAAGGTAGCTTTTTCTCATATCAGTTATTGATTTGTAGCTGTTGGATGTTTTGACAACATCATTCCACTACAAGTAAGAATTATGTGTGGGGGAGCTTTCATGGGAGGCGTCTGGTATTTTCTATAGCTTTCATAATTTGTACAGTTTGTGTGCCAAGGAGAGTGGTTCTTAGAAACTATGGCTTATTGGATGCTCCTTTTAGAGCACTGAGTATACAAGATAAGCACCTAAGCAAGTTAAATGATTTGTGATTAAGATGGGCTGATGTTATTCCAAGGGGATTATATGACATGTTGGCCTATCCTTCATCCAAACTTCTTTGTTATTCGAAGTGAACGAGACAAGCTTATTTTAAAAGAGAAAACAACCCAGCTGTTATGGTTTTTTATTGGATGTGTTAGTGCCAAAAAGTGCTTTTATTGAGGAAGGAGCTGATCCTATTTTGTGGAGGTTGAGTTACTGATATGGTTTGCGCCATGTTGGTGTACAGTATGGGTTCTGTACAGTTGTTCATGCTTTCTTTCATTTTATTTAATGTCTGTGTTACTGTACACCACGCCCCCCCCCCCTCCCCCCCAAGAAAAAAAAGTCATGTTGGTTGCATGCGTTTTCGTGTAATTAATGAGAGTTTGATGACAGACAGGAGTAAAAATAATAGTTTAGTGATGAAATGGGCTCACATGGGAAGTAAATATTAGAAAACCATGTCATTCAAGAAAGAATGAGAAGATATAGCTGAAGCAGAAATAACAACAAGCAAAAGATGAAAGCTGTTACTTTTAGCTCGAACTAGTTTGGAGCTGCTATGTTGCAGGGCTGGTGACAGATTTGTATTCTGTATCCTTTGTTCTGTGTTTGTGTAGGATTGTGTTTGAATTTCAAAAGATGAATTGAAGATAATCACTATAATGTGCAGCACCGATCATTGTATCGGCAATCGATGATTCTTATTTTTATTTTTCTTCATTTTTTTTTCCTATCATTCTTTTTCTTGCCTTCTTTTAGTCAAAGTATTTTTTGTTCTTTTCTAGAATTGTTTTCATATTTAGTTCAAAGGACAGGATATAGAAAGAAACGCCCCAAGTATTGTGATCCAAATCCAACATAGATCTGGGTACGGGCCATACTTATTATGTACGACGATGATTTTGAGGTGGATCTACATATTAAGATATGGAATTTTAAAAAGGACGCTATTTTAGATGTCTATGCAAGATCAGGTACACCTGCTGTTTATATCGCCTAAAAAGGACCCATTTATATCTTTCTATTCCTCAATTGTCGCCATTGTCATATCCTGCTCTCTCTTCTCCCCGCCTTCTCATTCCTCCCTCATGTACTAAGTTTGAAATATTGCTATATTTTTCAGGTAATGGATTCATCCTCATTGGACTCTTTTTTTCGTATTTTCTTTCATCTTTGATGTAAATTGAAAGAAAAATGCTTAATCTATACAGGATCACAGAGGGATATCTAATGCTGCACCAGCTGACTGTCCATTACGTCTGCTAAAAATTCCGAATGAGGGGAAGACTTTTGGATCGGAAGATCCAGGAACCCCAAAAGCAAGAATTCATGATTACATAAACAATCTTCGATTTAGCATATCGCCAACTGCTTTTTTCCAGGTAGGAACCTAAACTTTCTCCAGCAAGAAAGTTATTTTATTAAACGCACATTTATTAAACGCCTAAAGCAAGAATTTATTCGACTTTGCAGGTTAACACTTTGGCTGCAGAGAAATTGTACTCTCTTGCCGGAGACTGGGCAAATCTCTGTTCGGATACATTGCTGTTTGATGTATGTTGTGGGACAGGAACTATTGGGCTGACTTTAGCCCACCGTGTTGGTATGGTAATAATATTCAGACACCATAACTGCCAACTAATTATCATGTTGCTCTTTTCTTGAAGTCATAATGTTCTTGAGTCTACTTTTTACTGAATTGATTTTGAGCTGTGGAAGGAGATTTGTTCATTTCTATAGTACTCTGTATTTTTTGTTGGAACGTTTCACATGTATTTACTATCAAAACTTACATCATCCTTCATCTGACTCAGTCAGATATGTATGATCTAAGTTTAATTTAGGGCTGAGACTGAGGACTTTGTCCAACTTGCATGCATCATAGAGATTGGAGTCACCTTTAGCTGACTCCAACTCTCTTGCAATTTCTTGTTACTTGCAGTTGCTCCCAATCACTGATCTACTTCAATCTTTCATCCCATCCCCATCCTAGCAACTAAAAAAGTGTTTGGAGGATTGCATTTACAATGAATATACAGAGTCTATTTTCAGTGTTTTTTCTAATCTTTATTGCATATTGTACGTTTTTCTTCAAATTCTTTAAAGAGCCTTTATAAGGCTGGATTTCTGGGTATGCTAAGTTGGAACCTACGTCAAAACGGGTAAACCTTGTATGAACATTTGAGCACAAATCCAAGACTTTATTTTTCAGGAATATGCGTCATAACTTTTGTTGAAGTTTCTAGGATTGTTTTCCTTTCTATCTGTTTCTTTTTCATTGTATTTTTATCCTTTCACGTCATTCCCTTTGTTAAGTGGATTCATTAGACTGTCAACGGATCCACCTAAAGACTAATGTAATGGTCCTGGCCCATTAACTCATGCAACCCATACTTAAGCGTGAAACCATGATAATTAACGAATTCATTTTGGATTGCGCAAACCCTGCTCCAAGAAGTGGTGGCTGGTTCATCTTCCTGGAAGAGGAGGATCGTGAAGATCGACTCCTAGCATTCTCCAAGTTGCTCGAATCTCAATCAAGATCAGTTGTCAACAACTTTCGTAATACATCAGTCCATCTTCATGGAAATGTGATCAATATTCTGGTTTGCTAATTTGCCATTGATGGTCATCTTAAGCCTCTTATATGATATCACAAGATAGGTGAAAGGAGTAGGTTTTGATCAGTAAGCATTACTCAGAGTAATTATATTGGTGTATAACTGATTTCTATGCACGGCTTCAAGCATGAAGCGATCTATGGTGTTGATTCGTTTGGTATGCTTTGATGAATCATTTACTGTTGTATGTCGAATAATCCTGTATTGTCTCTAATAATTGTTTTACCACATATTCTAAATTTATTATTGAGCTAATTTTCTGATCAAACTTTTGCATGTCTTTTCAGGTGGTTGGCATTGAAATGAATGGTTCAGCAGTTGCAGATGCTCAGAGAAATGCGGAAATCAATGTCATAAAAAACTGTAAATTTGTCTGTGGAAAGGTATAGCATCTTTTCCTCGCTTGTATCAACTCCATAGTTCTGTTATTTGTAAATTGGACTCAATTGTTTGCTGTTTTAGTTGTATAGTAGTGACTGGTGACAGAGTCATGTCATCTAATTAGTAGAAAGTACAGGATGGGGGAGCAATTTACGCAACTTCCCTTTGCCATGCACTTCTTTCAACATGATCACTTTAGAAAATTTAACATCTTTGTTATGACATCTCTCATGACTATCTGTCGTGGCAGTCTAAAAATTCGTCATTTTCCTCTCTCAACCAAGAATCTCTGTGCAAAACTCCAATCTCAATTCTCCCATCATTCATTAAGCATTCAAACACGCTTATTCCCAGTACAAAAAATCTCCTTCGGATGGCAATTGATGTATCATGATGTTTGGCTAGATCTGCACGACTTTTTATTTGCTTCTATTGAGGCAAAACCAACCATACTAGTCCATAATGCTGGAAAATAACAACCTAGATGGAAACGACCCTTGGAATGTATTAATTTACATGTTCTAACCATAATGGCGTCAACTTTTTAGTGAAGAGTTTTCCATAGTTCTATACCCTTTATTGTTATGTGCAATGGCTAGTGAGTTCTTTTTTCGAAATGCACAGCTGTCGACTTTTTGTATCTCACTTTTCATTGTCGAAGCATTACAAACAACCTGTGCGTACACATTTCAAACATTAATTAGGGCATGCTGCCATTTATGTTGAATCTGAATTACGCAGAGATCTATGCAAGGATGCTCTCAACTCAAGCAATTGCTAAGGACATCAGCTGTTTGTTTCAAGTTTAGTTTGCGCATTCAAAGTGACCCATCTGACTGATTTTCATAAGGCCTTCTAAAATGCTCATGATTTTATCCATAGACCTCTGGTTGGTTGAAGAAGCATTTTCTTCGTTAGATTTCACAAGAAAGTATGTTTTAAATAGCTTTATGGTTTATCGGAATTTTGTGAATCATATTTTATATGATTTTGAAGGCAATCCGCAATCTCACATACTCTCCAGGAAACCAAAGATCACTCAAATTATTTGACCTCTAATCTATTATCCTCGAGACATTCATCTAACTATAATCTACCGAACTGAATTGCTCAAAACGTGAAGAAAATCTACTACTAGTCCTGCATAGAAGGTCAGAACTTCGATCTTTAAAAGAAATGCTGAGAAAGTTGAACATTATATAGTGTTTGAAACCATGATTCTTAACGGAATGTCAACATTGGGGGTGTCAGCTGTCAGCATTATTGTTTGAATCTCTAACTTGAAGGGACAATGATCTGTGCCTGTTTACATTGTTCTTTTTGACGAAATATTGATGCATTCAATGTCTACCCTTTGACATTGTCGGCAACAGGCAGAAGATGTGATGGGAGCTCTACTCAAAGAGTACGTCGATATGCCAGAAGATCATAGTAATGTTGAGATTCAAGAAGGTAATGTTATGAATATTCCCTTGCTTACGTTCTTAAGTGAATAACGTCGCTAATAAAGACATTTCTTTCTTTATTCAGAAATTGTTAATACGAGGGTTACGGGCTCTCAAATTCCTGATGAAACTGAGCTGCTGCACTCATATGAAGGATCAGGTTGTGTTATAGAGACATTGGAACAAAATCAGCAGAAGATTAATGGTGATACAATTGTTGATAAAGTATTAAGCAAACCTTCGGAGGAGGATTGTCAAGTTAGCCGCAATCCTGAGGAGAAGAAGGAAGTCGGTTCCACTTCTCCACGGCAGTTTCGGAATGTTGTCGCGATTGTTGATCCACCGCGTGTTGGACTTCATCCAAATGTAAGTAGCATGCATCTCGGTACTCTATTTGGTTAGAGTCCATCGATTGGAAGTTGCATGAGAAATGTTTCTGTGGAAAGTGTTGCCAGCAGTTTTTTTCAAAGTTTTCTGGAAGGGCGGGTATACTTTCTGAAAAAGAAAAATTCATGCTGGATGAGTTCTGTGTTAAAATAAATTACACGGTTCCGTGGCCTTGGTTCTCGGTTCTTGCTGCTGTGCTCCAGAAAATCGGAATTGGCTCATGATGTGAAGCTCTAACTGCCATGAGATGCCCTTGACTCGCCTCCCTGGAAATCTAGGGATAATGAGTGATAATCTCTCCTTTACCTACTTCTGCGTGCGGTTTTTAACTTGCCCAGCAATTAGACCACCCTACGTTTTTCGTCATTTAAAGGATTATACGAACAGTGCTCTGATTCTGATGGGTCCTGCGGATTTCAGGTGATCAAGGTTCTTCGGACTCATCCTCGCTTGAGGCGTCTCGTGTAAGTTCTCTCTCTCTCTCTCTCTCTCTCTCTCTCTCTCTCTCTCTCCCCCTCTCTCTCTCTCTCTCACTCCGAATGCCCGACTTTTACATCTCTTACATTTTATGCTCTTGGATGGGGGCTTTTGTTTTATCCACGTGCGTGAATCTAGTCTCGAGTTTCCATCTCCGCAATTTCGTTTCTGTCGGCAGATGTTCACTGCCCGCCCATTCTGTTGCCTTTTCTTTCTCTTGCATGCGACCAGGTATATTTCATGCAACCCGGAAAGCATGGTAGCCAATGCCATCGAGCTCTGCACCCCGACCTCAGAAAAGCCGCAGAAAGGGAGGCACAGCAGCAGGGGATGGAGGAATATGAGCAGCGCGGGCTTGGCGCGGCACAGGGCCAAGTCCATGCCCAATTCGGAGCCCTTCAGGCCGGTCAAGGCCGTGGCCGTCGATCTCTTTCCGCACACGCCTCACTGTGAGACGGTGATGCTTCTCGAGAGATGAGGAGGGCCACCTCCTCGATTGATTGGCTTATTTATCCGCTGGGTCTCCCTCCCACACGCGTCATGCGGCGGCGGCGGCGGCAGTTTGAATTATGCAAGGATTTGCCGGGTGGAGAAGTTTTGTACTCGTTTAAGTGTCGGAACTTGGCACTTGGAACTTGGTTTCAATCCGTCTCCAACCTTCCATCCTCTCGGAAGCGAGCTCCGGTGGACAGCTGGCTCGTGTTCCTCTCGCTCGCGCAGGCGCTGCTGACCGGAAAGGAGGCTCCTCTTTTCCTCGGCGGTTTAAAATTCCTTCAATAGCGGGCCTCTTTGATTTCTTATTTATTCCCATCCCCCCACCTTCCACCGAACCCGCTTGCCAGGCGAGTCGAGAATCTAAGAGGAAAAATGGAGTCTTTCGGGCAATGAAGAGATTTTGCAGATGCTGGCCGAAACGGAAGGGCCATTTATTTTGATCGGGAGCCGAGGTGCAAGAGCCAACCCACTCGTCGGTCATGATAATTAATAGATGGCGACGGTGGGAGGGAGATGTTAGCCGGGTGCCGCACTCGGCAGGGAAGCGGCGGCAACTCGCTGCGACCCCGCGGGGTGGGAAATCCTTGCGAGATCTCCTCCCTCCCTAACGCACTGTCTGTGCGCTGCAGCAGCTCCTTGATTGATGGATTCACTCTCGTCCTCGCCCTGTCGCGGAAGCCACCTTCTTCGCGAGACGGGGCAGCCTCCCTGGATGATGCCTCCGTCGGGAATCATCTGTATGAAGAGCATCCCATCGGCATAAGCCTTCCTCCCTCCCTCCCTCTCCACGAGCTCCGTACTTTGATCCTCTCTTGAGCCTGGTTAGTCGGCGTCTTCAGCCCCCCACCTTCCGCCAGGCGCCGTGAAGAGGAGGCCGGGGTGCCCCCTAACTGGGCCGCCTCCCCCAGGAAGGAAGAAGACGTCTTGCTGTAAATAGTGGTCCCGTTTCCGCCGAAGAATGCTCGAATATCTAACACCCGTCGTCTTCATCATGGCCAACGGCGTGATGGCGAAGGAGGGGGGAGGGAGATCTCCTCGTGACGCCTCTGCCTGAGAAGCGTCTTCCATGGTCTGATCGGCAACAGCCGGGGCGTTGAAGATGGTCGACGCCCACCCATTTGGCGGCATGGTCATGAAAACCGCAGCCACCACGACCCCACCTAGCGGCCCATCACCCGCCACCTAGCAGCATCATCAACAGAGTCATTACTGCGCGAAAACGATGCACTGGGATTTCAATGGTTCATACAACTATTTCCCGTCACAGTTGAGCGCAGGCGACTCGTTCCTCCCTCTTCTCCTCTCCTCGGATGGCACGGCGTGTGCCTGCCGCGTTCAGCTTTATTCTGTAACGACCTGCGGCGCCATTGGGTTTCTCCGTCCCGAGGAGATTTCCCTTCCCCGCTGATTTCCCTCTTTCTCCTCTCCCCATCTCTCTGTGCAGGCTTCCTGCTCGTGCATCTACAGCTTTCTTTGAACTTCCCTCGAGTCCTTCCGCTTCGTCCTGCTGCCGACAAATCCTCAACGTTCAGAGTCCAGGAAAAGCGCTGGAGAGGTCGATCATTCTTGGACCTTCGATAAAAAAAAGATCAATTTCTGAGATTTGATTAGCTGTTTTTAATCTTTTCGTCCGATTTTTCATGTTGGCGAGGGCTCGAGAGTTTTCAGAGACATCCGACAACAAATCTCTCTCTCTCTCTCTCTCTCTCTCTCTCGTAAGGGAGCTTGCCTTGTCGTTCAGATGAAATAACTTGGCCTCTGCAACTACTTAATGCCCAGCGCATTTCTCTGAATAATCCACTAGCAGAACAGACGGTGTGCTTGTTGTTCTCTCGACAGCAGTGGTGATGGTCACCTTACTGTTGGTGATGACACAACCATGTCCACTCTGAACCATGATTCTCAACAACTGTTCACTTTGAGAAGCAATCTACCCTGCAGTTCTTGGCCCGCTGATATTCTCCCTGCGGCTGTTCTTCGTGTAGACAGACGACAGACTTTCCCCCTTTTCTCTCCCCCTATTTTGCCGGGGATGCTTCGACGATCCATCCTCATTTCCAGCTTGACGGGACCCTTGGTCCGCACGCGGTTCACTCGGGATCTTGACTGATTTTGGTCAAAACCTATTCTTCGATATCTTCTGCAGAGACTCGGATGGGGCCAGAACAAACTGTGGACGTCAATCATGATTTCAGTGCGGGTCACATCGTCCCCATCCCGGAGATCCACGAGGTACTCCACTCGGGGTCTGCCAAAACATAAACATTGTCTGGATGGAGCTCCGAGGATGACTCGGCCTTCGGCTGTTTGTTTTTCAGGAGAACGGGGATCCCCCCGGAGCCGGAGAGAAGTTTACGCCGGCGCACGGAAGACATCCGGACCTTACCGTGGAGATACCCTCGACGAATTCAGAGGACTCCGTTTCGAATCATGTGAGGATACGCATGCCGCGGACCCCCATGTCCGTCGTCTCCAACAAGTCCAGCAGGACACCCAGAGGAGGCAGTAGCCCGTGGTCTTTGAGGATAGGCGCGTCCCCTGGTCGTCCATCTCCATCGAGAGGGAGTCCGTACGTGAGGAGGCTGCTGCAGAGTTTTAGCTCCAGGCTCCGGGGCTCCCCCGCCTCGGAATCCAGGAGGAAGGGGGAGGGGCCTTCGCTCTCATCGGCAGATTCAGTAAAGCAGGGGAGCTCGCCTCTCTTCGGGTCATTGGCCTTCACGAAGGTAGCTGCAGCCCCAGCCGCGGGGCCTTCGTCGCTACCTGTCACCCCGGTCGAGAAGGTAAGTCGATGCCGTGACGAAACCAGAGCATGATTCTGCCTCAGTGACTGAGTTTGTTGTGCACATCTATCTATCTATCTATCTAGGCGTCATTATTGCGAAGAATGCCAATTCCCTGGATGATGAATGAGCCCATCTGGTGGCCCTTCTGATTTCTATCGCGCGGTGGCGAAGTGACAGAGGAGGGAAGCCTCCTCTGTCGTAGCCTCGACCTTGAAATTTTCCTGGCCATCCCCATGGTTTCTGCCTCTAAGGCGGCGGCGGCGGCGGCGGCGTCGTCGTTTTCTCAACTTTCATACGCATACTAATGTTTACCAAAAATCCACAATTTTTACTCGGCATGCAATTTCATTGAAAAACAAAATTATACGCCGGGCCGTCAGAATTAGAACCATTAAACCGATGATGGGCTGTTCCTCGCTCGCTGGCAGGTTTCCAGACGGCGTCTGGCTCGTTCATTCTCAGCCCCCCTGAACGGCAAGCTGATAAACATGAGGACGGTGGATTCTTCGGGGGCAATCTTCCGCATAGTTCCTTCGACTCCAAGAGCAGCGGATGGCTCCCCGAACATACAAAATGGTACATCTCCCCTTCCTTTCGTCTTCTCCTGTTCTTTACATCGACTCCTGACTCGCGGCGATGCATCCAAAACGGTCCCGGCGCCGGCTGGGGGACTTCGCCCCATCCCTCACGGTTGCCTGGACTACGCCGCTAAAAAGCTGCGAAAGATAACCTACGGTTCATCTAGTTATATGATTCAGAGGACAGCGTTCACGGCGAGGATATTCCCGAAGAAGAGGCCGTGTGCCGAATCTGCTTGACGGAGCTGGCAGAAGGAGGTGAGACCCTGAAGCTGCAGTGCAGCTGCAAGGGCGACCTCGCCCTGGCCCACCGAGAATGCGCGGTGAAATGGTTCACCGTGAAGGGCAACAAGAACTGTGAAGTCTGTAAGGAGGAGGTCCAGAATCTGCCGGTCATGCTCCTGCGTCTGCCGAACGTCCCGTCGGACGGTGCAGTCCCGAGCGGTGATCCTCAGGCCGTGGCGAGCAACCGTTGGCAAGTACCAGGAACCCTTATTTTTTAAACCTTCATACTTACTCGATCTAATCTAGCATTTAAAAAGGTAGAGCATTTTCGGGAGAGAGAGAGAGAGAGAGTATAGGTGACAGAGACGGAGATGGGTTTCGTTTCCTGGGCTCGTCCGCATGCTGACGGCTCTTTTGCAGGATGTGGACTCACCTCCCAATTCTCTTCGTCGTAAGCGTGCTCGCGTACTCTTGCCTGCTCGAAATTCTGGTGAGGCTCTTGCGTTTTACTTCCATTTTCCTGCGTAAGTTATTTCCTGGGGAGATTCTTGAAACGGGACTCTCACCCGCTCCCGGCAGGTAGCGCGCAAGGGCTTGTTGGCGTCGGCCGTATCGCTGCCGTGCTCCTGTCTGCTGGGTTTCCTGTCGTCCTTCACGTCGGCCGCCATGGGTGAAGCTCGATCACCTCGCTTTGCCGCATTCATGTTCATTCATTCCTTCATTCATGCATGCATGCATGCATTCATTCATTTGCTGGGGCGGCTAACTCAACCCTTCTTGCTTGTTGCAGGGAGCACGGCCCGAGCCATGTATCTCTACGCCGCCGTCCAGTTTGGGATGGTGGTTCTCTCCGTGTATATTTTCTTGTCCCTGGTAAGGCTGCCTCGCTGCCGTGTATGATGAGCCCCCTCCCTCCCTCTCCATCTCGCCGACGTTCTTTCGGGGCCTCCTCATTTTCCACGTGCCTTCTCCTCACCCCCAACCCCCTTCCCCCTTCCCCCTCCTCGGGGGTGGTTGGGTGGGCTGTGGGGGGGAGCTGTCGCTGTGCAGTTCCGCATGCAGGTGGTCGCCTCCATCTTCCTCGCCACCTCGGCTGGGTTCGGCCTCGCGATGGGCGGGAGGACGGTCGGCCCCCGTTTCATCAAGTGGTGGAGGCGACGGCGCAGCCGGCCAACGGAGGGCCCTCTAAGTTCATGAATCAGTGCGGCGCGCGGATCGGCGGCATCTTCCGTTTTCCCGAGAGAGAGATTGCACCTTCTCCTTCTCCTCCTCCTTCTCCCTCCGCCCCCCGCCCCCCCTAAATTGTCGTTTTCCATCGATTTTCTAGGGAAATGTAATAAACATCCACCTGGCGGCGAATCGAGCAGCCCTCGTTTCCCTGGTCTGCAGTCTGTCTCTTTCAAGGAGCGAAGGACATGTTTGTCTCTCATTCCCTAATACAATCCCCGAGATTGATAGAAAACAAGAAGACGCCATGCGTCATATGCTGCTGTATGTAATAAATAGAAAGAGTTGGGCTCGCGGCCCGATAGACGACCGAGGAGGGGGCGAGTTTAAGAAGTGGTCAAGCTGCACCTATCATCACAAACACACGAGCGCCAGGAGACTCGATGAGAAGGAATACTCGAATCCCCCCCCCCCGCAAGGAAAAGGAAGGAGGGGAAGCGCTGCACACCGACGGAGGAGATAGTGACGGGCGGACTCTCAGGTCAGGTCGTCCTCGGCTTCTTCCCTCGCCTTGAGGGCGTTCTTGGCTCTCAGCAGTAGCGTGGTCTTCCAAGCATCCTGCGCCCAAGCCATCAAGGAAAGGCGTCAGAGAACTCTTGCAGATTTCATCCTGCTGGCGCATTCGGGTCTCCCGGAATGCTTCATTTATTTTACCAACTTACCTTACAATAGCAACGCATTAACTGTCGTAAAGCAAGATACTATGATGACAAAGGAAAAGATCACATCCCACAAAGTTAAAAAAGAAAAAAGAAAAAAAAAAGAGCACACTCTCTGTGAGCTCGGCTAGTGCGAGAAAACACTCGGAAAGTCCCCCACTGGCAACCGGCGACAAATCGCGTAGACTAATCTTCTGCTGGCTTATGCGCCATGGATGTTCCCTCAGATTGCTGGAACATTTAATTCTCATTTTCTAGACATTGCGGCATGCCATGGGCCCATCGGACGGCCTATTTAAAAACAAAAAAGAATAGTCTGGACCCCCCAAGCAGCACTTTCCATACAGCTTCAGTTGAAATGAAACCGGGACTGAGAATACCAGCAATATTTTTGTTGCAAAATCGACCTAAAATGAACCAACTTCATGTTTAACTGAACATAATCTGTCGCCTGAAAGCTCACATCTCAGGTCAGATTCAGCTAAATAAATAAATAAGTGCAATTGGACGGCTAAAGCATGTCCAATGACTAGAATTGATTCTTTCCCACGTGGACATTTCCCTGTGATACTTGACTTAACAGGGTCTAGATGTATATCAAGTCCAAAACGCGGGCTTCAATCACGGACTACACGCATAGTAGGAATATAGAACCGAGTAGAAAAACATACCAGTCTTGTCATGCTGTCGAATTCTGCGACTACAGCAGTAAATTTCCCAACATCTTCTTCGTCAACTGAAGCTGCTAAATCCTGCAATACCCAGCACAATTCTTTAGCTCTGCTGTTTCATCTCGATGAACAGATAAAGTCAAATTCAAAGTGACTTACTACTTAGCATCTCTACAAAAGGTGAACAGCGAAAAAACATCTCAAGAAAGAAGGTAAACGAGCATAAATCAAAATGATAGACAACAGTTGTCACTTACAGTCAAAAACCTGTATTCACGCGTCCCCGAAAAGGTAGGGTCAAGTTCCTGCACAGGCGATTTGATTACTGACGGTACAGGACGTTAAAGGAAGTGCCAACGTTCTCTCTTTATACCTGATATCGTTCCAATGCATTCGTTATTGCAACAACATCACCCCTGCAGAGCTGGCAAAGGCCAGCATTGAGAAGATAACTCTTTACACTGTACTTCAGAAGATTGTTGTTAAGACAATGCCTAGCTATGGTCTCGTAGATCTCAATTGCCCTTGGATATCTGTGGGACAACAATACATTCAGCAAACACATTTGGGGAGGCAAACGAATGCAGTATTCTTACACAAAAACCCACTAAAAAAATACAACTTAAAGAGCTTTCGCAGATCAGCACATCAGCCAACTATTCCCGTTAGGGGAATACGAAAGCCGGCAGAAATGTGCAATGGAAGAAAGAAAGAGATAAACTTAGCATTAATGTTGCAAACCAAGAAACGAAAGGTGCCCAGAAAGATTGAACACAAAGCAAAGAGTAGATGTGAAGATTATAACCTACATAACTGCCCATTTGGGCCAATTTTACTCATCTATTTTTCTTGCTGTTTTCATGAATCAACCTTCCTCGAATAAATGGACTTGATTGCAATACATCAGTCTGATCACGGTACAGTCCCACTTTTCGCCAAAAGCACCTCAGTGATGGCCTTGTAAATACGGTTCAATAGTAAGGCAGGCCACCGCTACGGAATCTACTCCTTGCCTCTTTAACGGTATGACATAGAAGGTGGCGTTGACCCTTTCAATGTGAACCTCTCCCACCTGAAACTCTCAAGTGTCTGAATAAGTATCTTTCACTATCTTCCTACAATGTCTAAGCATAGAGGAAAGCCATCAAATTATGTCCATTCATCCTCCTCGGGTTACAGATCACCTCCTCTATCTCCTCAGACAAGGAGCAAGCTAAAGATGCAGACTGTTCCTCTAAGAACTCAAAGGATGTTCCTCCATAGAAGCAGGTCAACAATGACCATATTCCTAAAAACATTTGCATAACAACTGCAATATGCGTTACATATTATTCACCAGAGTAAACACGATCTCCCTCTCCCAGCACATTTACACCGAACATAACCTTAACGGAATATGCCACATCCCTTGGGACTCTTTGAACCTATTCAAGTAGAACTTCAATCTGCAGCAAACTTCTTCCTTTCTGTCCCCTCTTTAACACGTTAAAACATTTACTACGGCTCACAGTTGACGGAGTGTCAGCCATGGCTAGCTTTTTCTCCCCTTTCCTTTTATGTACGAAATTAAATCTAGAATATCTAGCATCTGAAAAGAAATTGCTGCTAATTATTTCACCCGTACTTCATTTATTTAAAGCCCGCATCGTATCTTTCCCTTCTCTCATGTGTACCATCAGTAAATAGTAAAATAATGGGAATAGAAAAGCTATAATCTTCTTACTTTGAGTTCTTTGTGAAAGGCAGATGGGGAAAAATTATAATTCCACAAATGAGATAGGAATTTCAATATTAAACAGGCATCTAGAGTGATATTACTACCTAAAAAAGTAAATACACTTCAGAAGTTAACCACGGAGGAAAAGGACCCAGTGTGACTTAACTGTTCCAGCTGTGCAGAAAGTTCAGCCACTTTCTGCTTGCACTGGTTTGCACTAGTTGTAGATTCTTCACTTTGATAAAGGTCCGCTGCTCGCTCATAGAAACCTATGGCCTTCTCAAAATTTTGTTCCGTCTCATGTATTTCACCAAGATCCTGAGATATTAAATATGGAAGCCTAAATCAGTCTCAATTTTACCAGACAAAGAAAACACAACCACTGCTCAAATTCAAAGCAAATGACCTATGCAATTACGGATTCCCAACTCCACAAAAAGTAGATTTTCCGTCCACATCTAGGAATAATAACGAGAAGTTATGAAATTTCAGAGATTACAACAATTTTCCGAAAAATCATCTTTCCCACAGTACTTGTGTCACATATTTATCATTTCAAATATTAAAAAGGTATGCATAGGTTCAGTGTCAATATGCTCTTTTCGAAATATCACGAGAATGCAAAGCTATCCCAGAAATTCCACGCCAATTCACCTTGCAGTGCTTTGCAGCCATGTTCAACCGGCCAATCTCTAGGAGAAGATTGACAGCCTGATCCAAGCAGCGTGCAGCATCTGCAAAAGTAAGGTACAAACTGTTGCTGAACTGGAACAGCTTCCAATGACAAAGTTCATCTTAAAACCTTAAGATTTGATCATTGTCAAAGCATACACTGTGAACTATAACCTTTCACATCTCAAAACAGGCCGTAAGAAACTATCACAATAAATGCTTCAACCAGTTTGGACCGCAAGAAGAATACAAGACATACAAAGATCTGACAAAGATTACACGATTGGCAGTGAACCAGGCGTCAATCCCCTTACCATGGTTCTTCAAGCCTAGTCGAATGGCAGGAAAGTTCTCTATCACTCATTAAGACGCAGCTCGCCCAACCATATAATGCCTCCAGATATGTATCTTGGAGTGATCACTGATAACACTTATTTACTTTTATTATATCTAAATGGTAAAAAAATATACTAATTAAAAATAACAGATGCAGATATTATATTTTTCCTATTGCAGTTTTTAGGACTTCTAAATAATGTAAGACACAGCTGTCATAAATCAGTCTTCCATATTTTCTTACGGTGAAAACTTCTTACTTTCTTTCTTTTCAGCAAAGCACTGTAGGTGTGTGTCGAGCAATTATCCACAGGAAAAAAAGAGGTATGATCACAGTAACCGTGTCTTTTGCATGAACTGCATAAGGAACTTTTAAAATAAATGACATTTAACAATGAATAAATCAAAATACAGCAATCACGTGATTGGGAGAAGTCAGAACCGTGTGAAGAGACTTTCTTATAACAGTTTGCTGCATCCACATAAGCTGAGGCTGCTTCATGCTTACTGTCCAACTGTGTCAATAAATGAAAGACATGTAACATCAAAAAGCGAACATCACGGTATCTAATAGTCATACAGGTTTAACAAAGCAAGCAGTACCTTCAAATGAATGTTGGCCAATTTTGTATAAACTGATCCAGCTTTATCCCCTGAAAAGGAGAATGTGTCTCAATGAGTAAGTATAGTCCAATTATATCGGTCACGTATCTGTTGATTCCCATCCTAGCATATATATCAGCTTACTTAAATAGAATCACAAAAAACTGAATAGAAAAAAAGAAAAAGTGACACATCATAGACAGTTTCTGTTTTCATTGTTCACAATAGACAAGTTCACAAACATGACGCAATGGTTTAAACATATATCTGAGACCTCTGCCAATCTTGACCCTATAAAACTTATCAATCCCCTGTTGAATACACTGCATATGTCAGATATAAAAAATGTACCGATGCAAACGGTGTGTTTAATTCTTTCAAATTATCTATCATCGTGATGACTGTAAATGGATCGAGTAATACACATCAACTATGCTCAGCCAACAAAAAAACTGCTGAATTGATCCATCACAATGATAGATGATTTGAATGGCTGAAACATCAATTGTGCTTAGCCAGTGAAACCCAATTTCAGGCTATTCAGAACAAGCTTTATTTGGAAGCAGTTCATTCTTTGTGAAAGAAAAAAACAAGTATCAAGTCCCTCACAATACAAGAGTCTATCTTGGAAGGAGAATTGTAGTAAGTTTATGGCAAATGTCACGCCAGTTCAAGCTATTTTACAACAATCTGGAGAAAGTCTGGTACTCAAAAGCAATGGTACTGAAATTTACCCAGCAGCTTTTATAATCAAACATATAAAAAAGCACGAATACTACAAACAGGAGATTGCTGTAAATTACATTCAAAATGCAACTAGGCACTATAACAAAAACAGAGACTCAAATTATGTTTTGTCTTCCTGACTGAACTGAGATTAGAACCCTGCCGTCGATCTGTGACACTTGAGTGGGTGTATGCACAGCATCCTCGTCTTCTTTTCTATGTTTTGGCCCATCATACAGATTGAGTTGCATTAAGCCTAGCACTCTGCGAACGGATGTATGTGTGCAAGTAAATGCACATTGTTGAGTGCGAGACGACTGTAGATATTAAAAACTTTGTTTATTGGTGACGAACTAGGAAGAAAAAAAATTGAAGTTTACTGTCACCCATTTATGCTTGATCTATTGAGGGAAAATACAAAAATACAGGAGCAACTGTATCACATGTGACCCCAGGTCTATCAAGACTCTCTCTCTCTCATTCTATTCATAAATATATAATTGCATATCTACAATAATGTATATCTATTAATCGATTTAATCATATAAATAAATAAATATAACACCGTACATAGGTACAATATTATTACAGTAGTTTTTTCCTATGCAACTCAACTTTTTTTCTAGACCAGTAAAGCAGCAGACTCCTAGGCAACTATACTCCGTCATTTTCCCTCTCTAGAATGCCAAACTCATGTCAGAAATGATAGCACAAGCTCCTAACCCGATGGCTAAAGTGGGGAGATGGTGAATGAATAAGGGCTCCTTTGAAGACATGTAATGCACAAATGATGTGAAGGATGTCAAAAAAAACAACGCCATCATCTACTTTCCCATATTTTTTCCATGGACGCACATACATCTTTCCGACTGAAACCTCCCACTGAACAGCTCGTTCAAGAGAATAGCACTTCAAAGAGTACAAAAAAAGAAATAACCACGAAAATCCATTCCTCGTTTCTATTTGGCCCATCAATGACTATATTTCTACACCAGGCCTCGTCCAGGGAAAGCCACGCAATAAATCAGGTCTCCGGCAGCATTTTCTGCCTCGCAACTCCTCGACCATGGATCAGATAAATGTTAGAACAGTCGTTATGTGACAGCAGATCCCGATTGATTAACTAATTTCAAGCATCGGTAAACGAGCAGCCGCAATTTTCGTAGACATTTTCATTTAACTGTCCCCTCTCCCCTCCCAAAGATGGAAGGCATCAGCAATAACGAAGATTTTTTCCTTGGACCTCCATTCAGAAAAGTGGCAGAGATTGCAATTATTATCCTTTCCTCTACAATGTATTCCCTGGAACTGCCAATTGGGAGAAAGGGAAATTACACAAAAATTAATAGCCCTACTCGATATCCTAATGCACAGAAGTAAAATGTTCGGCATTGATAACTTCGTCCTTTCTGTACCCCTATGATGATGCCCTTTCATCTAGTTTCTCACAAACAGAAATTCAAATATAAAATAGGAAGAGAGACGACATCCCGGCAGATCAGTGTCGACGCAAAGTAAAAACATAAGTTAAGAATAGGTGAGGCTTATGATCCCTAATTCAAAGAAATCGACGCCTGCATGGAGACGAGGGAACAGCGGCGTGGGAAGTAAGAGCAACAACCCGAAGCAGATCGGAAAAATTAGAAGGAAAATCCGCTAGAAGATTCTCTACCAGAAGCCAGAATCGGAAAAAAGTTAGGGTGTTGCAAGGAACGGGGCTCCGCCAGGATCGATGACTCGTCGGTCCAGGCTGGGGGGTGGGTGGATAGAGAGAGCGAAAGGGAGATCAGGATACTCACAGGACTTGGCGAGCTTGTAGGAGTTCGCGGCCCGGTCGAGCAATTCGGCGGCGTCCTCATACTTGGAGCCGAAAAGCCCCCATCCGGCTAGCTTCTTCTCCGCTTTCCTCTCGAATTCGTCCCCCTTGGCCAACTGATCCGCCATCGCTAGTCCTCCCAGCCCAGCGCCGATGGCCCTCTCTCGTCTAGCCTTCGCTACCACTCCACTTTTCGCAGCGAGAAACGCGTCACGGGAGACGGAATGAGGAAGAACATCAGAAGGCGACTTTATAATGGACCGGAGGCGACCAGTGTTTGGCTCGTGCGGCCACACGCGGGAGAGGGGCCCCGTCAGCGCCTTGCGATCGAAGGTCGATGACTGAGGAGACACTTGTCCAGATCTGGCCAGCCAAAACAACCGCGGATAAGCGCCAGGAATATTCCACGCTGTCAGCGGTTGGGCCTAGACGCGTGGAGAGCCTACATGCACGGCCCAACACGCACCCAACCCCCCCCCCCGAGGCCTCGGATCGTCATTCTTCTTACTCCTTCGGGAGGCTTCATTCCCACCGTTAGTGGATAGCTTGCGGGAGGGATCGCCATCTCCATTTCTCCTCTGTTTCAAGAAAAGAGTGACCGCGGAGGAGCTGGATCTCTTCTTCTCGCGCAGGTGGGGCTGCTGCTGAACGTCGTCGGGTACTACGACTCGATGTTGATCTTCAAGGACGAAGCCGTGGAGGAGGACTCGGTCAGCGCCTGAGCCCGCCTCATCGTCCTCTCCGCCCCCACCGCCGCGGAAGTAAGCCTCGTCTGTCAAGTGCCCCTCCGCCCAGCCTTTCTTCTGAGCTCCCCATTCCCTCGTCCTCGCCGCAATTCACCGACGCGCCTCGCGCGCGAGCCATAGCTTCCATCATTCGGGGCTCACCAACTAGCTGCCGAGGAACTTGTTATAAGAACCGGAGTAAACCTTCCCGACGCGATGAGTCAATATGCCTCAAGAGAGCGGTCAACCAGCGGGTGCTTGTTCCACCCAGAATTCAGCCGCTGCCAACATGAAAAATGATTTCACCCATAATATGGATACATACATATACATAATTCGCAAAAAATAGTAGCCTCTAACAACGGAATTAGACGTGTCTGCTGGTTGCAAGGATGATGCTTGAAACGGACTTGGCCCTGTGCTTCCCACTCCGAGGCTCGATAAAAAGCATCTCCAGTATAACACTTTAACGCCCAAGAAGCCCATTTTTCGTAACATACCATTCTGGAAGTTATCAACCAACAGGTCTCAACAAGCTATTTGACTTAGGAATAAACCAATCACCATTTAGGTTGGGCCCCAAAGTCCTTGTGAAGTTCCCAAAAACTAAGATTTGGTCACTAATCACAATCGGAATTGGGATTGAATGGTCTGTCCCCGAGCTATTATTTACATACTCTTAAGAGAAGAGAAACTGATCCTCCCCAAGGAAAGCATAATCCACACTTGCTGCCCCATGTGTCACTCCCTCCACCTTCCCGGTTTCTTCCAACGATGCAGTTGGTAAGGCCTTCAAATTTTTAGCACACTCTGAGAGAAGGTGGAAGACAGCAGGATGCTCCAAGGTACCTTCATACATGTGGGCTATCATAAAAGTTGTGCCATTAGAGCACCAGTCAAAGTGCATGTCTGGAAAACAAAACACTATCATCTATATGATAAAAAGGTGTCAACTAATATATATATATATATATATATATATATATATATATATTTTGCGCATAAGCACTATTTGAGGTGAGGACGCCTTTTTCATTTTTTATACGTTCTGTTCAATGGTTTTTGTGCAACAAGCAAAATATGTGTGGAGTTTTTTATCCCATTTATTTTTCCAGAATAAAGCACTTGATTCTTTCTTTAAACATTGTGATTGATGCCTCCAACATGAAAAATATAAGCCATGATTGTGTTTTCCTTCGATTGATTACGATGGGTATTGTTTGTAATGACTTCAGTATTTCCTTCACCTATGTTAGTTAAACCTAATATATTACTCGTGAATGAGATGGTGATAATTTTTTAAACAGAAATAGTGACGATCTTCAAGTCAAAGTATCATGAGCAAAGTTTAGTCTTCTAGTTATGCTAAAATGGCATTTGTATGTAGTCAAGCTTGAAAATGTATTGATTGAAATAGGACAAAAACCCAGTTGTATGACTTGATAGAGTGACAATACACATTAAAACATTGTTTGACACTAATGCATGCTCATCAATAAATAAAAGTATTTAATAACATGGCCTTTATACACTATATTGTGATGGGTTTATGAGCCTACATGCTTGATGATGTTCATAACATATGAAATAATAGATTCATAAAGTTTTTAATTGTAGAACTAAGTATTTTAATGATCTTGATGAATGTTATTGGGAAAGCCCTAAATTATATGATCAAGGGTAAAATGGCAATTTAAGTGAATACTCTAATGACCCTTGAAAATGAATTGCATATGGTCTAAAATGATTTATGAAACTTATTAATATTTTCGTAGATCATTATCTACACATTTTCTCTATGATCAAATATTAGGGTTGTCACATGTCAATATATTAGAAGAAAGAAGAACATGAGCATTAGCCATAGTATAAAATGACAAAAACACAATTATATATTGGGCCATCTCTACAAACCGAATGATCTTTAGACTATCAAATGGCCACCAAAATTTCGCAAAAAAACAAAGAAAAGATCAGAATAGTATGTAACAAAACACTATTCAAGGAAAAATATGGGGGGTCAATAATGGGATAAAGAACATGAGGCAATCAAGGGCACAAAGGAATATCTTCAATGTCAAGCTTAAAAAAGATAAATCAAGGGGATTCAATCCTTGGGAAACTTTGGGCCAAAACTCTACAAATAGTGACATATTATAGATTTTTATTTCAACTATATTTACACTAAATGCCCAACTAGAGTCAATGATTAGAGGAGATTAGCATGTGGTAATCTCCTTGGTCCTTTATAAATCTTAGAGAGAGAAGTGAGTGATCTTTTGGTTTGGGCCTCAATTAGAAGATTATTTATAGTTAAAATCTTGAGTTGGTTGGAGTTATTAAATCTATTAAAAGTGGTTAAAGTATAAATTCAATGTTATATATTAGTAAATGTTTAGTAGAACTTTAGAAGTGATGACATATCCAATACTCAAAGAGTTAAGAAAGTGAGGTAATACAACCACTCTATTGTGTTTAAAATTTATATCTTTTCAGATATATCTTACTAGCTGAGAAATTAACAAAAAAATATTGTATTGTAATATATCAACAAAAAACTATTCATATCTTTTCCCTCTCCCTCCCTTCTTGGTATTGTACTATAATATAAAATCCAACACATATCAACTATTTTTAACCTTCAACTTATTTCCTATCTGTTCACAAGTTATTAAATTAGAAGTATAATTTTGATATCCTTTACCATAGAGTTTGGGAGGATGAAAAAATTAATACTTAAAATAATTTATGGTGACTACTAAATTTATGCACACATGTAGATTTGACCTTCTAAGCATATTTCATCTAGTCCTCAAATTAGACCCATGGCACTCAAAATTGATCTGCAAAGGTCTATATTGACAACTACGACCATGAACAAAATCACTCTATATGTTTCTGCTGATGGCAGCTTTAAGTGAATGTTGAGCATGATTTTTGACACATTTAAAGTCCTAAGTTGATGATATTGTTGAATTGTCATTTATGTTTAATATAGATAAGGGATTATAATTTTTAGTTGAACATCTAACTTGCATGAAGAAACAATACATAAAAGAAGAAAATGATCATGTTAATTTTTAATGAAAAACTTGTTCTGGTTTCTTCCTAAGTCATATATCCTTAGAAGCTTTGAAGATCATATTAATGAATTACACATGCATGCACTTGATACATCAAATTGGATTATGAGGATCAAGGAGTGTAAAGTAACTAAACAATCTACATGTGCAATAATATATCCATACGTTACTAGCAATCCAAGTCCATTGTTTCTTCAATCAGTTAGGAATCAAGATCTTAACTTATGATTAATATAATGAGCATTATTAGGCAAAACAATCTCAAAATGAATTTGAGGAATCATTAATTATTTAGTCAAAAAGGAGAAGTTTTTTCATCATGCATTGAAGTGAGTGACTTCAGAAGGTAACATGTTAATGAGAATTATAAATCATCCCAAGTATAAGTGGAATGTTATAACGTTAGCTGCACATCATGATTATCTTATAATTATGATATGATACTTTCCAATTATGTTACTTTTTATATTTATCCTATGCCTTAATTGGTGGTTAAAATAGGGTTGATGCATTCTTTTCCCCTAAAGGCAGCCCACAATCTCTATCAACATTATGGGATACTGCTCTTTTTTTTTTCAAGTAAGTGTAATTTTGCAAACTATCAAGATATAATTGAGGTTCTTATGAAATACAATGGGAGATTGTGTTTTGGCTGATCTCACAATGTGCTAATTAATTATTAACATCATTCTCCTAATCAGCAATATATCAACTCCATAGTGGTATTACCTCTTAGAGTTATTCATAGAAAATAAATGGTTCTTTTTTTTACTTTAATGAGTGAAAAAAAATATGACAAGGAACCATAGGAATATATTTTAGGAGTTTCATGAGATACTTAAATCTGCTTTGGAACACATGTTCTTGAATTTTATCAAATGAGCTTATTTATTTATTTATTTATTTATTCCTCCTTGTTTGGTGCATATTTTTTACGTGAATATAATAGCTTTTAGATCTACACTAGTGCAAGTTCACGGATAGCTGGTAATAATGCCATTAGGAAATGCGTAGTTCCATATCACGTGTATTACCACCGTTTTTGGAAGAATAGCATAATTAGATGAATGGGGAGTAGAATATTCTATAAGGAGCATCCTTCTCAATTAACCCACCACATGCCAAGGGCCAAAGCGGGTTCATCTCCAGTCAGTGGATTGAATTGCTCTCTCTGGCTTCGCCGCCTCCGGCTCACCTGCCGCGACTTATGATGCGTGGGCCGGTCGTAGGCCTTGTCGAACTGCAGGTCCGGACGCATCTCCTGGAGCCCCAGCCCGGTACGAACTTTAGGGCCCATTTCGACAACTGGAACTCGTTACGATTCCTCTGGCCCGTCGGCACCTCCGCACACGCGGCTCGTGGGTTCACTCACGCCCCAAAAACCCTTCGCGGTCTCGGGGCTCGGATGATCGGCGTCGTCGCCTCTTCTACCTATTTCTGTAGGGATCGCCGTCACGGTGGCCTCCTCCCAGCGGAAGCACCCCTTCCCTTCTCGTCTCCGCTCGCGGGTTACCTTCCCCGATAGGAAGCCATGGCAAGTCTCTCTGTTCTCCTTGTTAAAGTCGTGTCTTTTGCGGCCTTTTCGTCTCCACAATTCGTGTTTTTTCACGATTTTTTTAATGCCGTCTGTTGAGGAGGTTCCTGCAATTCTTGGAGTTACCGTCAGCCTTGGTTTTTGTCGGACCTTCTCCGAGGATTTTTCCTCCGTTCATTTTGCTGGTGTGCTGACAGGAGTCGTGACAAGCCGGAAACGATATATTTCCTTAAAAGGAGTCGGCATCGTAGCCTGTTCATATAGCTTCTTTCTTGATCCCTCCTTTTGTGTTGCGGGCGATTGGGGGGAGACTTGTGTCTCTCAAGGTAAAATCTGATTTCCAATTCGTGTTGATGATGGCTGCTTTGTGTGATCTTTGCGATTCACCTCGGCAAGGAACCGAGTGTGGACATTATCGGACTCTTGGAAGGCTCGAATCATTTGATGATGCTAAGCATAGGATATTCCTAGGGATCTGTCATCGGGGCTTGAGCTCTTACTTGGTTTGTTCGTGCGCGCAAGATTGATACCGAGTATGTTATTATGTCGTTGTTGGGGTGCTTAAACTTTTGTTAGTTTCTCGAGGCTCATCGCTGCGGGTCTCGGCCATGGAAATTGGAAGGGGCGGGGTAGCGTTCTTGCTGCATTTATATTCTGATGGTTTTTTTTAAAAATATTTCTCTTCTTTATGCCAGAATTTATTCGCATCCCTAAGGGTTCCTCGCGTAGCGTATTGGTAGTGAAAATGAAAACCACATTATAGTAGGGGGAAAATGATATTTAATGAAAATTAGGAACAGTAGAGAGGAAGTCAGGTGGTTTTGCATCTGTTAAGCTTGTGCTTGTACTGTGCTCATAAATAGAAATGATTAGACACCTGACACCAGTAGGTGAAAGGATTTTTGGGAGGAAACAGTGGCAGACATGGCAGGTGGTCTCCCATTAACTTGGAGAGTGTGTGAAAAACCAGTTATAGTAATCGACACCGGGGATTTTCATATGGTACGACCGAGGCAGATGACAAGGGAAAGTGGAAATGAAAAATGAAGAAGGGGACCATAAATGTTGATCGTTGATGACAGGTATTACAGCATAGGAGAACTTTGGGATCTTCTTCCTGCTGCCACTGCTGCTTATGTCTTCAAGGTAGAGATAATCCTTTGTCAGGCTACAGGTGCAGTAACGACAGTGAGATGTGTCTCGTAATGGTCTAAGAATACAATTTTGGAATGCCAAGCGGTGTGAGAACACTTTCCCTTTGAGACATTTTTCAGTTACTCTTCTGGATAGTGTATGATCCTTCTACAGTAGTTTCTCGAAACCTTTGATCATACTTAAGTAGGATGGTTTTAAAGTCTAAAACAGCAGATAACTTTTAAGATGAAGATGCTGATTAACTCGTAGGTCTGTTTAGTCTGCTTAACGGGTAACCATTACAGAGGTTAAATGCAGGCTTGAGGGAGTGAAAATTCAGAAACTGGGTAATTTCACTGATAGAACAGTTCGTCTCGTTATAAATGATGATCCAGTCAAGGGTTAGGTGTCACCTTGGAAGTCGAATTTTTTATAGTGAGGATGCTGACGTAGAGAGTTCTACAAGACCTTCTACTTGTGATCGTGATTTTCAAACTGTTGCTTAGGTGTTGCCTGAGCGCCATCTACTTAACCAAGTAGACCAGAACTAGAACTTCAAACATCTTGCCTGCCTACTTGGGCGAACTTGATTCTCAGTGCAGCAACATGGATGCATGGATGGGTTTCCATTTGAGAACTCAATTTCAGATTGTCTCGTGTTTCAAGACCCAGCTTTTTGGGGATGGCTGGGCATGGTCGAGTGCAGACTCCGTCTTACCAGCAAACAAGAATATTTGAAATACTTTCAAACATTGAAAAACTTTAAGATAATAGATAGAAATCAGGTGTTCAGTAAGACAATGAGTATAAAATGGTTTGCATCATATAATATATCCACATGGTATAAATACATACGTGAAGCAGCCTATAAATTTATGTAAAGCTTGATTGTTTTATTTTATTAATAATTTTAAATTGCATTATGCATATTTATAAAAATGTTATTTTGTCACGTCGTCTATTTGCATAGGCGCTAGTTGGTCACGTTCATTGCTGACATTTATATGCAACTTCAATGCTTTGTGCAGTCAATGTGGGGAAGGGGAAGATAGGAATCATTTTTTGATGAGATAGCATTTTTAGTGTGGCAGGCGTTCATTTGCATAATCCTGTAGTTTTGTAGAAGTCAGAGAGAGGTTGGGAGTAGAGTCTGGAGTCAAAGAGGACGGAGTAGTTGGGTTGTTCATACCTCCTGTGACCTTTTGGGTTTTTTAGAGGGAAGCAATGTATTCATGCTTAGGTTTTGGACTTTGATTGGAGAACCGGGTCTGTGTAATTACAGAGTAGTATACACCATTTTGTGATTATGGGGTGTGCATTGTTATTTTGTTCTCTTTTATGTTTTTTATTACATGTTATTGTGTGCATTTGTGTATATTGTGTATACACTTGTTCTTTCTTTTCATAATCAATGAGCATTATCTGTCCACTTTCAGTTCTCTTCCCATATTAAATAGCTGTGCTTACTAGATGTGTCCTAAGAATTTGATTATGATAACAAAACCGCTCTCTGGTCACTCGCGATTTTTTGTGCGTGTTCGCTAATGTGTATTTGGTTAGACCGGAAGAACTTGGAAACAGATGTAAATCATTTGTATTCAATGGAGTTATGGCCTCCAAGGTCAAACATTCCTTAGCAAGATTTCAAGAACTTCGCATGGTGGCTAAACATTCAATCCGAAGTTGCCGGAAGCTTCAAATGATTTTATTCTTATAGGCAAGGGAGAATTTGATTGGTTTTTGAGCAACTTCTTTTTACAAATTCCATCAATCAAGGAGCCACATTTTTGCTGTAAAATTTTGAAGGGCAGATTAAATAAGACAATGTTTGAATCATAAAGAATATAGTCTAATAAACGGTTGCTGATATGTTATGTGGTTTCCTTTGTTGATTTCTTTTGCCTCTTCCTTAGTGACACTGTCTGATACCGTACTTGTCTAGTCTATGTACGGTATGGTTTCATTTCTCATTAACACTACGCATCTTCTTTCGTTTTTTCCGTCACGCTCATGCAGGCAGCAAAGATCCTCGCAAACTTGCTTGTAATGGGTTCGTCAATAATGGGAAGAGCTATATTTCAAGCTTACAAGAAGGCACTTGAGAGTAAGTTTTATTATTTTTCTCTCGCGTTATTTAGCTTTCCAGAAGATTTCTGTGGTCAGGCTGCGAGGAGCGAAATTTGGAAAATATCTCATTAACATCTGGGTGCTTTGTTTCAGATGCCAGTAAAAGTGGTGTTGCTCAGGAAGCTGCGCAGAACATCCGTAGAGGAAGCACAAGCATGACCGAGCAGGAAGCTAGACAGATATTGGGGATCACTGAGCAGACGACCTGGGAAGAAGCCATGAAGGTCTGTTGATGTTGGTTTACTCCCGTCATGGAGAGGGTGTTTCGTGAACCTTTTCTTCTGCTTAACTCTAACAACTTGACTTAACTTCGAGCTATGTGACCTGGGAAGATGCTGTATAGCGTCAACCCCGGGATGACCAACTGTAGCGATCTGTGCCCATGAATGAAGTCAGATGCTCGTCTCAGATCACTGACTCTAACAATGGTTTGTCTCTGTTTTGTGCCGACGCAGAGGTACGAGAACATGTTTGAGAGGAATGCGAGGAGCGGGAGCTTCTACCTCCAGTCGAAGGTCCATCGGGCCAAGGAACGCTTACAGGCCGTGCTTGAGAACCAGGAGCAGCATTAAGTTGGCAAGTGTCTGGCTGCTGATGTATCTTCTGTCGTAGGAGCCCATCGTCTATGTATTCATTCCGGGGGGTTGGGGTGTGGCGGGGCCGCCGTGTTGTGTCGACGGCAGGCGGTGGCGAATCGACGGCAGGCTGGGAGGGAGAGGTGGCATCGACAATAACTGCGCGGTGGGAAGGGCGGTGGTGGATAATGATGCCCGGGTCTGTAGAAAAGCTCATTTTTTAGGGTGCTGTTGTTTTCTTGAATGGATTCCTGTCACCCAGTTTCTACATTTCGACGCTTGAGCGTCTGCTCATACTTGTATCTGGAAATGACCTTGCCGAAGATGCATCCGATGTGTTGACTTTTTCGGCCATATTCATGGTTGGGACATCGCCCTTCACTCACCCCCGCATTCTCTTGAGGAGAAACAGCGTAAACTGCCGGAGCATGCCGGCGGATGAATCAGATCTGTCGTCGGTGAAATAGGTCGTCCGGGTGGAGGTGAGCGCAGAAGAATCTGACGGTTGAGTCGATTGGTGAGCCATTTTCATCGTTGCATCAAAAAGTCAAGGCAGCTCCATCCCTTCGCTTGACCTGCAGCGGATGATGCCGTCGTCTTCTCGCCTGGCCATTTTCGGATAACTCATGACCCTGGAGTTTCTTCTGATAGCGCTGGTTGAGGAGGTGATGCTTTGCTAGTCACCCGAATGGGAAGACTTTGAGCCCCCCTCCCTCCGTCGTCAAATGGAGTAGTTTTATGTGGGAATCTTGTGGTTGCAGAGGAATACCTTCGAACTTCCCTCCCTCCCCCCCACTGCTTGTTGGTTGTCTTTGCAAGTTTTATGACCCCCCCTCGAACTTCCCAGGACCATGCGCCACATCCGTTCCCAGGGGTTAGTCCGCCGATGTCTGGGTCGAAGAGTCTCGGCATCTTTCCGGCGTAGTGCCAGGCGGAAGAGGTGGACCGCCATCAGCCGCACCAATTTCAGCTTCCCACTTCAGCTCTATCCAGTTCTGCGGCATTCTGGATGCTGGAGAATGACCCTCCCACCTTCCCTCCCTCGCTGGTTGCTAAGCAGACCATGTGGGAAGGAAGATGGAGGCCTGTGCCTCATAATTTCGTCACCCAGAGATCTGGCGTCAAGCAGGCCCTAGAGAATGACCACCGGCGGCGTTCCTGAACAATTTGTCCGGGAAGGCTGTCATTGTGAAGCCCAAGTGGGCGAGGGACGACAAGGGCACATCCTTTTCCTGTGCGAATGCCCGGAGATCTTCTTTTGCTTCCGCTGTAGAGGCCGCAGTGGCCGGCTTATTCGACGACTTTGTTTGTCCCTCTGCTCTCATCTAAGGCTTTCTTGTTTCCGTGGACTCGTACATGAATGAACTTGCAGGTAATGCTCGAGGCCATGGTTTGGGCTCTGTCCCATGCAGCCCCCCCTGCACCTCAGCCTGCCGTTCCACAGCCTGCCAGCACTGAGGAGAACGTTGATGGGGAAATCACTGGAAACCTTGGGGAGACTCTGATAAGGTTGGTTTCTCTTGGCGACTGTTGAAATGAGTTGACTTCTGAAGCATGGCAGCGTGACTATGCACGCGGGTCTGACGAAATCGGCAGGCTTCCTCAACGAGGTCCGCAACACTACCGGCTTTTGACCGCTAGAGGTGGATGTTTCGGCGGACTTCTTGTTTCTAACGCCGGATAATAATTTGCCGGTTTTATTGAAGTCAAGATCAAAGTAACTCTTTGAGCGGAATCCTTTTGGCCGACAGCGACTGTCGATATGATGGGGGCGGGGAACGAGCGGCGGAGGAAGGGGGTGCGGTGATGGGAGGTCACCAAGGCCGCCCGCCGGCTTTTCTCCCGACTGAATATGGTTGCATTATCTCGGCGAAGTCAGTCGTGGCTCGTCGGGCTATCAGGAGGCCGGAGGCGCATCTATACATGGTCCAAGGATTTTTGGATTTCAGGGGGAAAATTTAGAACAGAAATCGAAATGGGCTCGACGCATATCCTATTTTACAGGCCATGCTGCAAAGAATAGGATTGCCTCTCTGTTCTCTCTCTCTCACACTTCCCTCCCTCGTCTATTTCCGTGCTGATCCTCTCTCCGAGCATCAACCCTTCTCGTGCCCACAAGCTCTGGCGGCACGTGGCCTGGCGGTCCGAGAGAATCTTAGCTCGAGGGATCTCCGTGGGGAATCCCTGCTCCGGGAGTTAGTTCGTCCGTAGAAATTGTCGGGACTCGGCAGTGAGGCCGTTGACAGGGGAAACAAACGGTAGGGTTTACCAGCAAAACAGACGCCTTTCCGCCGTTTCACCCCCCTGCTGATGGCGATCGTGGTTTAGAGGACGGAACTCACATTGCGACGAAACTAGACCACGGTGTCCACTCCTCCCTCCCCCGGGCGATCTGCTGTTCCCTCGACTTTCGACGGCTGCTAAAGTTGCAGCTGTTGGCCTTCGGAGCTTGCCACAGTAGCACCGCCCTTTACGAGAGACATACATACCACCGTCGCCCTAGTCCACAACGCCTGTGTTATAAACGGCAGTGGCCGCCACCACCTCGTCGGCAAAGGTGAGGCAAAAGCTTCATTCCATCCTCTCTCTCTCTCTCTCTCTCTCTTTCTCGCTGGGTCAAAGTGCTCATCATCACATTCTCGATCGTCTGCGCAGGCCGTTCGACCTCGTTTCTATTAAGCTTTTCGCGCGACACTCGTTTGGTACCGTGGTAGGCCTTTCTCAGCTTCACATGTTCTGTTCTCTTGCATGTCCTTTTATTGATGAGCGAAATGCTTAATTTTTGTGGAGAAGTGGGCGTCATGGAGAAGCCCCCGAAGAAGCAGGTTCGCCTGTTCTACTGTGTTGAGTGCGAGGAACTGGCGAGGAAGGTGGCCTCACACTGCGAGTCCATCCAACTTCAGTCCATCAATTGGAGGTCTATGCCCCGACCCACACTCGATTCTTATCTCGTCTCGTTTGAAATTCTTTTATTTTATTTCTTTCACAAGGTTTCATATGTCTGCCTCTCTTTGATTTTTCTCTCGTCGGTGGATCATTTACTAGGGTGTGAATATTTTTTCATTTAATGCCGCTTCTTAACAATTTGTATTGATGGTATTTTCCTGCAAGCCTCATAAGTCGTCTCTAAACACGAGCTGCGGTTTTACCATTTTAGTCCTATCTGCTTTCCCGTGTTGGTTACTTGGCAATCCGATTTTCTAAGAGTCTGGTAATCTGTCTAGCCTTTCCGAAAGTTTTTCTTTATTTATTTCTCATCTTGTGAATCTACGACGAAGGGGCCGAATAATTTGCTTTTTATAAGTTGTGATTACATCTCTGGGTAGCTGGCAGTGTCTATCACCTTTGCGTGCTGTAGAGCTCGATCTTAATGTGCTATCAATCCTTCGTTGTACCATTGCCCTCCTTCCAGAAGACCACATTGCAAAATCTTTTGTATCCCATCCTGCTTTGGCTAATGATTCGAGTTGTGATAAAGAGATTATTCTGTGTATTGTCTTTGGATGATATGTGTGTCTATGGTAGCGTTTTCCCCAAGAGAGCCTAGTTACCAGGCATAGTTCTTGGGAATGCCTCTGTAATCAACAGAAGACTGAAAATCGAACCAAAAATTCTTATGGAGCTCTCTGAATCAGAGTTTTAACTTCTTAATGGTATCACAAACGTCTCACTCTTGGTCACCAGGTTCTCTAGAACGGTTCATCAGGGGACTATCTATTGCAGTGCTCCTCTTCTCGCTATCTATCTTTTGGGACTCACTGATTTCATTGTTAAACCTGGTGATAGACTTGTAAACTGGCAAGAAATAAAACAGCACTGGGCCTTGAAATTGGTGAATATGTATATGCGTACTCATGAACATGATGCGGTTCCAAACAGGCAGATTTGGTCGATCAGATCCCAACCCTAACCGGGTCACCATCAGGTATTGATTCTCTTTGGCATTCCTTGCTCCGCTGATAATGTCTATCGTTTTTCAAGTAGCTGATGCTAGTTGTCGTATGCTCTTAGGCAATTTCCTTTGTGGAAAAGTTTGAATCACAGTTTTTTTTCCAGTTGCAGCTGTCGAGTTATGGATGCTGTATGAAATGTTATTAGTTTTCAGAATATTCCTTTGCAGTCATGTTAGAGGCGAAGGCTATATCATTGATAGCTTTGAAATGATGGATTGAATGAGAGGACTGACTGTTTTTTTACTTATCTCAGAAACTTTGATGATGGATTCCCTAATCTCTACATCAATGATGCACATGATATCAGAGGCCAGCATGTTGCTTTCTTGGCATCTTTTAGCTCACCTGGAGTGATTTTTGAACAACTGTCGGTGATATATGCTCTGCCACGGCTATTTGTTGCCTCATTCACATTGGTTTTACCATTCTTCCCCACTGGTTCTTTTGAGCGCATGGAAGAAGAAGGGGATGTTGCCACTGCATTCACTTTGGCAAGGATGTTGTCAGTCATACCCATATCTAGGGGCGGTCCTACCAGCTTGGTCATCTATGATATTCACGCCCTGCAGGTCAGTTTTATTCCTGAATGCAGTGAAGTTCTGGTTCGTTCGGCATATTGCTAATTTCATTTTGAGCGTGTGATTCCTTTTTGGTACTTCAGTCCTTGCCTCACATGCTTTGCATAGAAACTTGGTGGTAAGTGCAGGAGCTGCTGCTACTGCTTAATTTTTTGTCTTACCCGTGCCTGAAACAGTGGATGAAGTTCAGTACTGTTGTTGTCCGGCACCTCTTCCCAATCTTCTTCTTTGGTTCATCTTTTGGGGTACCCTTTACCTATGAAAGGAATTGCTGAACGCTGGAGTGTCTGAGAACCAGGTTTATGCATCTAGTGTTATGGTAGCAGAATAAGATGAACAGCAGATTAAAGTCTTATGTCTAGACAGAAAATGCATTCTACCAAGTGGGAGGAAACTTTGGCAAGTATGGAACTATCAATGCCAGGGGAGGATATTCTATTAAGGGTTGCAATGTGAAGGTCTTGACTAGAAGCTCCTTGGTTCTTTGGACAACTGTTGGAAGATATGAACTACGGGTGCAATAAATTTTGTATCTTGGCCTTGACGGGATTAATACTATTGATGTTTTTTACCCTGGGTTGGGAAAGGATGCTCTTCACTGATCTTAATATTACCCTCCGACTCCTTGGAATTACCCGGTGTTTCACCCGTAGACACATTCATGAAATTAAAGTGCCCAGAAAGTCAGTGTGGAACAATGCCATCCATCGATCTGGAAAAAACGTGGGGTCGAGCGAAGCATTCTCTGTATTTTGATTACCTCTAGTTGGAAAGCGATGATGAATAGCTTTGGAAATATCCTCTTCCGTCTTTGCAAAGGTTTATCAATGATATTTCCATGTCATAAGCTTATCTGCTTATCAATTACTTGTATATTTCTTCCTCAGGAAAGGTTTTATTTTGGTGATCATGTCTTGCCTTGCTTTGAAACTGGAGTCCCGTTGCTGAAAGAACGCCTTCAGCTGCTCCCTGATGCGAACAATGTATGTTCTTGCTAACCTCCGATGGTCTCCCTTGATCTTCCTGTGCATGCTTCTTCTAGTGTAGTTAATTTATTTGGTCCTAGAGCCTGTTCATGGACTGTGATGCCTTCATGAGATGACTTGGGTAGATCCATGGATTAGAAATGACGATCTTCAGGGAGTTTTGGGTTCAGTTCGTCGTCCACTTCCTCTTTCCTGGACTCATTCGTCATGAATCTTCCAGATAACCATCGCTTTCCCCGATGATGGAGCCTGGAAGCGGTTCTACAAGCTGTTTACTAATTTTCCGATGGTGAGATGGCGCTCAAACTCGCAAGAATACTATCTTCCCTCATGCCTGTCTGTTTTGTCTATAAACCCTGGAGCATCCGTCGCAGATTGTCTGCACCAAGGTTCGGGAGGGGGATAAGAGGATAGTTCGACTCAAGGAGGGCGCCGCCGAAGGTCGGCATGTTGTCATCGTTGATGATCTGGTGCAGTCGGGAGGAACGCTCATCGAATGTCAGGTATGTGCTTCGCCCGGCGCCTGCATTATTTCCTCAGAGGCTCCCATGCTCAAGTGCTCCTGCTATGAGATGCTCGGATAATCCCGAATGAAAACTGAATTTCCATCCAACTGTGAAAAAAAAAGGTTCTGACCCGCGTTATCATCTCCCCCATTACGGGTGCTTCCACCGCTCGTTCACTGTGGTTGGCGCTCCGCGTGTGTGTGTATGTCTCTCTCTCTTGTTCTTCAGAAAGTTCTGGCTGATCACGGTGCCGCCAAGGTCAGCGCTTACGTCACTCATGCCGTATTCCCCAAGAAGTCATGGGAGCGTTTCGCCCACAAAAACACAGGCGAGGAGACTACGCCCCTCCCCCCTCCTTCTCTTGTCCCCATATCATTATGATAGAGCTGCAGATACTTGGGCATTCCGATGACACGGTGGGCTGGCTCCTTGCAGAGGATCATCCATTCGCCTTCTTCTGGATCACAGATTCGTGCCCACATACGGTCAAAGCCATCGCAAACAGGGCTCCCTTTGAGGTCCTCACCCTGGCGGGATCCATCGCGGTAGCCCTTCAGATCTGACGGCATGAGAACCCCGGCGTGTGGGACGATAAGTACTGCAGGCGGCGGCCAATCTGTGTTCGCGACGGCGGCGTGAAGTGGTTTGGAGCCATGGCGACGACCCGACTGTGTTCGTAGCAGAAAAAATAGTGTGGTCGGTCGGTGGGTGGGGGTCTCTTCTTCCATGAAGTTTGAGTCATCTGGCCGACCTTTTATCTCTCTCTCTCTCTCTCTAAAGTCGATGGTCGAGGGTCAAAGAGAGAGGCTGGGGACGTGCACCTTCCTTTACAGCTTCTAACAGTCCTTTCTCCTTTTTCTCACATCGGATTAGATTGACGATGGTCTCAAGAAAAACTTGTTTTTTTTTCTTCAAAGAGGCACGAAGAGAGCAGGTTTTAGCTCGTCGACTTGTCGCCCAGGTGGCAGTAGCGGGGGCAAAAATGTAAAAAATGATAGATAAAGCGACGACTGCGCCATTCAACCCGTTGACTTCTCGCGTTCTACAGTCAACACGTCTACCATTCACGGTGGACGGAATAGGCCTGCTTTTGGGTCCTTGCGGATGAAGCGGGGAATAAAAAGCAGCGATATTTTTCCCACAAAGATCGAGCCCCTCGTGCTTTTATTTTGCAGTACGGTCGATTTCATCGTTGACTTGGGCTGCCAGAAGAACGGGGGCAGACGGCCGCTGCTCGCACCTCAGGGGAGGACTTGCACGAGGTTCAACAGCGCGGACGCATCCAAGGCTGGGAATTCCTTGACGGCCTCCAGGACGGCGAGTCCGAGCCTCACGGCGTCTTCTTTGCTCGGCGCCTGAAGAGTTTTGGCCAGAAGACGGTCGGCATCTGCCGTCGACAACGAGGAAAATGGAACGTAAAATGGCAGATCGTATTGCACCTCAATGTTGAGGGGGAGCACTGGGTCGTGGAGAGAGAGCCGCAGGAGGAACCACCCGCCGTAGCCAGAGACCCTTAACTGCAGCAAGATCACGAACCGACAGATGAGTGAGGGAGCAACTGTTGCACACAGACAGTCAGATCCATAGGATCTGATTGGATAGGAGCCGCCATGAATGAAGATCACCAGAGAAGAGAAGAGAAAGCAGAGCGGAGGAAACCGAAATTAATGATGAATCAGCCTATTCTACAATCATGCCAAGTTTGAAAACATTCATCTAGGAACCAGCCTATTCAAGCTTTCCATGAAATAAGAAAACTATTGAATTTTTCATATGTGTGCCTGGCTGATGGCATGATGTTGCCTTCGCAACAGACTCGTAAGCATCAGCCAAAATCCCTAAAACGCATGCCTAATCATACACATCAACCTAAATACCCATCAAAAGGTCTCCTAACATATATTACAGATATTATCTCTCATCCCCCCCCCTCCCTCTTCTATTGAGACTGATGAAAAATATAGTACTATGCATGAGAGAGTAGAGTGGTGGGACAGGATTGTGACCCTGATCTCAAGTAACTCGAGATGTGGCACATGACGACGACCATCCCTCTCATCTGCCTCCATTTTAGACGGCAATCAGCTCCCAGTTAAAAGCCAAATTTCTGAACGGACAGAGAGAGAGAGAGAGAGAGAGAGAGATAATTAACTCTCCTAGTGAAGACACAATTGTCCATTTTGGTAGCCAGCTACCCGCATGCTAGTGGGGGGAGGTAGGACACTGTTCTGAGGTCTGAGTGTTGGAAGAGGTCTGCAGGCAGGGGAGGGGGATTCAGGATGGGGTCGTCAGAATAGAAGGCGAGGGGGGGCTTGGGGGAGGGAGATTTGAGGCCAGAGCGCATCACAGTCCGAGCCCGGTACAGATAAGCACCAGGTAGGCTGGTAAATTATTTGTGTGAGCTTATTTTCCTGGCCAAGTTACGAAAACCATGCTGGACCAGGTCAGGATTCCAGACCTGGCCTCTTGACGTCCCCTAATGACCAGCCAATAATGGGGAAAATAAACAAGAAAAAAAAGTAGAACAGCAGCTCATCTTGAGAGCAAAACAAATGGCAGTTAACACTGAAATCGAAATAATATATATGTAGCACTCACGCCTTCATGGTTAACAGGGGCTTTCTGCAATTTTGGATCCGAACTTGTGGTGTTTTCCAAGTGCTTCAATACAGCTTCGCCATAGTCACGGAATGATCTGAAATAAAAAGTAATTGAAAAGAGGAGGAAAATTTTCAATAGCATTTCAAATGACTCCTCCCAAAGGATTTTAGTCTCCTGCTCGGACGATTTTTGACTAACCTGATTGCTGAGCCACAATAACTGAACATATTATTTTTCCTCAAATAACTGTGATTTTCATTTTTTTTTCATAATCAGAAGTAAGTTTTATTTCGATTTTAACGATGATGGACAGTTTTATAAAGAATAATACAGTGATACATTATTAAAATTCTAGCTTTTAAAAATAAACGATAACTATTTCTCAACCGACTCACCCTCCCTTCAGGTTCGCATGTTTCTGGTCTATCTTCAGCCTCAATTCAACTGCGATGGCAGCTTCTTCAAATCCCTCAACCAAATCTGTCAAAACTTTACTACCACTTGCAGAATCTGAAGCTCTGGCAGAAGCAAGTTTGTTTAAGAGCTTAACCTGCAGGGAATGGAGGATTCTAATGTGCGAAGAGAGAACCACAAGGGATACAAACTGCTTTAATTAAAGAGACAGAATATCATCTCGTCTTACTGGTTGAACAGCTATCCTATCTGCATTAAAAGATGCCAAATAATGCTAGATTATGAGTCATAGTATCCACGCGTACCATGAGGTATGCTCCATCATCAAGCCAGCGATTCTCCTTCAAGGCACCATGTCCACTGGTTTCGATTGCCAAATGTGCTTCTTCGCCAACTGAATTCTGAAAATTGATCTTTGATTACTTGTTTCTGTTCCATGGAGAATGGTTTAAATTCGACAATTTTTAATAAATAACGAAAAAAAATCCAAACATCTGGGTTCCTGTAGCCTAAGAAACGATTCTCAAGAAATTCCAATGAAGATTTACTGTTCCCAGGTACTACGCTTTTTGATGGAACGCTGTTTTCCATAGACCTTTGACAATGGAAGGCATACCCCATGAAATGTCACGGACATGGGCACCGGACTTCTTGTTAGAAAACCATAGATTTTCATATGACAAATTTCTTATGAGGAGCTCAAATCATTATCAGTAAGAATTACCATAGAAATAGATTTTCCCAATTTCTTTGCCGTCATCCTAATCAAATAAGTCAGACAATAGCTGACAGTGAAAGAAAATTAAAGATTCATGCGATGGCCATATAATTCGGAAATTTCATGTGTTCTTTGTCAAAGACTATTCTACAGCTGCAAAGGAAGTTCAAAATAATACATTTTTTTGACATGTCATAGCATACAGAAACAGTAACCGAGTTTTGTGGCAACCAAGTGCTACGTTTTTCCTTCTTCAAGGAAAAGTAGAGGGTTTGTGAATTAACTGTCGAAATAATAATGGTTAATAAAGCAAGTTTACCAAGCGAATCGCTTCATCAATGACATTTTTGTATCCTCTCTTGAAACGATGATGCCTCCCTCCTACGAGAAAAATAAAGTTATGACGAAGAAAACTGAAAATAGAAAAATAGACAAGCTATTGGGCTTACCAAGTTTCTTCTCGATAAAAGAAGTCAACCCGTCAGAAGTCACACTGTCCGTGACGACGGTTGTTCCTGGATGCTGCTCGTAGAGGAAAAAAAGTGAAAAAAATTATATATACTGGTGTACTTGGTTATGATACATCATAGTTAACTGTAAAATCTTGTTACAACATGCTAATCTGGGAAAAATTTAAAATTTCAGATTTTACAGAGTGCTCTTATGTTCAGTCATCAGTACCTACGAATTCAACATTTTCAGGAAAAAATCGACCATCTTCATGCTTGACCAGACTATCCAACAAGTTTTTGGCTCAAACACGAGGAAGACAGGCAATGGGTCCGAAACAAGCAGAAAAAACTGCTTCAAGATCTTCAGAACTTGGTTTTTCAAACAGTGGATGGGGTAAATCTTCATGAAATCAATGATGATAAATGGAAACTAACCAAATTATCAAAAATACAAGTCTTACTTCCTCAAGGACAATAGCGGATATCAGAGCAATCAGTCTATTCCGATTGAACTCTCGACCTGTGGAGTCTACAGCAGCAGATCTATGCACGTAGAAGAATGGGAATGAGCAAAATAATGATGATGCCCGATATCGAAAAATAGGAAAAACAAAATGAACTTGCCTTGTAAACCCTAATACCTGTCAACATCGGTATCAAAAATGATTCCTAGGTCAGCTTTATTATCAAGGACTGCTTGAGTTATTGCCTTCATAGCACTTTTATCCTCTGGGTTTGGGATGTGATTTGGAAACAAACCTGAAGCCAGAGAGAGGAATTTAAATACACCCTGATGAACACATACCTCATTTTATTTCCTTCAGAAAATACCATCTGGTTCCAAAAACTGGCTGCCAGTTGTAATTGCCCCTAAGGGTTCAAGCACCTTTCCCTAGTAAAAGAGGAGCACAGTGAAATCACAAAGCAATATTTAGCTTCAGAAGATCAGGTTCGAGATCAGTAATTTTAACGAAACTTCTAATGGTGCTGTTTCTGACGAAACTCAATAATCAACAATGCGGTGAAAAACTTTCTTTAACAGGGATGACAGGTCCGCCTGATTTAAGTCCTTGAATGCCAGAAGCTGAATGGGTAACGAGATGGCTGAAATACCGTACAATCTAGAAGTATGGAGAAGAAACAAAGTTCACTTGAGGAAAAGGTTACAAGTGGTTAAGCTCAGAAAAGTGCCAAATAATGAACAAACTCTAATCACGTCTTTCGGATATAAGACATCCGAAATAGCTACACGACTCTTATGAAGATGGGAATTTGATTCAGTTTCTAGATATTTTTATTGCCCATACTACTGCTCGCAATGATTCAACTCAAACACATGAGAGCGAGGATGTAACAGACTGCAGGATCTTATATGCAACAAAAATCCGTCTTCTCCACACAAAATCGCCGAAGATCGCTGAACTTTTCAAAAGATTCAAGGATTTTCAGCACTTAGTGAAAATTTATGATGATTATGACATAAATCAAGGAATGAATCGATGATGAAGAAGCCAACCACCACTTCTATGAGAGCCTATTGTGTTTTAAACAAGTTTTCTGATACAATGTGAAAATCATAACATACTTATCCAGCCCAAATAGCGGAGATTCTGTTCTGCTGAGAAAAGAAAGGATTCAACAAGGGGATGCCAAAAAAATATACAAGTATGATTCATTCGACAAGAGGCGGGATGACTTCATTTTGATTAAAAAAAACGATAAATATGATTCATTCATAATCTGTATGTCGGTTGCGAGTGAAACCACGGGCAATGCTGGTGTAAATGCTCCAAAATAATTCAGTAAAATTGACACAATTTTCTCTAAAAAGTTTAAACTCTTTACGAAAGAATGGAAAGTTACCGGAAAGAATCCTCCTGCTCCATTTCCTGCATCAACAACTATGTGAAATCCCTCTAGTGGCTTTTCTGAAATTTTAGTGGCATGAAGTAAGTGAATTGAATTAAAATTGTTAGAGATAATCGAGAATATTATACAATCTCCAAGAAAGAAAATGACATAGGTGGAATCAATTGGAAAATTTATTTCTTCAATCAAAAGAAGACCAGTTATCCTGATTACTTTCAGAATTTTAACAAGAAAAGGTAACAAACGATGACAAAATATTATGAAAACTATGCTACACGCATATGGAGAAATATCCAACTTGCAAAAGTTGACGGAATAGTTAGCGAAAAGAAAGTACCAACATTCCCTGCAGCTTTACGAACTGCTTGTACAAGATCTGATGTGTAGACAGCCATGTAATCCACTCTCTGTATCGCCATAGAAGCTGCTTTCGCTGACTCCTTCAGGTTTTCAATTGTACATTTACCATATATAATTTCAGCACGTTCTAATATGTTTTTGATGTCAGCTTTACCAAGCCCTCCAGAATTTGTGAAAAATTTAAAGCCATTCCGATTGTAAGGAAGATGGCTAGCTGTATCAAGATGCAAATGACACAAATACATCAAGTAAAGTTTTTTTTTATTTTAAAAAGGGAACATAACTCTTCTTTAAACATATATAATGATTTTCTGATCATACGTTGAGGATACACTCCAACTGACACAGATTCTGAAACTCGAAATGTTGATACATGGTATACACATATTGAGTGCTTATTCCGGAATCCATAGCGGGAAGAATCATTAATCATCCTCACGAAAAGAAACCGAAGTATGATATATAGTTATGAAAGAAAACTTAAAATTAAAGAAAATGCATTTCTGCTTATCAGACATAGTATAAATTTTGATTATAAAGTTTGACATCCACAACTAACCTGTAATCATTATAGCCCCATCAACAGGACACAGGAAGTTTTCGTCTTCTGTAAGTGTACTATTGAACATTGCAGGTGTAGACGCCAGTCTGAAATCACAATTCGGGAGAAGCATTGCACTCTTATTCCACCTTGAAATCCCTTGAGTTATGCATGAATAGGGAAACATAAAACCGAATTTTTTTCGCGTAAAATGCAATCAGATCAAGACGCTGTTCTATATGAAGAATGAATTAAAACTGAAGGCACACACCCATACTGAATAACATCTGATCCAGAACTGGAAATTCCACGAGAAACTGCATCCTGGAGACAGTACAGTAGTAATCAGAAACGTAAAAAGAAATTCCATCCTTATTCTGATTTCATTTAATGTGATTATATTGAGACCTTGAAACATCAGGGAAAAGCATAAAGCAGTCATACACAACATGTAACATGATATTAAATTTATTTAAGATCTCTTTTTCTCTATATCCCAGGCATATCATGCTTGTGTGCAGATGCGTATGCCAAATATACAAGAATTCCTAAAATGAAGACTACATTGTCTCATTCTTCGAAAATGTTAAGTAAAAAAAAAAGGAAACTATATACCTGTCAACTGGCAAAACCTATAATTGGAGAGAACAAGGTTGAAGAGAAGCGTTCTTCAGTACAGAGAGAGTAAATCAGGTCATGACGAAGCTTCATTGATCCCTCGTAATAATAGGGTGAACTATATTATCAGCATCTGTGGAGTAAGGTCTTCATAGTTTCATGATAAGTGAAGGTGATTGGCATTCCATGGATTTTACGACTGATTAGATACCCTGATTAAGGTTGTAATGCTTGACACGTAAGATAATCTTCACCCTGATAAATTGTGCTTTTCTACCACTTCTCCAGCATATGGATGCTGCTGTTGTTGATAGTATTTTTTCTATTTTTTTCTTTGAAGGCCAGTTCATATGTTTAACAAAAATATTATTTTTTTTGAAAGAAGTAAGCCAAAAAGAAACAGACCTAAAGACCAAAAAATAGAAGAAGAAATTGAAAAGAATAACCATTATGTAAAGGCCGGCGTGATGAGGACTGTTTTGAGACCCTGTTTAACATGGTCTCTGTGTTGTCAGGCACGAGTACTTAACTGAGAAAGGGAAGTAATAATTTGAGGAAGAAGCTGAAACTCAAGGATATCACCCCATGCTCGTCTTTTTTCATCGACAAGATCCAATTCAGAGGTAGAACAATTTATACACATCCTTTGGAAGACATTTTAATAACGCAACAGAGTGCGCAGAAGACTACAGTAGATGTAAAGTTCGGTGGGAACATACAACGTTCAACAAAAAGCTCCCTATCATAGTAAGAAAATCTTGAGGAAAAAGACACCGTTCAAAAAAACATTTCCACTCAAGATAATAGTGTGTGGGAAATAACAGCTCAATGAAAAAGCCTTCTAATATAGATAATTGTAGTTCTATAAATAATTATTATCAATGACTTCCCACAAGGGGTGCCTTGGTCAAATTCAACCCTCTTGAAAATAAATATATATCCATTGTGGAAAGATCGTTGAAAACACAAATGATCCCTTCGTCACCCGCATAATTGCCCAATTTCTTTTGATGACAATCTGTGGATAGAAGACTATGATACAGGCATTTCAAATAAAGACAACTGACAGAAAATCCTCGGTAGAAGATCCTATTACCATTATTTTCACAGTAATATTGAAGACGATTGTGCTGTCATTACAAAGTTTGGGATTTCCTGCATCACTGTAGAAGCTGCTCAGCCAGCGTTCGATCTTCTTTAACCGAATACAGTTTGTTTTCTTTTGTTAGCCATTGGCTAAGACTAGGGATGACCATAGTGTTTCTGTTCTACATGATTATCTGAGTGCGTGGGTTAATTTTTAAGGATTATGTTTGATTAATTCAATAAGGATTTTAATTACCTTAAAAAAACCAACATACTTCCTTTTCTTGACAGACAGTCTCACTTTCAATTATACTTATTGCTGCAAGGATGAAGTTATCCTCAGTTTACTAGCAACTGAATGCCAGAGGATGTTTCCTTTCTAATATTCCTGCTTCTTGATGTAATAAGAGATATACACCCACATACCTGTAATGTCTGTGCGGAGATCCGAGAATCATGGCCAACAGATATTCTTAGGCGTCTTGACTCATTGGGATTTTTCCTGTCTGACAACCATGATGCAAAAGCCGCAGCAATAGCTTCAGTGACGGGTTCAGTGAGGTTGATGGGCTCCCCCTCAACACCAGAAATCGCCACACCTCGTATATCACTGCATAAGTGGATGTTAGACTCTGCACAAAGGCTAATCCTTATTATGTTTAATCCAGTTTAGGATCTGAAGACCAATCTCAGATTTTTGTTTTGTTTTTTATAAACTTTTCCAACTGGATATTATACTTGTGCTGATTTCCCTATGCAACAAACTATCCACTTCAAGGGGAACACTAAAGTATATGATTTTTACAGAAAAGCAAGCAAGCGTATTCATTGAAGCTCTGCGCCATTTCCTGAAAAAAAGGCCTTTGTATGACTCCCATAAAGAATCCTAGATATATTAAGAATCCACTGATTAAGCCTTCCATATCGCACACCACCATTTCCATCAGGCTGCATTATCTTTTAGGAAAAAATCGTCCGTATTTAATCTGCTCAGGAACAAGGATGGAGTTGAATACCTTCCATTTTGAAGCTTTCGAAAATCAATCTTCTCAAAGGATGAAACAGTATTGGCACATGTAGAAGCTGCCATAGTAGATGAGAAACAAGAAATAAGGGTCAAGAAAAGTGAAAGAAATTTAAGAACTGCAACACTATTTAGCTAGAGATGAATAGGAAGACTTTAAATTTCTATTACATCAGACGGCACGACATGTGAGAGGGGAATAAAGAACGATGAAACCAGATGGACAAATGCAAGAACCAGATGAAAACTGACGAATTTTTCTGGCCAGGAGTAGCCGGAATTAGCTGGTTATCAACTCAATCATAACCAGAACATGTCAAGACTGGATCAGTCCTAGCTTCTGGTTCCTTAATCCTTTCATATCACGCGAGGCATGACAAGGACAAAAAAGGAAATAACAAAGAACAACACAGTTCTATTAAGTTAGGAGAGATCTAAGGTTGGTCTTGAATCGATCCTGGAAGTGAGAGTCTCGAACAGACCATTGCACTGGACATTTGTTCGGTTCCCAGGACCCTTATGGTATGTTGCCAAGACGTGCATGCGGATGGATGGCATTCCAGGCCATGCTAACTTCCTCCCTCGTGGGAGATTGCTTTTGCTCGTACTAAGGAAACAACAGTTCCTACGATATCTGTGGTCCAATTTCCCGTCCCATTGGCAACATTTAGCCCTAAATACACTTTGGACCGTCTTCCCAGATAGTGCTGCATGAAAGTTTACAATATAGTCTTTATTAGCAAAAGAAATGGTTGGTGAAATTAACAAGGTAGCATTTAAAAAAAAATGACGTAAGAACAAGCGTAACTGAGGAACGTTTAGCAGATTTCCGGGCTTCCGACCCAAAAGTACGCATTCACAGAGGTCGATCATACTTCACATTGCCAAGCAAACAGGAATTATGCTCATCTTTCGGGAAAATAATGATCCAGATCACCATTTACATGGAGTGTTCGATAATAATAACATGGTTTAACGCCCTCCTTGTTAAGCATGGTAAGACTACACGCACAACAGACCATGCTCCCTGAATATTTATCCGCAGAGATTCACAAATGGGCAGACATTGTCAAGAGGAAAAGAAACTATCCAGCTCTTAATAAATTAGTTTGAATGCATGATTAAATTCAGTTGTGTGCGTGGGTGGGTGGATGGGGCATACGTTGTGCTGTGATAGTGTTTTTTTCGGGTGTACAGGGTTTGTATCGGCGAACAACACGTCCGAAGCGTGTGACACGATGGCGAAGACCATGCTAAATTCGCAAACCCTACATAAACCAAGATAATTCTCCAAAACTGCTCGACAAGTCCGGTGAGAGACGTATTAGTCGGCAAAGAAGCTCGTGACGGCGCATTAACAGTGGAGGATAAATTGAAGGCAGGGTGGAGCAGGACCTGACATGGCGAGGGCACGGGAATCTCGGAGTCGCGAGAGGAAGAGCGCCGAAGATGATTATGGGGAGAACGGGGGGGAGCAGCTGCTACGGAAAGGAGGGAGGGGTATTGGGGTAGTGGGGGCGATAGATAGATGGTTCCTGGAGATCTTGGAGGTCCGCATCAACTGTCACTCTAGGACAATTTAGCTTAAACGATCAACGCTAACGGGGACAAGGTGATCGGGAAAGAGGGAGCTACACGCGCGGGTTGATTCGCGCGCGCGGGAGCAGAGGAACATCGAAACGATGTGAGGGAAGGGCGGGTGGAGGATGGCTCACTTGCCGCTGACACGTGTACTTGGTCGGAACGTGGCTGCTTCTTCACGCTCCCTCAGAACGAAGGTAATAATAATAAAAAAAGGAATAAGAAGAAAAAGAATTGCTTATGTGGCAATCCGCGGGCCCCACAGCTCGCCACGCAGACTCAAGATTTTTTCCATGATGCTGACGATTCTCACCGAATCCATCTAATGACGCACTAGGCACCCAATTGTCTTCGTATTTTGTTAGATGCTCGATGGACGGGCGGGGGAAAGGTACAGCCGGGTCAACTCGGTCGTTCGGCGGCGCCATCCGGAAAAAACAGAAAGTCAAAAGAGCGGCCTCAAAAGTCGCCGCCCCGAGTGCGCTCTCACGCGCCGCCGATTCGACCGTCCGGTCGCCCAGGGGGAGGGTAAAATCGTAACAACTGGAGATGGGAGAGGACCACACGTGCGAATCACGGGGACGATGAGTCCGGTGTGAGGTCATCCCCGCCGCCGGATTTTCTTCTCAAAGTTTTTTTTTCTTTCCTTCTCCAGAAGGGGCCCTTTGTAGCGGCGAGTGCGGATCGGCCGTCGATCGGACATGGGCCCCCCACCAAGGAGAAATGGTCCACGCGGATATAGGTTATTACGGGGATACCACTGCAGCGATCAGGGTCTGACACGTCGGGCGATCAGGGCCGTCGGATTTCGGGGGGTCATTTAAGTGGCGGCGGAGGCATGCAAGGCCGTGCCGTGCGCCGACGGCCGACTTTTCTCGCCCCTCCCTCCCGTTAACTGACAAGGTGAGTGAATGCGAGCGTTGCAGTCCCCCACACCCAAACAAAAATATATTCGTCAGATTATAAAAAATAAAATTTATAACCAGGGGAAGGCGCCGGCGACTATTCCCCTTCCCTCTCCCCCCCTCCTCCTCCGTCCTCCCACTTTCTCCTCTCCAAATCTCGGCACGCCGGAACCCTAGGGTCGTCTCCGGCGAATCCTTCCGCCGTGGGGCTCGCCCTCTCCCTACCCCTGGGGTGGCATTTTTCGCTGACCGGCCTCACGGCCTCACGGTGCGCTGCTCATTCGTATTTCCGTCCCAAGATTTTGGATCCGGGCTCGCCGGAGCTCCTCCTCCGTGCACCGTCGTGTCTATCGGGAGGAGCTGCTGCTGGGATCTCCCTGGTTTGACTCGGGAGATGTACGGAGGAGGCAGGTAGAGAGAGAGAGGCTGGACGCGGTCAAGCCCAGGTGGGTGGTTCGCCAGGCTGGTTGACCGATCTTCTTACCCCGCGGCACGGAGCCCAGAGAGGGCGCGTTAGCGGCGAAATCTGCGGGAAAGGAAGAACAGCCGTAGAGAGAGGTGGAGAGAGGGGCGGCGGCAGAGTAGGCAGCCGCTTCCCCCAGCGCATCGGGTATGGAGAAGCATAGTGGGGCCAGGGAGAGAATCAGCAGAACGCGAGAACGCAGGGTGACAGACTAGACAGAGAAAGACGCTTTCTATCCATCGAAGGCTACCGTGGCTGCTTGGCGTGGTTAGCAATCGGCGGTGACATTGGCGTAGAGGGGAAGTTTTGGACAAAGAGGGTGATACAATCGGTGGGAGTTTCCAGTGGTCATCTATCATGTACAAGAACCAGCTGCAGGAACTGGCGCAGCGTAGCTGCTTCAATCTGCCTTCATACACCTGCATAAGAGAAGGCCCCGACCATGCGCCGCGCTTCAAGGCCACCGTCAACTTCAACGGGGAGACGTTCGAGAGCACCGGATTCTTCACGACTCTAAGGCAGGCGGAGCACTCCGCTGCCGAGGTCGCCCTCAGCGCCCTCTCCACCCGTGGCCCCTCCCACTCCCTTACCGCGCGCATCCTGGTACGTATCTGTATGGCTGCTCTCCTGTCTGTCTGTGTTATTAGTTTATCCGCGCCTTGGGGTAGAACATCACCACGCACCACAGCATCACGGCATCACGGCCTCAGGGCTAATGTCAACCTCGCCTCTGTTGGTGATGTCAAGATGAAGCCATCAAGCTAGGGAAATTTTGGGCTCAGGGTAGTAATGGATTCAACTCCTAGGCCTGCGCGGTGATCTCCTCCATATGATGCAATGAAGTGCTATCATTTAGGTTAGTAAAAACGGTCGATAGGGATTGTAGGATCCTGTGAGGGTAGAAAAACCACCTTTCTCCTTTTGCTTAGGTTCATGTTGCTTCAGTCAGTAACAAGATACCGCTGCATTTTTTCTCTAGTTTGGAAAGTCTTCCATATCTATTCTTCCTTTTTGGATCCACCTATCTTGTGCTTCTGATCCAGCTATGCTGGCGTTTACGGTAACTTTGAACCACGTAGTTGAACTCTTCCGATTCTGCCCTTTCTTCGTCCTCTTGCCTACGTCTCTGCCCTTCAAGTAAAGGAAGAACGTTTTTATTCATCCATCAACGATTTTAAGTAAGAAAGAACGCTGTATTAAAACGTGGTTTTTAGGTTTCCCAATGGAAAAATGTCTGAGTTGACAAGTGAAGATCTCTCATTTTCTGAATCCCGTTTTATCTTGAACTGTCTGAACGACTGATGGTGTCTGTCTGAACGACTGATAATTAGTCAACTTGGGTGACGAGTCTTTTTTTCCGCCAAATAGTTATGTCACTTAATGTGAAAGCAGTCGGAACGTGGATTTCTGCCGTGTGTTAGCTTGTCTGTCACTGGTAAAGATAAATCACGGGTAACTCCGTGCTTATGACGTAAGACCAGTGATGACATTTGGATGGTTGTAAGTTTGTAGAAAGTTTTTTCTGCTGGCCAGCTCACCAGGGCTATCTCGATAGAGGAGATGGAAGAGACGTGGCATTAATCGTCGGTATCCTTATTGACGACGGATTTAATTGGTAGTTGCGTGGTTGATTACTGATACAGAGTGGGAACTTTACTGGCTTCTTTCCTTGGATCGTTGATTTATTTATTTTTTGTCCATGAGAAGGTATTTATTCAGTCAATCTGTGGGAACGTTTGTTGCCCTACGCCACTGTTTCCTCGTTGTCAGATCACTGGTAGTTCTTTTCTTCTTTTTTTTCTCTCTTTTTTCCTCGGGGGGTGGAAGCCGAAGCCGGTGAGTTCGAAAGATCAAAAAACCTTCTGCTGGGCAACAGAACGAATGATGACGTTATGTGGCTTTGCCCCGTCTGCCCTCCCGGTTTCTCCGTCTTCGTCGTGATTGTTTTTCCTCCTCCCGCAGTACCCATGGCTTTCCTCTTGTCTTCCGCATCGTGCTACCCGTGATTACTTCCGAATATTGTGGATACCCCTTATATCCTTCTCCGTGCTGTGGGATTTAATGCGCCAGTCGCATTGTGGTACGACTCCAGAGTTGAGAGTTGAGGTGGTCTAGTTCGTAACCCGATGCAAGGGCTTTTTTGGAGATCCTAATCTCTGTGATTTGACTGCTTTCTGACGGTGTGTTATTGGGTTTGGTGTGGGGTCCAAACACTCTTAGAAGGGAGGGAGTGAGGGAAGGTGTTTCCCCAGTTTCTTCTACGCTCGCCGGTTTCTTTCCTTCCACTTCTGCTCGGGCGGCACATGGCGCTGCGCCGAGAAAGATCCGCGCCGGTCGGCGTGGCTGCTTCGTTTTCATGGCCCTCGCCCCCGACCCCTTCATTCTTCTGTCCCGTCTTCCTGATTTCGGGTGTCCCACGTGGTAACGTGAAACCGCTCCGGTGTAATTAATGCATGGGTGCATTAAATTTTTATTTATTGTTATGGTTGAGGGTTGTTTGTTCGTACAGCCGCGATCACTCCCCTGTTCTACCGCGGCCCCCGAGAGGAGGGCCTGTTCTTTAATCACCCACATAAATTAATGTCGAGAGATGGGGGGGAAGGGGACCTTTATGGCTTCTGCGTGTCTTCGGCAGTCGGCTTTATCGTTCCTTCTGAGGCGTACGTCTCTCCCTCGGCCACCTCTCTCTTTGTTTTCTTTTTCCTTTTTCTGTCTCCTCCTTCCTCTTCATTCGCCTGCTACGATCGGCGTGGTCTAGAGGGCCCGCGTTCTGTGCTAGAAGGTGCTGGCTGAAGCTGAGTGAGAGCACACTGGAGGAGCGTGTCGGGGCCCCGACGCTCAAGTAGTCGAAGATAATAATGGTCGTTAGCCCTCGCCAGATCCTGAAGATAAGATTGATTGGCTCTGCGCGGGCTCAAAATTATGAGTTTCCCTTTGAGGGTTGGACCTCGACAAGCGACCCAGGTTGATCTCTGGTTCATCTCACTGCATCTGGCGGCCCGCCTCGCCGAAAATGGCCCAGTCTTTCACTCGCACACAATAAAATAGCTCCTTTTTTGTGTATTTTCCCACAGAGAACATGAGGTTCTCCGGGGGTGGAATTGCGGCCGGCAAAAGGTATCTTGGAGTTTTCTTGTTGTGATGGTTGTATCTGTGATTGAGGGGAGAATGCCCTCTCCTGTTTTCTGAGTTCTGTCCCTAGTTCTCACATCTCTCATTTCCTTATTTTCTGTTGTCCTGTTGTACAGACCCAATCCAATGCACTCGTCTTTTCGGCGTGAGACTAACCCAGTTTTTGAACAGGATGAGACGGGAGTTTACAAGAATCTACTGCAGGAAATTGCTCAGAGAGTGGGAGCTCCGTTACCCTCCTACACAACCACGCGCTCAGGGCTTGGGCACCCGCCGGTGTTTACTGGGACCGTTGAGCTTGCTGGGATTATCTTCACAGGGGAACCCGCGAAGAACAAAAAGCAGGCAGAAAAGAACTCCGCAATGGCGGCCTGGTCGTCCCTAAAGCAACGTGAGTTTTCCTCGGCTCATAGAGTCTCCTGGGGTTGTTTTTTGGAGGATTCTGCTTTTGGTAAATATCCTGCTCAATGTTTGTGATCCCAAAATGTCACCGTCCAGTTTATATGTTTGACCCAGCGGTGTCTCCTCATGCTTCTCATCTGACCTTCGTTTTCTATCTTTGTACTTTTCCTTGCAGTTTCTAATTCCGAAATCTAGCGACATAAAATTAATACATGTAGATTACCGTGAGAATCCATAGCTATTAATTTCTCTGTAGCTGCCGCGAACTCACGTTTAGTACCTCTGCTGCAGTGGCACAACAGGCAGCAAGCTCGTCATCAGCACCTGAGAACAACGACGAGCAGGAGCAAGTCACATTAGCGCGGGCTCTGCTGAGCTACCGTAGGAAGGAAAAGATGGCCATGGCAGACGACCCTGATGCCACTCCATTCCCAAAGCTGTTCCCCTTCAAACCGGACAAGAGACCCGCCGTGCGGCCACCTCCTTTCTCTGGATCGAAGATTCTGCCCTTCATACAGCAGAGGTCGACGACTCGTGCCAGGCCCACCTCGTTGTCACCGATCGAGGCTCCCCTGCCACCGTCACTCCACCTGCCGGCGGAGAACGGTGGCTTCCAATTGCCCAAGTTCCCAGCTGCTGGAGCAGCGCCTTATGTGCCCATCCGGCACTGCCGACCTTTTGTGGGCGGGATGGTGCCGCCAGTCACTATCAGAACGGCTGTGCCGGTCTTCTCTGCTCCGTCTCTCCCGCTGCCGACGAGCAACACTATGAACTATCATCAGCCGCAACCGCAGCAGCAGCCGCAGCCGCAGCAGCATCAGTGGCAGCAGCACCACCAGCATCCTCTGCCGGTGAAGTGTTCGACCAGGCATGTGGCCCCCTCGGTGCACCTGAGGCAGTCGGTGCCGGTCTCTGCCGTGGTGGCTCCTCAAGTTGCTTTCATGCCGGTTCAAGTGAAGGAAGGCCTGAAGCCGGCACCGCCGGCGTACATGGCGCCCTCCCCTGCGGCGGCTATGTTGGCGTCTCCGTCTCAGGCCGTGCATGTGGCGGAGGAAACCCGATGCCCCGAGAAGCCACCCGTCGGCAGAGAAGAGATCCCGCTCCTTTGGAAGTGGCCATCGGCTCAGATACCGGAGAGGCCGCCAATCCCCCCGAAGCCGTCCGCGGTGGCCGCGCCGCCAGCTCTGCCGCCGGCATTGTTTCAGGAAGAGGAGCCTTCTGCGCAGACGGAAGAAGAGGCCAACATGACCCCCCTTTCTCCTCCTCTGCCTCCACCTCCTACTACTACCCAGAAGATCGGACCCCCGACAGTAGACACTGCTGGAGACGGTCTGGCAGAGGATGCAGCAGCAGCGGTGGCGGAGAGCTTCAAGCAGCTCGAGCTCTGAAGACCCTGGCCGGTCGCCGGCAGGGTGTCCCCAGCTCTCTCCTTTTGCTTGCTTTAGCACTGGTTTCTATTCTGCGTTTTTTTCTTAATCATCTATGCGGGGTATCTGATCTGATCTGATCTGTAAGAGGTACGCCGTCGTCGCAAGTACATAGTATTATCATGGGGTTGTCTCAGCTCGCGTAGGACGCGGTGATCTTCATCTTCTTCTTCCTCGCCGGGCTCATCTCTCTCTCTCATCGCTTGTCATCTGTTAATAATCCGTTGCCTCCCCTGGATGGGTGGTTAGGTGGCGGTGGCGGCAGCGTCGGCGAAGACCGTTGATGCCCTCGCCGTTTGAACCTACCGTTGTGGCGAGATGTACGCCAGCGATGGATTCCAGGACGCGGACGATCTCCGTCCTTTTAGAAATTGGGAAAAGATTAAAAAATAATGCCCCCCCTCTCTCTCTCTGAGGCTTGAGGAGCAGGAGTGTCCATCGGAATCGGATCTGATCTGACGGCCCGTGATGTCGGACCGTGTCCTTCCTCGCCCACCCGCAGTATTTCTCCAAGAGAATACTAAATCAACCGTTAATCGCAAACCTCTCCCCGCCCCTCTTCTCTCTCTCTCGGAAAAATAGAGAGCAAAGAGTGCCCGCCCGCCCCCCGCCCTCGTTCTTGTTCGACTTTCCCTGCAATCTAGGGCCTCAAACGTTCCTTTACTTGGCTCTGTTCCCACCTCTTCAGCTGCTGCCACAGGTCCTCTCCCCACTGCCGCTGTGACTTCTACTTCGGAAACTATTAATCTGGGCGGGACTACCCTCGTTGTTGCGGTGCCTGGAGACTTGGCGAGCTTCGAGTACGGAGTTATTGGACTGCAAAGCGCCTGCAAGATGTTCTGGCGCATCTCGAACCTCTCCTCTTCGTCTCCGGTGTGTTTTGAGATGGATCTCCTCATCTCTACTGATATTCATTTTCCCCGCTGCATTCCTTATGTCCTTTTTCTTTTTTTGGTTCGGGAATGCAATTTTTATTTTGGAATTGTTTTCCCATTTGAAAGTGGACTCTCTCCGCGACTTTTTTGGTCCCGTTGTCAACGTAGTTTATGGGACCAATGTGCCAACAGTACGTCGACGAATTAGCTTTCCTTCAGTTACTGGAATTCATTCCTGGCTTAGGCTTGTATCTCACTTTTGGATCCTTCTCCGGTTATGCTGTCTTCTTTGGCGGAATTGTAACACTTTTCATCCAACTTAGTCCTGATGATATTCGTGCTTTGGACGCGTTAATATGTTTAATACGTGTCTATGAGCCATTTACCGGCTAATTGCATTGTTTTAGAAACTCTGCATTTAGTTAACTGGCAGTCGGGCGGGATTTCGAACGGGTAGTTTATGCTGTCACAACAGGTGCCTTACCCACTGTATGCATGCCATTCTGTTAGTTGTTAATCAGATGAGCTCTATGGATGTCAGGAATAGTCCATTCTAGATCGTCATATGTTAACCTCTACGATTGACTAGGCACGAGGTATCTTTCCATTTATCTAGTTGCCCTGGGTATGCCAGAGCAAAGACATTCCAGAATTCAAGCATCTCATAATGGAAGGCTATTTCTTAGGGAGTTTTTAGTGATACTCTGGGCTTTTTGTTGTTTTTATATCCATGTACTTGCCTAGAAAAGTTGGGATTCGGAATCTGTATCACTGGGGAGATGTATTGGAAGGTTACCAGAAAACATCAGAATTTTGGAACGGTAAAAAAAAATTGTGGGAGAATATGTCAGCAACTCATTTTATTCGTGAATCGGAAAGCATCAGCAACTCATTTTATTCGTGATTAATCTTGCATTTAATGTTCCTTTTCCTGTAAATGAGAATTCTTGATTGTCAGTGCCACTCTGCCCCCCTTTGTTAGAGGGAAAAAATATCTATAACTTCTCAGCACCGATATTACCTATGATTGGTCTATTCAAATGTTGAAGATCTTCTTGTTTGAACCTGGAAACCAGTTGCATACTTGTTACCATTAAAAGTAGAAAGAGCAGAATTCTGAATATCTTGGAAAAATATTGATAGTGATTGGTGACTTTCTTAATCCTGCATTTCCTTGTTTTTATCTTGCTGGATCTGGGAGACAAATAATATGGCGTTATTCAAATGTTTTGTATTCACTGCCTAATTTTCATTTTATTACGACCAAAAAACTCATTCCCTTAACTCCTCTCTCTCTCTCTCTCGCTCACTGGCTTGCTCACACACGTTATGAAATTAAGGAGAAGGAATTGATATTCTCCTGCTGTCAAGCGAACTCTGTTTGTACTCTTGTGTTTGTGTTTTTCTTGAGAAAAATCTTTATCTATAGGCTTTCATAACTATGCCAGTGAATGGAATTATGCACTTGAACTCAATGCCATTCCTGTTTACTCAAAGTTTGAAGGAAAATGATTTGCTTCTTGAGTTGCATGAATGTTTGCTGGAACCTCAGACGTTTGCTGCAAAGATAGGTTTTTTATTCGACTATTGAGAATAGTCACGTCAGAAGGATTATGAGGTGTTCAAATCCCTCTTCATTTGTGGGAATGCAATTCCCTCGTGGAGATGCTCCCCTGTATATATATATCATCATCTCGCATATCTCTGCTGTAGGGCAGTATCATCAGTCTTTTAGCCTTACTGCTTTTCCAATCTTTTTGTTCTTCATTTGCTCTTAGAGCTGGCCTTCCGGGCTGTGGCCGTGCTTCCCATCGTTTTGACCTCCAACCCGTATTTGTGCAGACTCTTACTCACTCACTCTCCATTCATTTCTTTGAAGTTGTGGTGATATCTCTGTCCATGAACCTATTCCTGCATACTCAGTGTAAAGAGCTGAGATATTCATCTCTGTTCACGTGCTCCTTAGGAGCAACTGCTTAGGGGCCTGTTTTCCTAGATGGTAGTAGCTCACATAGGTGGAAATAGCTCATGAGAGCAATGACGAGAAGATGGATGTTAGGTAACTGAGAGGAAATCTGTCTCTTTCAATGTTTGGTAGTACCTTATGCCATTTCCTGGCAGTTTAGTGGATGTTAAATATGCGTTGTCACACTCTGATGTACTGATAATTTGCTCTTTGTGAAATTTCTGGACAATAGATGATCTTGTGTTGACAGATATGAAACCCTTTTTATAACAATATTACGGGTTATCTTTCCAAAATTGAAGATTGTACGTTGTTCTACTATAAATTAGATTTGTTCCCTCCATAGATGAGGTAAATAAACCTATTCATTTCCAATCAAAATAAGACAGGACCACACTGTTTTACTTTTCGAAGTAACTGTATCATTCATCTGAGCAGGTAGAAATTGATTATAATAGCATGTATGTTCGGGTAAATGGGAAACTGGCTAAATATGTAGTTTTTGTGATTTAGCATTTGCTGAGTTAAATGTTGAATAGCTTTTGTTGAGCCACTTTATGGTCTTTGTTTTCTAACTTGTTACTTCTTTTTTTCTAACGATCAAACATGCGCGGGTGATCAAACATGCACGGGTGATGAATATAAAGAAATGGACAAACCTAAACTTTCATTAATTTTTTAATGAATTATTTTTTTATTCTTCTGCAGGTGGATGCCATTTTGGATAAGGAAAATGTTAACTTGGAAGAGCTTCTTGATGAAGAAGAAACAATCCAAGAATGCAAAGCTTTAAACTCTCGTCTCATTAATTTGTAAGATATTTTTCTATGCCATTTCATGTTGTCTCGGCTTTGATAAAAGTGCACTGATTTATTTGTAATTTCAAAAGAACATGGCAAATTTAATCTGCCTGATTTTTATCTTTTTCGAGGGATGCAAGACTGCCCTTATTATCCCTCTTTTTTTTTTCCCTCATTGGAGGATAACAAAGACTTGTCTGGGAAAGATACAACCTGTGTCATTTTGCAGGTCTAATCTGTTTTTGAGACGATACAATTCTGAACTTAGTATTGTCTCTTATGCAAGTTTCCAACATTTTCAGTCTTCGTGATAGAGCTCAGGTAGAGCAGCTGCTTCAGTATATCGTGTGTGATACTTCAGAAGATACTGATGGTCGACGCGCATTCAAGTAAGTCACTCTGATTTTATTTCCTTTCAGTTAATCATCTACTTACAGATTTTCGTATTACTCAAAAAATTAGTTGGCCATTTCTGACATTAATTCTAATGTGAATTTTTGCTTTATGTTAGGTTCCCCTTCATTGCATGTGAGATATTTACCTGTGAGATTGATGTAATCTTGAGGACATTGGTCGAGGATGAGGAAGTATGTGTTTTAATTAAAGTTCTGAAACATTGCTACTATAAGTTTTTTCCCGCAATTTTGGATGAGGAATGCGGTTTTTTTTGGCTTGTCTGAAGTCTTTGACTAGTCTGTGATTAGTTATTGGAGCAAGTGCGTAATTTGTCTAGTTTTCTCAGTGGACTCGACACTCTTCTTTTTTTTTGTCTTAATTGGCTCTATCATTTGCTTTGATGTACCTGTGCTCTTTTTTTTGGGGGGTGGGGGATGGGTTGGGGGGGTGTTTAGATTGAGGCCCTTTCAAAGTTTTGATGGCGGGATAAATATTTATGCTGATGAAAGTTCGAATATTGTTTTTGGCTGGTAGAGTTTTGTCTTCTCCTAATGTTTTCATTTGTTATCTGTAATTTGGTGCCATCCTCCTATCTCATATCTGTAATATTGTTGTTGCAGCTCATGAACTTGCTTTTTTCATTTTTGGATCCGAGCCGTCCTCACAGCTCTCTATTGGCTGGCTACTTTAGCAAGGTATGGTTTCTTCAATTGTGTGTAGATAGAGTTTCATTTCAGGGCTCAATAGTTATTTCTGATTTACTCATGACTAAGCTTTGTATTAGGTGGTTGTTTGCTTGATGTTGCGGAAGACTAAACCTTTTATGAGCTATATTCAAGTGAGTTGTTCTTTTATTATCCCTCGTCTTTTATTATCACGACGAAGGGATTAAGTTATGTTGATACTGCTGTCCCCTCAGTATTATCGCACACCAGAGGCTGACAACAAGATTTTGCTTTTCTTTCATGGAGATCCCATTTGTGAATAATCTTCTATCTACATTAGTATATTTCTTTGGCTTCATCATTACTTTAAGTTGCTTGTAGTCAGCCTTTGGTGTGCTTGTTATCAACCTTAATCTGTCTTTCTTCTTTACTCTGATGACTCGGTGATTTATAGGTTTAAAAGATTACTAAGTCAGCGATTTCTTTTTTTCTAAATATATCTCTAGTTTCCTATCATGGTCGAACCTGCAACTTAGATTCTAAGTGTACATCCATCCACGGTTTTATTTTTCTATCATGCTATATATAGTGAAAACAGATGTAATGGATGAATGCTACATTAACTCTACTAGTGTTGTAGTTTTATGTATCCCAGTCTGCAAAAGAGGAATTTTTTTCCCATATTTAGGAGTAAACTTTATTCTTGTAAAAGTTTGGAGATCTAATAAACTTTCATCCACCCTGGTTTCCATTAATCAGTTGATAGCAGTCAAAGATAATTCTGGTCATTCTTATTGACAAATATGATTTTTCACATGTTTGGAAATTATTGTGATTTTTCTCTCAATAAATCTGAATTTATTGTTTTATTTTTTAAATATTTTCGTTAAATTATTAATTGGGACACTTTCAGGCACACGATTATATCCTCGAACAACTAATTGATTCAATAGGGGTAAAGTCAATTATGGAGGTCTGTATATCTAATTCAGTGAATAGAATGCGTCCATGTGCTGCACATTCCATGCAATCATGCCAATTGATTTGAGCTCCCCCACCCCCCTTCTCTTACAACCAGGTACTTGTCCGGATTGTTGGTGCTGATGTCCACATGTATCCAAATTTTAATGAGGCCATGCAGTGGCTAGCCGAAAGCAACCTGCTTGAAATGCTAGTGGATAAGCTAAGTCCCAAGGTAAGACTGCTTCTAATCTTTAAAAAGTAATCTTAGTATGAGATACTTTTGGTTGGACACAGAGAGTGCTGTATCCTTCGCTCCTGTACCTCGTCATTCTGCAACTTGATTTCATTCGACTGTAGCTTGGTTGATAAGAAAAAAAACCAAGGCCATTAACTTCCTTTTGGTTTATGGACAGGCTGTGGGAAATAGAGCGCTAATTATGTAATTTCCTACTTTAATGACTGATTTTCTGTCTAATTTACTGTATGCGTCAATCAGAGTCCACCTGAAGTTCATGCTAATGCAGCGGAAGTCATCTGGGTCATCAGTCGCAATGCTCCATCACCTTTAGCAACTAAACTTTCTAGTCCAAGGTCACTTTTATCGTTTTCTAAGCTTGTCATTCAATGATCCTTATGTTTCCTTTCTTTTTCATTGAATGTTATTTTTTTTCGTGGCTTACTTAAATTTCCTTTTCTTGCAGCCTTGTTTCGAGGGTATTTGATTTTGCGTTGGAAGATTCGGAGTTTAAATCTTCCCTTGTCCACTCCCTCTCTGTTATAATATCCATATTGGATCCCAAACGATCCCTGTCGACTGCTTTAGTTTATTCGATTAGAAGTCAACATTTATATGAACCACATATTCCTGTTGATTTGAAGACTATTACTGTTGTGCTATCAAAGCTTGGTAAGTTGTTGACTGAGAATGGTTTTCTATTGAAGAGTTGGCGTTTTACAGTGTAATTTTAGTGCGGATTGGTGAAAATATTTCCGTTTGTGCTTATTCCTTTCTTCCTTGGTACACAAATCATTACGGGTAGTAAAACCAATTGTTGCTTGGTAAAAATGTTTTGATGAATCATGTGTGTAACGATTAAACATAAGATAAGTTCTGGATTGAACCCTCTTTCAGAAACCTTTACTCTTTTGTAATTCTCCGGAACAAAGAGGAGATTTCTGGCCCAAAATTGGCTCAGTTCATGTCAAAGCATGCTTAGGATCATGCTACCTGCTATATTCTGATCAATTTCTTTATTAAAGGCATCTGAATCGTTTTTTAGGAATTTCTGCCAATTTGACTCCTACCGTGCTTCTTTTTCTGGTGAATGTGTTTTTCTTTGGATGTAGTTTACTCTATGGGTGACTTATTTATCACGCACCTCTTCGCTTGAATTTCCTTCGGAAACTGCTAAAACGAGAATGTCTCGCCGACAGTTTACCTTGCGTGTAAAGATTCTAATGTGTTGAATATACCTATTTGACAATGTCTAAATCCCATAGAATCAATATCTGCATCATGGCGAAGCGCAGTGGGTCTAGAGTGATTGATATTCTTTATGGGTTGTGGCCAATAAATGCTGCTTGGTTTCCTTGAACCATTTTCCTTTTCTGTGTTTTTTGTAGTTTTACTGAAAACTCAATGCTGTTTGGGATAGAATTTTCCTCTGATAATCAAAATGACTTCTTGCGTATTTGATGGACATTGTTTTCTTGTATTGGTAAAAATTTTAAAGGCCAAGCTCACCCTTTAATGAGATACACCATGATGATAAAGTTTGAAAATTTTAGGAGTAGACTACAATGTGTGCACCCTTCTGAGATATTTGCAACTTGTGGTGTGCCAATTGCAGGAGCAAAGTCTATTTGTGACGTTAACAACCCTGCTTTGCTGAAAATTTTATTTTTATCTTTCTCGGGAAAGAATCTGTGCAATATTTCTTAATATGTTCAAATTTATTAGTGTATACATGTTGTGAAAACTGTGCAAAACTCGATAATGTCATAATTTGCTGCAATTCAATGGTATCTAATTTTTAGGGACTTGCATGTTGTTTATTTAATTTTTTATTTGGGTAATTTTAATCATTTTGATGTTGTAGATCATTTGCTTTCACTTTTGAATACATCATCAAATGAACGCACTCTTCCTACAACTTATGGTGAGTTGCGCCCGCCACTTGGGAGACACCGACTGAAAGTAAGCTAGCTTCGAACTTATTCTATTCAATATGCTTCCACGTGTTAACTAGCTATGATGTTGTTCGTAGGGAGATGCATTTCTGGCTGTATATTTTGTTCAAATACAACGAAACGGATACTTTTGCTGAAAACCCTTCTTTTTCTGCTTTTCCTTGTCTCCCTTGATTGTACGCAAATGCAATATTCTGTTGACTTAATTTTATAGTAGATATGTAGGGAGTATGTTAAGTTTCCTTTTCATTTTTTCCTTGGTTTTGCTGGATTTAGATTACATTAGTAAGTATTTTTTCGGCTTGAAAAGGAAAGCATGAGTGGAGGAAGGATAATTATATGATTTTTTTTTGTAGTTTCTTAGGTATTTTTCCTTATTATTTAATCTTTTTACATACATGTCTGTGGTTTGATTTTATTCCTTTATTGTTTGTTTTCTCAAAATTTTGAATTACACAGTTTTTGTCCTCTAACTATTCCTTTTTTCATAGACTTGTTTTTGATCGATCTTGAATCTTTTTCTTTCACTTTTGCATAATGATCTAGGCCATGGGTAATCATGGTCAACCCTGAAATCTCTATGCTTTGATCATACGGCCTGTTTTATTGGTATTGATTCATACTGTGTTCCTATGATAATATATCCTGCACATTATTCTTGTCTAAGTTCTGTGATATAATTGCAGATTGTGGAGTTCATAACAGTGCTACTAGGCACCGGTCATGAAGCTGCTTATAGAGCACTGATTGAGTCGGGTGCAATCCAGAGGGTCATAGACCTCTTTTTTCTGTGAGTCTTGTTTTTAAATTCAAGCTTATGGATAAAAAATATAATTACTGACTTCTGATTATTGTCATTGCAATCATTGTAGGTATCCCTTCAATAATGCACTCCACCATCACGTTGAAAATGTCATAACATCATGCCTGCTGAGTACCGATAATGCTGTTATTGATCATCTGTTCTGCGAATGCAATATAATTAGAAAATTTCTTCAGGCAGATAAATTTCCCGTACTTAACGGTGATTCAGCTGCGGTGAATGTACGTCCTATGACATTCTTTCTTTCGTTGTTCAGATTTGGTTTTGTCTATTTCCGTTTCCAGGTATTTGAAAGTGAAAGGAACAGGGATCTGATGAAGCTTTATTTTATTTTTTCCTTCAGCATCCAACTTTATCTGCTTCTGGAAGGAACTCACCTCGGTCAGGCAACATTGGCCATATCACGAGAATCGCTAACAAGCTTGTTCAACTAAGCAGTAGAAATGATCAAATTCAGTCGTACTTACAGGTTTATAATTACCTCCTTGCACTTTTGTGGAAGTTTCTTCGGTTTTTTTGTTTTAGTGCCCATGTGATGCAAACCATAGTGAGGAAATCCTTGCAATCTAGTTTAAGGTGGTGTCTAATTTTCTGTCTAGCTATTGCTTCTGTCTAATTTTACGTGGTGTACGACTTTTTGTTTAAGCCGCTGATTGTTTTTGTCTTAACTTCTGTACATAGGTAAGATAGGACTCCTTGCATCAATTGTAGGCAATTATATTGCTTATATCACGTCCGGAATCATAAATGTTTCGTTCGGAGGAGGCTGCGATTCTGGCTTTTGAGACATGCTATTTATGTTAGGACCCTGGGGGAGGACAGAATATTAGAAGCATCGAACCTGCTGTACTCATTTTCATTCTTAATTTGTTATAGGTTTGGTGTTGACTCCGTTGGTTTCTCATTTTTTAAGCGATCTAACAGTACCCATTTGTAGATAAGTATCCGTTCAGACACATTTAAGTTGCTGAAGATGCTTGAAAGGATGTTTATTTCTGGAGGTTTTTCTGGGTATCCAGCTTACACTTCTTTTGATATTAACAGTTTCTTCTCCTGTATTTTTACAGGAAAATGATGAATGGGTTGATTGGCAAAGAAATGTTCTTCATGAACGCAATGCTGTGGAAAATGTCTACAGATGGGCATGCGGGTATGCACCAGTTTTCAATTGATGTTCCTTGGTTCTCTTCTATTGTTATTTTCTATGTAGAATCTCCATCAAAAATTTCCATCGCTTTGGATGGTCAATGGCTTTGTAGAATTGGCGACTGCTCACTGAAAAACATTCTTTTGGCATCCACTTTTAAACTGTCTATTGAATTTCTTTCTTTATGGGGAGAGGAACACTGTGCTTAGTTAAGCGAATGAAAGGTGTGTCAATTTTGGAGATGATCGGCTATGTTTCATAAATGGGTGCATACAAGGAGCACCGGTGTTTTTCTTTGTCATCAGGTTGAATGGCATTTATTGCCTCAGGTCCATAGAAACATTCCAATGCTCATTTTTGGCTTCTGGCTACAATCTTGTTTTGCTGGACAAATAATCAGCAATTGTTTTGGTCTGTTGTCGATTAACGTACTTTTTGAAAATTTTCTCTGAAACCTCTTTCTCCTTGTAGCCGTCCAAGCGCCATGCAGGAAAAGATGAGGGATAGTGACGATGATGAGTCCCATGACAGGGATTACGATGTTGCTGGCCTGGCCAACTTCAGCAATGCCTTCAGATATAACATCTATGGGAACGATGATGTGGATGAGGTATGCAAGGAAAAGCCCATGCCAAATGATGAGGAACTCTGTTGTTGAGATGCACGGAAAACTCAATTTTAGTCTTGGTCATTTGAGGGGCATTCTTCTGGTATTTTTGTCGTCACTATCGATTACTAGTAGTAGATAATCAGTAAGAATGACTCCTGGTTCCTAGACTGCGCTTATTACCTCGAAGGAGAGACTTGTGATGTTAGGTTCCGGTGGGCGTCAAGGGTATCTTTAAATTGCCATTTTTTTCTTTTCTTTTTTTTTATTCTTCTGGAAGCTCCGTGTATCTGATTTACCTCTGCTTGCTTCCTACCTTGCAGGTCCAGGGATCTCTTGACCATGATGAGGTAAGGGCATATTTATATATTGTAATGGTTTTGTTATGAATTGCTTTTTATGCAATCGTACAATATGCATATAAAACTTGTGGTAGACATCACAAAGGTGAGAAGAAGTATCTGACCTGAGACCTGTGACTGGATGTAATTATCAATACCCTTATTCGAAATGGAGTCCGGATGACCTGTGACATCATAAAGGTTGGATTTTTGGAGCTAGAAAATGCAGCACGTGATAGTTTTCTACTGTGCATGCGCCCATGCCGTCAAGGGTGGATGAGATCCTCAATGGCTTTTTTTGTACTCGTTACCTGATATGAACACAAAAGTTCACTTGCTGCATTGCACTACTATAATTTTCCGTTTGTTTTCGCATGTGGTTGCGAGAGACTTTTTTTTTTTTGCCTTTTAGCGGCGTGTAGAGACTACAAGTGTAAATTTAAATACGATTTGTGTTTCATAAAATATCTCCAGGAAATCAACCTAGCATGAGCCGGAACCATCTAAACATGAATTTCCAGAAAAATCTTTCAGGTCGCGTTGCTTCAATTAAGCATCTTTTCCTGTACGCATATCCGGGGAGCATAGACTGGTACCATTTCAGTCGTCTTTCCCCATCCATAATCACATCTAACCAGAGTCTTTTCCGTTGTCTTATGATCATGAATTGTTTTTTAAAAACTTTTGGGAGACGTTACAAGCAGACTTGTTGATTTATTTTTACACCCAGAGCGAATGTGGAGCATGAATGAATGATAAAGGTTGTAGTTGTGTTCGGAGAACTGTTTTAGTATCATGTTGATCCTCCTGAAATGGTTTTGCCTCGCAGGATGTGTACTTCGATGACGAATCTGCCGAGGTTGTCATCTCGTCTTTGAGGCTCGGGGATGATCAAGATAGGTGCTTACTTCTTGACTATGCTTTGGTTTTTGCATATGGTCGAACGTTACTGATTGACCGCTGAAAATTCGTTGATTGGGAATTTTCGTGGTTCGATTGTTCATTATCTGATACATGACTTCTCGTCTGTTTGTCCCAGAAGCTGCCTGTTCACGAATTCCGACTGGTTTGCTTTCAGAGAAGACAGATTCACCGAGCATCTGAGCGTTTCCGCCAGGGACAGAACCGACGATGCCGATGCCAGAAGCGGAGTCGCGGATGGTGGCGACGGTAGTGACGACGAGGTGGTCATTGGGGATGTTGAGGAGGTGGCCAATCATCCTATGGAATCGACTGGCGGGAGTTTGGGGTCGTCCCTTAACTTGGTCAAAGAAATTAGCGAAAATAGATTCGCCAATAACGAGGATCCAGGGAGGTCGGAGAATGCGAGCTCATCTGCGGACGCGGCGGGGGCGTTCGGGTTTGAAGCCCAGCAGAGTGAAGACTTGTTTGATGACCAGCAGCTCCCTGATTGGGTGGGATGGCATCAGCCATCTGACATCCAGGTAGATGAGCCCACCGGCGATAAGCCCCACAGTTTGAACTCCGCATATGCCGACGACGACTCATACCCACATTCAGATGATGAATTGCCAAGTGCTTGTGCACCTGAGTTTGGTCAGATGTTTGGAAAGGCCAACGCGGCGACGCCGGCATTTGAAGCGGAGATGAAGCCTGCAGCAGGCGACGAATCAGAAGCGGCGCCACCGTCATCAGATTGCGGGCTCGCCAATTCGGTGAAGAGGAAGACCCCAAGAGCTGCCGAATCAGAGGCACCGGGTGGGGACGGGGCCAGGCTCCTGGAGTTGGGCGAGATAAACTATTGGCGAGTGGAGCAGGAAGCCGGCGTTGTCAAAGAATGATGACCATACATATATGTCAGCTTGTCTGTCTCTCTCTCTCACCGCTCCCATCAAGTAAAAGTGATTGCTCTGTCAACAACACCGGTCCTCTTTGCCATTGTTGTAATCTATCAACTGCCCAGCTTCTCGGCTTTCGCCCATCAATTATATCGTATTATCTCTCGCTGTCCAGCCCCTTCCCCCCCTTCCCTCTCTACTTACGCCATGGACAACTAACGGGTAATAATGGATTGCCGCCGTCAACGTCCTCCTCCTACAGCTGCCGGCGGACCTCCCCATCCGCTGGCAGTTTTTCATCCCTAGCCTCGAGAGGCTTAAAGACTCAGGAGGAGCTGGAAGGGACGTCATAAGAAATCACACTCCGGCTCCAGGGAATTTCCCCCTGATGCGGTCAACGGACGGGCGGAAGGAAGCATGTGGGCCGGAGAGGGAGGAGAGCCTTCAAGCGGACCTGGTCCAGCGGTGGACGACAGCTGGTCTCGTCCCTCTCATTCACGTTCACCGGCGGCATATCCATGCGCATTGGAGGGAGTCTCCAATGAGTGTGCTCGGTCTCCTGTCGTCATCACGCGTACGCGCGCGCACGTTCTCTGTGCTGGGTTTTGCTCTCTGAACTCGTCTCCTCCAGACTGCGGACCGACCCTTCCGAGGTCCTTGCTCTTAAACAAGAGACAACACCCACATGACTCCAAAGCCCTCTCGGTCGCCTCCCTTGCTAGTTTTCTCCTCCGCTCCTTCTGACCCGGCCGGGCAGAGGCCGTCAACAGCCAGCTCACATGGCTCCATTAATGCCATCCAATCTTTATGCGAGCCCACCCCCCCACCCCCCCCGCGCGCATCTGCGTCAAACCAGAGCCCCAGCGACCGAGAGGACTAATGCTCTCTCTCTCTCTCTCGCTCTCCCATTGACGTCTGATTGATTATACTGCTTTCTCTACGCAGAGACAATTCGCAACCACATGGTTTGGACTTGGTTGAGATGTTTCCGGCGGGACGGCCGCGAGGCACCACCGGCGAGATTCCGCGACGACATTCAATGTTGGCGTTGGGAACCCTGCTCGTCGCCAGCGACCCGCAAGCTCTCTCTCTCCTGCTGCTGCTGCTGCTGCTGCTGCTCCTCCTCCTCCTCCATCATCCTGTGCCTGAGCAGCAGCCACAGTGCATATGACCGGGCTCGCTGCGACGGGGGGGGGAGAGAGAAACCCGCCTCCACAGTGGCGTTGACCGCCAAATGGGACTGTTCGATGTGGACTGTTTACGGGAACTCCAGTTTGTTAGTTCATGCGAATGCATTCACGTGTACGTCTGCAACTTGAGACTTGAGAGAGGTGTTCACTCCATTGAGTTCCCTCGGTGACGTCAACTACGCCCGTACGTGAATAAATTGTGTGTGTGTGTGTGTGTGAGAGAGAGAGAGAGAGAGAGAGAGAGAGGGGGGGGGGCGCAGTGGACCAGGATGGACAACAGCTGTCAAACTGTTGACCCATGGAGAGCCTCGACATCGTTGAACTCCTGCGCTGAGACGAGAGAACTCGTCGGCGTAGGTTTGCCGTGGTTTTTATCATCACTTTGATGAAGGGGCTACCACGCCTCACATTCCTCGGCGGCAGCGAGGCCTCGTCCTCCCCGCTCTCTCTGTCTCTCTCTCTCTGTTTCTCCGCAACGAAATCGGTCTATGAAAGGGCATCATTGGAATAGACTTGTCCACTGAAAACAATGGACTCGGGTCAGTCATAAAACCACCACACACCCCCCCCTCCCCCCACCCTCCCCCACTCATCTCCTCTCTCTGTCGCCCAGGAGCGGCGGGACGTCTCGAACAGAGCACTGTTTGTAAGCGTGTGAGTCAAGTACCCTGCCACCCGAGGGTAGTTCCCTTGTAGCCACAGTGGGCCTCTGCACAATTGACCATACATTTGCTGTTGTCGTACGCACGCCACCCAGACCCGCTCCTAGTCTACGTCCGAGAGGAGGGAAGAGAACAGAACAGAAGAGAGAGAAATGAAGGCTCCAAGACGGCATTCCGTCGGCGACCCGGAAATAAATCACGGGCCCCGCGTACGAGAGGTGCTGACAGCGAGGCTTCCCCACTGGACATAATGGCAGATATTACTGTTCCTCGGCCTGGTCAGCCCTCCCAAGCCGCCGCCGAACCCGCTCCACCACCTTCCCCGGCGATCGATCGCCTACCCGAACCCCGCGCCGCGCCGATCAGACCACCACCCCCTCCAACGAGCCGCCGGGTGGACGACTTTCTCCGTCCGAGGAACCTACTCTGCTGCACCAGGGCGAGAGCTCCTTCGATGGAGGGAGGGAGGGAGGGAAGGAGGGAGGGCACCCGACAAGAGGGCGACCAACGGGGTTCCCTCGGATCCCATGCCTGAATAAGTCAGAAGCTCAACATCACTGAGGAGCGTGACACCAGAGAGAGAAACGAAGCCGCCGGCCAAGAACAGAAGCATAAAATCAGTGGGTGGGTTGAAGTGTGAAAGAGGTCGGGGGGAACTAAACTAAACTAAACTAAAGCTAAGCTTATCTCCTCGCGGCGTCCTTCCGTCCCGGACTCGCAAGAATCTGCAACCTCCTCGCTGTTCTTGCGAAGTCACTGCACAGCACAAGGAAAAACGAAAACCCGCCACCGCGTCATCATCTTTCTACGCACAAAGTTGTCGACGCCACTGCGAATTCAATCAAGACGCTAGCCAAGCTGTTCCTCTCCGACTGATCGGCGGAGGAGACTCCGGCAGGCTTACCTAAAAGGTTCAGCTCCGGTGTGCCTGACTGCGCCGGTCACGTCCTCGTAGAGCACGTGCTTCTTCATCTCTAACGTCTTGAGACCGAACATATCTGTCAGCCTGGTGCGAAGCTCCTCGTAAGAGCCGAGGGCAAGGAGATCGAGACTGCGGGCCACACCCTCGGATCGCAGGAAGACCTTGCAGAGCCCCGTGCCCAATCCCGGCGGCCCGGTCGCCGCCGAGTGGCCGTCTTTGCACCCCAAGGACCCGTCACTGGAGCTGGCCTCGGGACCCACGGCGGACCCAGAACCGGTGGCCAGAACCTCCGCCGCCTTGCCGGAGCTCACCGGTCCGGCCGCCTCCTCGCCGCAGGCCAGTGAGATCTGCTGCTCCGTGAGTATGGGCTGCCCGAAGAGCAAGAAATGCGGCGCCTTCGCTCCGCAGGTCTCTCTCGCGGGAGAGGAAGAGGAGTTGCCGACGAGCAGACAAGTGACATCATCGCGGATAGGTTGTTGGTTCCCGGCAATGGAATCCATGGAGGAAAGCCTGCAGGGTTTGTTGGCGGCCTCAAGCAGGCCCGACTGCAGCTTGTGGATGCAGAGATCTGACAGCGATATGCCGAATTGAGCATGCCTGGCTCCCTGTATGCCGGCAGGAGCGCCGTCTGGGGTGGAGCACAAGCGGTGGTCGCCGCAGGCCTCCAGGAGTTCGCCTGAGAACAGCGGAGACATTACGTGCCCGTCGAGGGGGAAACTGGGTGGTGGCGCCTGGGAGAGGCACAATTTCTTCCTCGGCGGAGAGAAGGGCATCATCAGGTGGACGGCCGGCCCGCTGGAAACCAATTCGACCAGCCAGGGATTGACGCACTTCACGTTCTGAAGTAAATCAGGTTCGTCCCACGACACCTGCGTAGCGAGTTTGGGAAAAAATACGTCAGCCAGTGAAGTGAAGAAGAAGAAGAAGAAGTGACGCGACCGATCTGAACACCGGCAGGGGGATCTGAGGAAATCCTATGGAGCGGTGGAGGGGGAGAGGAGGGAGAACCTGGAGGATCCTCCAAGGAGAATCAGGCCAGCGGAGAGCGTCCGCGCATTGAACGGACGATATGGTGCCCATGAACCAGCTGATCCTCGACGAGTCCTCGGTCTCGAAGGCCATCTTGAACCGCATCCCCGAGCACCAGTTGATTCTCAGAGCGGCCTTCACAGCCCCCGTCCTCACACAGAACTCCGGCGTGCTCGCCCTCGGGTAGTAGACGACCTCAAAGGGCTGCCCATTGGCCGCGAGAGTCACAGCTTTGATGACCGCCTCTGGCGTCAGCCGCCCCTTCGCCGCGGCGCTCCAGCCAGAACTCGGACTTCCGCCGCATCCATTGCTCCTCGTCGTCGGCTTGCTCTCGTCCTCCCTCGAGAAGAGAGAGAACCCCCCAGGGGGAGGAGGTAAGCAAATGGCAGAGGGCGTGTTCCACCCCGACGGAGTCTCCAGTTCGCTGCCGATTCTCCTCTTCGCGCGCCGGATCCCAACGCAGAGTTCACCCCTCTCGGTTCTCAAGAACACGATGGAGTCCCCGGCCACGAGCTTCTTCTGGTTCACAAAGCTGCTCCATCCAGTCGTCAGAAGATGCCGGCGAGGGGTTCCCCTGTAGATATGCCGGAACTTCCAGACCTCGCCATGGACGTCCTTGGCGAGGACCGTCTGGGCAGGGGGGTCGGCAGAGTAGTCGAGCCGTGGGAAGATTGTCTCCGCGCAGTATCGAGGAACTGAAAAGCCTCCCCCGTTGTTGGCGTCGGACTGGGTCAGCGTCTTGGCAAAGGATGGGGGCTTCTCGGACAAATCCGAGCCATTGCTGTCCTGCAGACCGACGTTCTCCCTGTAGTAATCAAGCTCGTCGGCTCTCGCGGGAACCAGCTTCATCCTCGCGAAAACCTCGTCTGTCTCCTCATCGGCCATGTAATCGATGGAAAACACCCTGCAGAGGAGGTAGGAAGGTATGCGCGGGCGGCGCCCGAAGTCGACGATGCCATGCGAGTGCTCCGCATGCCCTTGCGGGAAGTAGTAGACCAGCGAGTTGAGCGTCGGCATGTTGACCATCCCACCGGCACAGGCATGCCAGAGCTTTGAGTCCAGGCACTTGTCTGGTTCCTTCATGGTCTCTATGGACGCCCTGGAGAGGGACGGGACGATCATCTGATTCTCTTGCCCGGGGGCAGATGGCGCCAAGATTAGGGCAGAGAACACTTGACTACCACTGTCAGCGAATTCTGCAAGTGAACAGAAAATCGAGTTTGGGTCAGAAGAACCCCCAAATCACCGACGGCGAAGACGAAGGCTCCGCCGAACTCGCCCAGTTCACGACGCCGCACCCGTCCCATCTTCTCCCCTCTTCTTCTATTTGCGCGGCCGAAGCATCTCCCTTCAGATGAGCGTTCCCTTGGCAGTCGCCCCACGAACCACGGGCGAACAGAGGTCACCTAGAGATGGAGAGATTTCGCAATCAGAGGGGCAAAAATGAAGCGAGGGAGTGCAATTCTCGGCCAAGAAGAAGCAACAGCACAAGCAATACCCATTTGACAATAAGAGACGACTGTCGCTATAACAGCCCAATCGATTGAGCACAGAGATTGAGGGAGAGAGAGATGAGATCAAATGTCTGACCTTTCACGAATGGTGGTATCATTGGCGGAGGGGGAGAGAGGGGAGAGGGGAGAGCCTCTCCAGGGATGACGCAAGAAAGCACCAATCCACCTAGCCTTGTAGCATAATATCTCCCCTCACTGACGGGAGGAACTCCCTAGGATTCGGATCCTTACCTCATCTCCTATTCCCTACCCCTTCGTAAACACGGAAAATACAGGGGGAGAAAGAAGACAATTGTCACCGAGACGGGGGGGATGGAAGAATCAGCAATGGGGGAGGAGGGAGGAGGAGAGCCGGTCGGTGGCGGAGGAGAACCGATCATTTGGGAGGAAGGTGCACCAATCTCTCGTCACTGGCAAGGAGCAGAATCGGGTCCTTCACTCCCACGGTCTCGCTCCTGCCGCACCGTCTTATACCTACTCTCACTCGACCTCGAAGAGACGGAGATATCCACGTTGCTCAGAAACGAAGCAAGGAAAGCTCGCCCTCTTTCTCCTCTGCGTCTTTTGTCGGCAACAGGGTACGGGATAGTGGGGAGGGGAGGGGAGGGGAGGGCGTGGAGACCATTCCTCGGAGACGGTCCAGTGAAGCAGCGGCGGCTGGGTTGTTTTGGGTAGATCCAAGAATCAGGAAGAAAATAAAGGAAAGGGGTAGAAGCGAGCACAGGACCGGGGAAGAGTGGGAGGCCGTAAAGCGCGACCTTGCGGTCGTCTCGGGCGCGGAATCGGAGCTTCCCGTGTTTTCTTCCTCCCCGCGCCTCTTTCCGACTTTTTTTCTGAAATAGCTCCGAAATTCTATGATGCTTCCGAGACCAGATTTGTTTGGTCATTCACATTAGTTTTCTCTGGCGTGGAGGAAGCGGGATTGCGGCTCGGCAACCAAAGGAATTTTGGGAAACGACGAACAGCTGCCCCATCGTCACCTCCCCGCCCTCGCCCACAGAGTCCGCAGATGACGTTCTGAGTCGGGTTCGACGATATTTTGGAAAAAGTATGATGATTCAAGGGTGGTTTAAGCCATATCGAAAGGGTGAAAGGGTAAGTAATAGAAGGGTCGGACAGGGGATTGGGCGAGGGATCCGCTCCGTCCGGCGGCCGTCCCGTCCCATCCCACCTGTGTGCTCTCTACTCGGCGGAGCATCTGCGTGCTCGCCGCCGTCGCAAGCGGTCATTAATAGGTTAAGCCCAGATCAAGAAACTGAAAATCCTCCAACGACCAGTGGACAGAGGGGGAGAGAGTTTAGAGAGAGAGATATTTATATAGACATCTATATCGAGAGAGAGAATGGTGGGCCTTAGGGTGAGTAGGACGTGGGCATACCCCCGCTCCTGTTCTCCAGTTGTCGGGGCTCAATCATTAATCTACAATGGGGCTCTGGTGGAGAATCGCCACTAACTCACCGAGACGAGGAGGCGGCCGCCGGCCGTCTCTGCCCTTTCTTCCTCCACACCGGGGAGTACCCCACCACGGTTGGATGGTGACCCATCTTGCCTGTTGGTTTCGTCTTGTCTTGGCACTGTCTTGGCTGCGGAGGGAGGGAAAGGCAGAACGAGAGGGGAAGTGAGAAGACGACGCTCCCTCGTCTACTGTAGTGCCTTCCTGCTCACCCTGTTGGTGCTTGCAGTGACATCGGCGGTCTCCGAGTGGAACGCTTGACAGGGCGTGATCATTGCCCATTTTTTTGTTCATTACTTCGAAAGATAACAGAAGCACAGGAGGATCGAGCGAAATACCAGTCTTGGCCAAGTCGTGAGCTTGCCTACCTTAACGGAGCTTGCTCTTGCTCCGTTGCCGTCGCACCTTTCTTTCTACTGTAATCCCTTTCGTCTTAATTGTCTCCCTCCCTTGTTCCACCTTTTCTTAGTCCGAGCAGTGTGCTGATCATACGGTACGGGACTTATTCGTGACAAATTTCTACTGCCCCGTCTCCCTCGGAATGTTTGTAATGTCGTGAGATTTCATGGAATCGGGGTCGGGAGATATTTTCTTCCTCCGTTTTTGTTGCTGTTGCTTTCTATTTTCCCGTCGAAGGCTCAAACACCGTCGCTCCTGTTAGCAAATGCCTTCGTTGTCATGCAGCGGTTGCGCTCAACATTACAAAGGTCTCATATCGGACGTTACGCAGAAACAAAATAAATCCAGAATTGTAAAGATCGAGTCGCTCCACTCTAGAATTGTTACACATACAATTTTTTGTCTCACATTTTCCCCCTCGTCTTCTCTCCGAATCCCGAACCCCCTCCCAACGCCCACCTACTAAGTCGTCACGTCTTCGACGTTCACTCTAATCTTGATTTCCTCTTCAATGCTCGTGAAGAGCCAACGCTCATCCTGTTGAGCATATTATCAGGGGAAGCTTCTACAGTTGCTGGAGCACGAGAACTGGAGATCTCACGTGGGAAACCTCCAACAGAGCTATTCTGGGGAAGTGGTGGGAAGGGCCAGTTTGTTCACACCCCAAACGACGATATTCCTTCGCAACTGGTCTGAGGGACTTGCGATAGAGCGCGAGCGGCGATTTCACAACACATCCTCCTGATGAGCTCTCACTTTGCGCTTCTCCGTCATCTTCCGTCCCTAACAAGAGGGCGCCGAATTTCCATCTCATCCCCTGGCTACGATTAAGCGATGGGTCGTCTTGGCTGGCAGGCGGACCCTGTGTTCAGTCTCAGAAGAGGCGGTCGGCTATGCATAAGTATACCATTTTATCATCCCACGAATCCCGTTCGTGTAAGCAAGCCTGTATTTATCAAAGGAAAATCGAAGTCGAATGGAGCCTTGGATTGAACGTCTAGTGCCCGTGTCACGGCGATGACAACTGCCGTCCTCGCTTCTCTATTTGTGTCGAGGCAGCTACGACTAGAGAACTATTGCCTCAAATTATCTCGATTACTATTCATGTCGACGACATGACCATCATATACCAGAAATTATATTCAAAGCCTGCTCGTGCCCTACTACTCTCCAGAGTTCCCCAGTCTGTGGCGGCATTGCAGGCACTAGCGTTCTGGGCGCCCTCTCCTCCTGAGTTGCATGTCGATTTTCTCTCCGTCCTGGCCCACTTTTGGCCGGTCCGTTTTTGTACCCGCAACATGTTGGCATTTTCAATCGCCTATCGGTCGATCAGTCGGATACTCGCCACAGTAGCACATTTGGAGGCACAAGGCTCCCTGAGCGCGGCTCATTGTTCCTCGATTCTGAGTATCGTACTAGATGGGTGTCAAGATTACTAAATAAACTGGCATCTTGTTTTCCCCTTGACCTACATCACGAGTTGGATAATTTTACGCGGAGCGAGGTTAGAAAATTATTCATCCGAGATCCACGAGTTGGCTCAACATCCCGTGGAAACCCAGCAATAGATTGCGAGGCATTTCTAGAGCTTGTGTGCAGAGGCGATATCCAAGGCTTTGGCATATTTTTCGCTCCACAGGACGGATTGGCTTGCGTTGCCTCATGAGCTGCTCGTTCTAAGTCCGCACCGTCATATTGTGATAATAAAGTCGCCTTCTGAAGGACTTCAAAGATATTTTCCTCGTTTCCAAGCGTAGTGTGGGGAGACATGTTTAGCTGGACCGGTCATGATAGCCAAGGAGCTCGTGCTTCTGATTGTTGTCTCTTCCATTTTCACTGGTTTCTCCTAATTCATCCCTCATCCTCTGGTGGTATATAGATTCAACCACATGTGCGCACACAAGGCAGACTAAGAACCCCATGTATGTTCTCCCTCTGCGTGTTCTGGCTCCCGGTGATTATAATATCATCCCTTCTCTCCATCCTCCCAGAACGAGGATCAAACGCAGGAGTGGGTGCAGTAGACTGACGCCGCTGGAGGCAATGGACGGAAGAAGGGGCCTGAGAGGATGAACAGAGCTGTTCAAGGGGCAGCTGCGTACTGTGGCTACAGGCAAAATGACAGTGGAGTGTCGGAAACCTGAAAAGAGGAGTACGCCATACAACATGATCGTCGAGGTATGATCAGGAGAGATCAGATCCGTTTATCCATGCCAAAATGCGAGAGGGGTAAAGTAGCTGATCGGCTAAGGGTCGCAATCCGACACATAAAATCCTCCCTCTTTCATAATGCGACTGTTGATGTAACGTCGCCTATATTAGGGGGAAGCACAACCACTACGACGGAGACATGCAGCGCCGAGGCGGTGCAATGGCCCAGCGGGCGGGCCGAACCCACAGAGTCGTGATGCGACGCAACAACGCCCCTGTCAATATCATGTGGCGCGAGACCGGTCAGACAGCTGAAACCAACGGTGATTTGTTGAGAGAACGGAACGGGAGGCGGAGCGGGATGGTGACGACCAGGCGTCCCAGTCGAGATGGAAATTGCTCTCTGTCACCACAATAGGCCTCTCCCTGATCCGCTCGAAATAATACATGCACCAACATGCACATCTCCATATCGGCCATTTGAGCTCATTCACGTCCTTCCAGCGTATCGTTGGTTTACTAGGATTGTAGGTCCGCCGCCGCCGTATCTTTGCTTGAATAAGAGTGGACTTGCAGAGGCAAGTAGAACGAATGCCACAAGATGA